TGCGATATTGGTCACCCGGTCAAATTGTAACGTTTTAAATTAAATTTAGCCGCGTTTGAAGCTGGTCATCAACGCATCACTGTTTGCCATAAAAATTTATATAGGACCATGCTCGGGATACAAATAAATTAAGGAATTTCCTGATTTTGCTAGAATATGCTATGCAGTATTTTACTAGATAACGTGGTTTGCGGATTCCGCTTTTGGCGCCAACGCCTATTTGCATGTGACAATGCCGTTTGTTAGATTGTGATACGTGATTTGTGGCTTATACGTGAATTTTAACACGTTTTGATAGTCCTGTCCGCTTGCTTTAAATCTTTCGCGCATTGTATATCGCCCCTGACGCAATTGGTTCATATCCATAAATGTTGAATTCATAACATATTCTGTAGGGTTAGCGCAGCGATGGCCAAAACGTATCACGTATTCTAATATATTAGAAATTAGTTACTATATTCACTATTTTGAATTCTTAGATTTAAATTATCATTTTAAACAATTGAAGTTTTATAATATACCCAAAAACGCATTTGTTCAATTTCTAAATGCTGTAAAAATTGAGAACAGGTCAAATCATTAGTCCAACTTGACTTTTCTGTATTTAATTATTCGAAAACATTGCAACTATTGTCTATTACTTGTTACATATGACCCAATATGATAATAATATATTCAATATTGGTAATAGATTACAATATATCTTATTTTCTCTAATTATGTGCAGCTCCGAAACATGTTCCCTGAGTGACGTTTGCAAATCTGTTTTCGGAATACATGTAAAATATTTTCAAAAGTTTTGTGAATTCGCTCGTCTCTATATCCTCAACATTACTGCAATAAATATTAATGATTATCAAAAACTCGCCAATACCATTACGAATTTCACTGGCGCATGTTTACTCCCAATTTTCGCCGCCGATAAAGCTGGGAGAAATTGATTCTTAACTTCCCGTTGAATTTGTCATTATTGTACGTCTAGCCACAGCCGTCACACTTAAAACGACCCGACTTTATTATGACTGAACATCCAATTAGTCTGGAAATGAAATTCTTCAAGTCTCAACTGTATTATTTACCGTACTACAAATTCTTTTAGGGTCTCTTTCAGCGCACTAAATCGTTTATTTATACGAAATGGATCTTCGTCGCCAACAGTCCATACAGCATTACATAGTCCTAAAATACAGAGTGTTCAAGTCCTGTATTTGATTGGTATGGGAACTTTTAGTACCTCGTACAACTGATGGGGCATATAGAGGTGTATTAAATGAAGTGAAAAATGAATAAAATAAAGGAAAATTCTTCAAGCTATACTGAGATCCGACTCCATAACAAAATTTATAATGTAGCAGGACTATTCTAATCACTTATAATCATACGTTCAAACTTGTGAGCGGGTTTGATAGATGATTTACGTTTTGTTCGGGGTATATTTTTATATTTATTGATATGAATAAACCAGCGCCTCGATGTCGCCGTAATACATTAATGTATGAAATTTGACCACGATAGATAGAAAATTTACGTGGGCGTTATGAAGGCTCGTCAATTGCATTTCAATTGAAAGAAATTCTAGGAATTTCAGAAAAATTGCCGCAAGCTCCGCGGAAACGTAGGTAATCTCCTATTTTAGTCAAGTAATCACAAACAAACGATGCTACAAAGAGATGCGCTTTCTATCGTCTACGCCATTTTACTTAGATTACATGAAAAAAATCTTCCACAAGAAACTCTAATTCATTCACATTGAATTATATATTAGTAACAGTGTTCATAATGTTGTAACTAAAGTTGCGAATGCCGATGCGGAATTGCTTCGTATATAACTATATCAAAGCGCATTAAAAGTACATAAAACACCGCACCGTGATGGTGAAAACACTTTCTTATTACCGTGGGAACCGTGATGTCTCGAGTTCATTTGGGAGGACTGTATAATGTGACTCAACTTTTCAGACTTGAATTAATATGTATGTTTTCGTAAAATATCAGTCTTATGAAGTTTACGTTCGCGGATCGCGCGATGCATTGGCAACTAAATAAGAAATACATAGAACAGTTAGGTTATGGAAATTTGGCACTTGTACAAAAGATTATGAAGAATCCACTATTTACGCTCGTTTCTTAGAAAAAAAAAATTTTCTGATAGACTTGTTTAGTGGATTAGACAAATGTACCCCACTTTACACGCTATATTTTGACCAATCGAAATATATTCTAAGATCCATGGTGGTACCTTTATACATACTCGTAAATAGTCATTGTGTACAGTGCTCGGTTCTTACTTTATTTTTTGGGCAAAGGGCCTATTTCGTCATTCAGCTATCCTTTATTCTCGCATTCATCAATGATTTGTCGTAATCAAAATTTTTACTTCTATATTTTATGATGACGTTAGCTTGAAGAGATTTATTGTTTTGGTGGCACACGTTACATAATTTATCGACTGCATTGACTTCACTGATCGACCGTAGCGAATCGGATTAAAAGTCCGTCGGGATGAAACAAGTGCGATGTAATGGTGACTGACTATATTCTTGGAAGTTCAACCACCTAGTCTGTTGTCTATCTTAAAACCGCCCGAGGATATTAAAGCTTGGCGCCTATTGTGAACCGCGTGTGCTTGTGATCGGTTGTCAACTTAGAACCACAATGCCTTGAATCTATGACCTTGCTTGGTTAACCAATGTTTCCGCGTAGAATGGCAACGCCGCCATTCAAGGGTACATAGTCAGCTCGAGCAAAGTTTCTGAGATTAACGTAACCGCTGGTATTTTCCTTGTGAGGAGTTAAAAGGTTTCATTCCATGCAGAGCATAAGTCGACAAAGTGTCACATTTGTTGAACGAAATATCATTTCTTTTGTGACATCAATCGCGGTATTCTGGCATTTATTATTTGACATAAATTCATATGAATACTCGTCTTTCTCCCATCTATGAACGATGCAATCATTGTTTCTTCAATCGTTTTACGTCACGATTGTTTATCTCGAGGAATCGCGGTGGGCTTGACCGCAAACTCACGTCGATCAAAAACAGACTCGAAGAGAATCAAGAGCAGACTAAAGCGGTTTCAACCGGTTCAAAGCAGAAATGCTAAACCCGCGGTTCTCTAGTCTTGTTGTCTTTCTCGACAAAATTCAACACAAGATGAATCGTAGCATTATTATCGGCTTAAGTGTCGTCCATTTAAATTTTACATCTTGTGAGTGAAATTTCTTTCTCTCATGCTTATGCGGATTACAGCAACTGAATAATAGAATGTCAAATTTTTCAACATATTTCACGATTTTAGTGGTCAAGGCAATTTTAATGGTCATCAATCGTCTACAATACGACTTTATTATTCTCATTCATTCCAGCGATGTCCAATTGGCAATTTCCAAATGACCTTGGCCGTTACCGCAACCCTACTTGATCAAACCTAAGCACCGTTTTGCAGCTTGTTCCATATTCGCGTTTCTGCGAACGACAAACTTATGGTAAATTAAAAAGTGGCGATCCACTACTTTCTCTGACGAATGTGATACGCGGTCGTAAACGGGGGTGTGGTCACACTCACAGCCTTTTAGATAGATAGCAATGAATAAGAAAACGCGCCCCTCGTCGTCGAGTAATTCGGCGTAAACAAGTCTGTTTTCAATTTTATATTCTACTTTTTTTAACCACGTGTTTCTGCGAAGCACTAGCCAGCTCTCTGGATGGGTGAGAGAGTGACCCGTCTAGTATCGGTGGCGAGGCCTGTTTTTGTTTAATTATCAACGCTCTTTAACCCTGAAAAGTACGGATATTATTACGGATATTACGGTCCTTTTCGGATACTGTTCAACCATTCCATATACCATGTTTGTTTGTTTCCTGGTATTATTTTTGATAAAATCTTAGAAATCAAATGTCGTTGTGCATATTGTATGTAATCCTTTACATACCTACATGCCGTGTGGCGTCAATTGGGTTATGACTACCAAGAGTTTCAAGGGTCTACCGGCGATCAAGGCTCGACGCCATTTTACGAAGAAGATTGATCGATATTAACCTGTTGTGTGTATCATGTTCTAATGCAACCACAATAATTCCCGTATACCTAAATTCCATTTAGGCGCTTTGAGTCGGACGGGTTAACAAAAGCCTAATCCCCCCTGATCAATGGCATTTCTGAGCGTACGCAGTCTCGAGTATGGAATTAGCCTCTACTACTCGTTAAGGGACTCGTGCTTCGTAGACCTTTGAACTAAATGTGGATCTCGCCACGTTAACAATTTAAAACGTGTAATATGTATTAATATTTCTTACACATACACTTATCATAAATCGAACCTCAAATATTGGTTGTAGTTTTTCTGTATTTGGAATTTGTTATCCTGGTATTTAGACCGAATCAAATACATTCCTTAGATAAAAAAAAATAGGTGTCGAAAATAGTACAAACGGATATTTTACTTGATAGAACATTGAAAACAATTTTTTAGGCATAAATAATTTTATTTTTCGCATTTGTAATATTGTAACATAATTGTTTTGAATGACAACGATTTTTAACGTTTTGTCGCTAGACGGCAGACGTTATGTTATCATAGTATTGTTAGCATTAAATAAAGTACACTGAACCGAATAACTTCCGGCAGACTAGACCTAATATGTAAGATAAGTCATTCGTCTGAAAATATTTACTCACGCTAGGTCGAGTACAGTTTATTGAACCGTATTTGGCAATGAATTGACTTAGTATGAATGAATATACGTGATACCGCCAGTGAAGTCGTAGTTTTTCAATGGCCATTGGCGAGTAGCGGCTATTAAATGGAAACTTATGTTGATATTCATATCGTGAGAGTGACTGCCTACACAGATCCTTGTTCGGAGAGAAAGCGTCGTATAAGTAATATTCCTGCTTAATTTGTGGCCTATATTGCGAGCCACTGTCCTGCCCTACAAAACTTTAATTCGTGCTTATTTTAGTGGATGAATTTCTGAATATCGTTTTGTTCTTTTGTAGGATTCGGAACAAGAATCACCTATTCGTAAGAAAATTAAAGAAGAAGATACGAAAATTTTCGATCCAGCACTACTACCTCATCCCTACGCATCATTGCAATATGGAGGTGAGAGCGATTAAGTGTTGTAGAATTTTAAACAAATTATATTCCGGGAAAAGCATGGTAGAAATATATGAAAACCAGTGTTATTTTGCCTTGAAGTCATCAGTTGAAAAAGTGTATTTCTTTAAATTCAGGTCAATCCTATTATTATCTTTAATCTTGTTTATCATCGCAAGCAATCCTTATTTCTTTTCCAGTCCAAAGTGCCATGCGTCATTCCGCCTTTCGTCCGTGGAGCCCCGGACTGGCAACCGCCATGAGTGGCGGACCGAATCCAGGCGATATTCCAGTCGTTCAAGAGATACCACAACATCTCAAAGGACTTTTGCCTATCACGTTTGACAGGTAAACCATACGAAAGATATGATTCGAAACAATTAACGGTTGGAATTGAATACAGTACATCTTTGATATATCTTATCTTTTTTTACTGGAGTCCAAATTCATTAATACAATAGTGATATTCAAAGTCGAAACTCAAAAAGCGTCACGTTTACTAAGCGTTCATACGCTTAAAAAATTTGTTACCAAAATTTGATTTTCTTGATGTTCGGAGGGAGTCGAAATCGAGAGTCGGATTTTTCATAACTCGGAGTTGGGAGTCGAATTTCTCTCAATCCGGAGTTGGAGTCGATGGAGATTATATTCATTTTTAATAAGCATAAGGTGTTCGAACATTTCTATTTTATTTACAGAAGAGGATTCTCTCAATTTATTCAAAACGAAAGACCTGTGGTCATTGGCAGCAGCAGCAGAGCATCAGATTTGTGAGTTGGTTTTTTTTTGCTATTGAATGTTTTCTTCTTCGGCCGTCTCCAACAGACATCGAATTGCTTTTTCGCGAGTAGTGTTGAGAGAAAACGGATACCGCAAAACTGATACTGGATTTTTACCTATCCAATTACATTACGTTGGCTCAACTTTATTGTTTGGTTCTTATCATTTAGGCATTCGTTGCTGCGCTTCTATATGCTTTAACCTGGCTGATTTTCCATCAAATTTTATATTGTGTTGGTCCTAACATCTTGCAATTGTCTTGTTCACACCTGGTGGTGAAGCATTTTATTTGTTAAATTTCTGGTAATATTTAGCTTAGTTGAATAAGCTTCGTTTTATTCTTAACTGGCTTTCAATCCTAATCTGTATGCGTAAACATACCATCCCCCACCCAATTGTGTTCTTGGCAATGTTAATTCAATCGCGCCTTCCATGAACATTGATAATAGGGGGAGCCTTTTTGTTTTCTGCGCCTTATTGTGAGTTTTTCTAGTTATTTTATATTGTTTGTCTCATAAAGACTTCCATGAAATAGCATTGACGCCGAACAGCTTTTTCGTCCAGTCGTTTTAAATCCCAAGCGAGCTGTGCAGTAGTTTGCAGAAAAATATGCTAATGACCTCTTCATGCTTCATAATGTATTTTCCAAGGATATATGAGGAGTTTCTAGGAAAAATGTCTGATTTTCACATTGTCAGTAACTGGATATCGCCACCTTGTCGATATGTTTTTATTTTTATTTGTCTTCTTACCTGAAAACGCGAAATACGTATGAAATCCAAAGCGCTGTACTATAGAAGAACACATACGCAAGATAATAACAATAAAATTCAGGGAAGGCCGACTTCCACGCCTAGTGTCATTACCGTGAAAAACCTCAAGATGGCGCGAATTCCCGGTATGTGTGCAGAAAACATGTGTTACGTGTGATCAGATTTGATCTTAGGCGTACTATTCGGCCTCAATTATTGTTTGCCGTGCAAGTCACAATTCTTGCAAGATATCGTTAGATCGAAACATTGTGTTATTTTTTTCATATCATCTCTATGCATCTATGGTTATCCGCAACAATTACCTTTTTATGATATAATATCCTTTCGTTGAAGGCCTTCCAAGAATGCCGTTTGTCGCACTGGCTGTTGTACAGTTTATAAGGAAATAATACTCGAATTGTATAGGTTGAACCAATGACTAAAAGTATTGTATTGTTTTAGTCTTTATATTTATATACTACATTAGATTCAGATGATGCACTGTCTGACTATTATTCAAATGTTCTATGTTCAACGGAAACGTCCAATTTTGATGAATTTTCGAAGTTTGGTTTATAAATGTTACGTACGACTGTACATGTCTTTATAGAAAATGTGGTTTTTACTTTTTGCGCAGTTCCAATTGGTATTATACCAAATTCAAATATAGATTAATATATATAGTAAAGCATATAACAATCGGACGGCGTCCATTGTCGCTTTGTCAGACTCGTCAGCTGTCGCCTTACTTTTTACCTCGCGAAGGTACCGACCGCATGCTATACTTTTGTAATGTCAATATTAGCTCTATGGCATTGTCCAATAGGCTGTTGGTCAGGCAACGGCGCACGGTCAGTTATTTGTCCATCTCCTTGGTCCCATTTTTCAATTGGCCGAATCCGGCTGTTTTAATTTCACTCCGACGCCTATTATTTGCCTGAATGGCCCTCCTCGCTCCATCGCAAACAAAGTATAGTGTTCCCATGGGGATAATTTTTCTTCGTTTAAATTGTTTTTCCCGTAACATCAATCAAGAAGGTTTTTTTTCACATTTAGCAACGACTGTAAATACTATCACATTCTCCATAAAAAATAATGCATTTCTTAAAATATTGCTGTGTTTGATTATGTAAAAAAAAATATAAATGGGAACACCGACTCGGCGCTCTTCGTCGGATAAGCTTTTGTGAAGTATTTTTCAAGCTAAAGGTTATAATCTGAATTGACTGGCCAGTGCTCGTTGATGTCAGAAACTCGACCGCGCGTGAAGAAAACTAATCCCCCAGCTTCCCGGGGACATTTAATTAAGGGTTTTGGCCCACAGCGGTATGGAATAATCCGGTAGTTTTGGGTATTTTTAATTCATTTCGCCAGGAATTCCTGAACTTAATATATCTGGGATAATAATGCACTCATAAATTCGAATGACCTGTCAAAATTGGGAATTGAATTGAATGACAGGTTACAGATATTATAAAATGAACTGCGTTCTTCTAAACTTTCAAATTTTCCATCTAAAAAAGTTTTCAGACGTTAAACTTCGTTGTCTGTAAGCTCCTCACGCCTTCACTATTCCTGTCGGTGTCAGCTTTTGGCACTATTGGTCGCCAGTAACTTCGTTCAGAGATTGTTCTCTTCCTTCGTTTTTCTGAGTGTGTGCGTCGACCTTGCTTTGAGCAGATTGACTTAAAAAAGTCATCAATTTTTCCGAATTATTCTTAGTTGAGAAATAATCTCATCTGGGCGTTAGATAGTGTCATTTTCAACCAGTATTGAGGTCGCATTCATGGATGACACCGTCATCTTTCGAGTCATTTAATTTTTACCACGTCATACTCAAAATACTTTGTTTTTCTAGATTTCTGCTTTTGAATTTTTTTTCGATTTCGAATAATAAAATATATTTATATATTAGCAACAAAATCTTCAATGCGCAGTATATATTCTATACAATAATTTTTCAAGTGTGGTAGTGGTTAATTTTTCTTTATAGGCATATCTGAAGTCTGGAAAATCATCCATTTTCAAAAAATCGCTAATAAAATCATGAGTTTCAGGAATGAGTTTCAACTCTTCGGGGTTTCATAAGCAATCACTCTAGCCTGGTTGTCATGTTGACTTACGTCGTGTCCCTGGCTTATACTATTACATATGTTATAGCTAGCCTCGTTGACTAGACGCTGATTTTGTATTTTTAATTTTGCGATGACCGACTAAGTATGATCCGAGATAACCACATTCCGATAGGCCGCAAAGATAGGAGAGATGTTTACGCTGACTGCGATATAATAAAGAAAAACCCGACGTGTGTTTTTCACGTTTGTTTTTCTAGACCTTTGCGGGTTATCTGGCGCGGGTTGTGGGCTAGAATAAAGAGCGAAAAAAAGCATACCGCATCGGAGGTGTGTGTTTTTCGTTGACTAGGAGAGAAAGCCCGAAGGCAGAAATACTATGTTAAACAAACACATTCCCGCATTGCTCACAAGCCTATTATATTTTCAACAGACAAACTTGGGTTTTGGGCCAGGCGACTCGACTCACTCTCGTCCGCGTGCGCTCGCGACGCATTCCTTTGGCCGCGACGAATTGCGTGTGTGTGTGTGCGCGCGCCCAGGACAGCTCAAAGTGGCGCTCGTACGCCCTCAGGTGTATTTCTTTCTCTGATGAAATTTAATGAAACACATAGAGTTACATGTGCCAGTTTACCCAGATTACAAACACGAATATATGATAAAAAATATAGTAGAAGCATGAAAATTTTTGTTTTCTGGTGTCTATTTTCTGTAACAAAAAATCATCTGTAACAAAAACTCATTGCAAACAGGGTGGGTTTCAGTTTAGTACCGTTTTTGTGAAAGCATTTATGATATGGCCATGTTTATAGTTTGTGATTTGTTTACATTAGCCACAGTTGAAACCATGCCTCATTTCTACCTTGTTTGTCTTTTATATTTGATTTCTCATCGTTGAAATATTCATTTTCAGTCCTATTGCACCACCAGATGGTCGACCTGTTCCAAGTATCGGAATTCCACCTTCCAGTGGAAGAAAAAAATCCGCAGATATTGAAAAATCGAATCCAGCGAAAATTTGTCTGAAGTCACCAACCAGAGATTCTGCTGCTGAAAAAGACAAAAACAACAATCATTGTGGTATGATCGATATCAGTTATTTCTAAATCAAGAATAAATTCTAACTCATGAATTAATGCTGTTAAAGAACGTTCAGGTTCTTGAATTTGTTAATTTCAAATTTGAGTACATGGAATATTTTTTATTTAATCGCCTTTTGTAAAGACTCGGCACTGGCGGACGCTGATATGTGAGAAACTCCTTTCTTTTAAAAAAGGCTGAAATTTTCCCATCTTGGGATTACCTACCCAGTTTAATACAACCTAGAGATGGGTAGCATAGGATTTGAATCCCCGAGATTTTACCCTGCAGTACCATCATAGTTAAGTTCAACACTTCAACCACTTTGTCATGTGGCCAATAATTTGCAATTTGTTTTTTCAGCTGATCCTGTGTCTGGATTATCAAATCGAAACTTGCCTAAAGTTAGTATGACAAGAAAATATTCGATCGATAGAAGTCCGCACGAGCGTCCAAGAAAATTGTCAACATCACCTTCACGACATCACCCCAATGTCGCAGAAGTTAGACCTCGTTCTCGTCAACGTCATACATCACCTGTTCCGTACCGAGAACAGATCCCAGTGACCCCAAATTCATCTCAACGTGCCCCGACGACATCAACAAGCTACTCTCACAGTAGCAACAACAACAATATGTTATTGAAGGAACCGAAAGAAGAATATGAAATTGCTCGACCTATATCTCGCTCTCGTGAAGCCGCTGCTACAGCGATGCTTGAGTTGAAGTCATCTGGGTTATACAGATCTGTCGCACCTCCTCCACCACTCGCTCGACACTCACCTCCCCCCACTCCTGTTTCGGAAACTTCGACTAAGGTTGTCTCAACATCGAAGCCAGTACCATCAATTGTTCCTCTCGACTCAACTAAACAGCAATACAAATGGATGATCGCTGGACACAGTTATGTCATCAGTGCTGCTGGTATTCAGAGCCTTGAAGCGGTAATTATTGTTATTATATGCCATTTTACACAAACTCTTTAAGATTAGTAGGTTTGTTGGTCAGATTGAGTGCTTGATTGATTGGGGTGAGAATTTCTTGAGGCTTACTTCAAGTAAATAAATAAAAAACGGTTGTAGAATGATTTACAGGACTTTCTAAATGTTCATGGGTTATTAACTTCATTGATACACAAGGTTTAGATCATTAAAACATGACTACCCGTTACTGTAATCCAGTGGTGAATTCTATGCACCACAGCACATTACCGCATTGTGAGATAATTTCAAGTGCATCACGAAATAACATTATGTTTCCTAAAACATTATTTCTTGTTTGCTCGCTTTAGTAGTTGTTGGAAACGATCAAAATCTCAATGCAAAATTAATATTGTCAATTCAGCTGTGATATGAGCTTTCATGTATTTAAAAACAAGCTCACAGTGATTAAATATACATATATTACAAAACTTTACACCGTAGTAGTAATATCAATGATATTTTATTTGTTGAAGACTCTGTGATTAGTGTTTCAGAAAGTAAATGCCCCACGAGTTTGAAGAGTTTAGCTGTAAAATATGGTGTCCAAAAATAAATGACACCCACAAAATCGATAATCGTATTAATGGGTTTGTTTTATTTTGGGACACCCTGTACATGATGATGGTTTTTAATTTCTGATTTTTTCATATCTATTTCAGACACGTTCAATAGTTGGCTCTGAATGTGGAAACGAAGCAGCAAGAAATCGTATCATGCACGAGTTTGTTAAAATGAAATCACTTTTCGAGGAAAAGTTTGATATAGAAATGAGAGTTCGCCGAGACCTGGAATTGGAACTCGAACATTTAAAAGCAAGTAAAAGAGAAAAAATACAGGCAACATCGGAAAAAAGAAAACAAATAAACGAAGAAATGGACATTATGAGGTTAGTATTGTTTTATTCAAAACTTTTTTTTTCACCGGTTCATATCGTTTTGACCGACTACACCAATGTAGGAGTTACAAAATCTTGAATATCATGAGCTCACACAATATGATTGAGCCAATACTACCATACCATTTATTTAATTAATGTGTGAAAACTGCATGAGGCAGGATATTAGATAATAATCGATTTGGCTCGTTGGTAATTATAATATCTATGCTTTATGAGCAATCTTCTGCGCAAAAATTGTGAATTAAATCTGAAATCAATGACTGAGCATCACTGTTATGGGTTCAGGTTCAGTAAGATGAAATTTTTCGCTTTGGCGGGTGAATATAAAACAACGTGACAACACCTTCACTTGTTCCATATACTTTATTCATGACGTCGTTTCTTTTTTTAGACAAGAACACAGTAGAAGGATGAAAGAACTCTCGAAGTCTCAGGAAATGTTTCTGAGTAAGTTGAAAGATCAAGGAAGAGATTCTGGAGTTGCTTCTGCCATTAAGAATGACCAAGACCTTCGTGCCAGAATCCACGAGTTAGAAATGAAAAACGATAAACTAAGATTGGATCTGATGGACGAAAGAGAAAAAAGAACGGACGCTGAACTCAAACAAAAAGAAGCGACGGAATCCTCGAGAGGAAGAATTTCTTTCCTGCTGGTATGTGGAAATATTCTTCTCACACTTCTCTTTTTCATGCATTTCGCTCCGAACAATGCCCTGTTCTAGTAGCATTTTAGTTGCTAGGCCTTTGTGCCGGCGCTCCCGTAGTATGTGCGCCAAGATGGTGGACACCGGAGCGTAGTATGTGTACACTGTTAGTGTTAAGCCATAATTTTATCCTTATTTTAGTTATATTACGAGTTTGGGAAACTAGCCAAGTGGCTCCCGTAGTATTTGTACCTGAAATTATGGCCTAACCCTAATCTGGTACACATACTACGTTTCGGTGTCCGCCATCTTGGTGCACTTACTACATGATTACCATTGTGATGAATATATGAGTTTATGTCGAAAACAATATTTGGATGTTTGAAACTGCTAAAATCTTAATTATGTATTTGAACTCCATTTTGAAGGATGTATTACATTCAAAATGATAGATTTTAGGATTATCTTGTCCTCGGCAACATTGAAGCTGTACAAAATTGTACCTGATAAAACTTTAATGGGGTCTTTCTAATTCGAGTATTCCAATAAATTGTATTATGTTCATTTTTAGCAGTCACCCCTTTCTCGTATGGTGCGCGGAGTTGCGGGTAGAAAAGCAGCAGATGAAGAATCTTCGATAACATCATCGTGCACCAACAAAAATATTTCCTCAACCCAGGTAAATAATGTTTTTCGATGTTTCATTTTGAATATGTAATCCATATGGGTCTAGATTGCAGCATCCTAATCAGATTTTGGTTATAACACAGGTTACAGAAATATATATATGTTATTGTGCATCAGGCCTTTAAAGCACTTAGAATATTTGCCTTCACTCTTGCTATCCTTACATTATGTACATTCAGACCAGGACAAAAGCAAAATATAAGGAGAAGCACTTGGTTCCACTGAAACGTAATTTTTCTTAGTCTGTTTAAACTACCGGTATATGCTAGATTGATTTCAATATAAAAATGACTAATTTAATTAATAGCAAATGAAACAAAATGCTCGTTTGATTTCTTGAAAATCTCTTTTATTGAAAACCGATAATTCTGAATTGTAAAAAAAATCTGTTGGAAAATCCCCATAGGTAATATTTGTACATTGGTTTTTGCTGTTAGATTTTGACTATTCTGATACAGAATTGAGCCTGGTCTTATCAACTATTTTGTATCTTAAGGTACCATCATTTCCTTCTGTGTCATCAATTACCAGTACATCTTCCCATCAGCGTCAACTGAACGGAATACTATCTCCTACAGCGCCACCTGTCAATTGCCTCCCTCATGAACAATCTATAAACAGTGACGTCGAGTCACAAAAGCCTGTCATTGTTTCGTAAAGAGTACATGCAACGTTTCGATTACATTCATACAAAAAGTACGTTTTCGATCAACTGTACACAAGCATTTGTATATAGCTTCGATACCAAAAGGTAATGCTTTGGACTAAGCTGGCAATTCATTCAATTCCAAATTCAAGAGGCAACATGTTCTTTTATTAGATTTAAACATACTGCTTATTTGTGTGATTGCATCGTTGGAATATTTTATTAGTTGAGAAATCATTTTGAAATTGGAGTATAGTAGGAACTTTTCAACAATGTTCACTCTTTCTTTGTAAAATTGAAAAAGACGAAATTTTGCATTCTAGATTTTAGCTGTTTTGTGTGGATATAAAATCTCAGGTATTAGACCAAAAATCATCTCTCTATACTCAAAGTGATCCTCTGAAATATCGTAATAGCGTTGTATGCTTTTGTTCCATATAGTCGTTTTCTAATGGGTTAATGTCTTTCGTTTCTGCGGCCTTTTAATACTAGTAAGGTGTATGTATCTGTTTTTGGTTTTGCCACCCAACAGCAATGAAGCTATCAATAATTGCGTAGTTCTTTTGATTATCTCATTGTCTGTTATATTCTGATACCTCAAACTTAGTTTTAACATAGTCATATTACTACGTTGTTGTAACTATGTGCATCTACTACTATTTCTATTATATTTTCTTTATTGTATGCGACTTAGTATTTAGCCACAACATTGATGTTTTCAGTTGCCCGCTTTGCTTGAATCTTTGCAGAAGATTCTAATGAATTCTTCTTGTTTTTTATTGCTTTTATTCATTCGCCTTATATAAATTCGCATATATATATTTCAATTTGAAGTTCAAAATTGTCATTTTGTGAAGATGAAAAATCCGTGTGGCCTATTTTCTCATTCTATATTCCTTCGCCAGCCATCCCATAAAAATTTCAATTTGTATGTTGAAGCGAAAAACAAAGAACTTTATTCGCTTATTTTGCATTGTTTTTGGCCATGTAAAAGGTACATCTGTTTTATTATAAATTACTCAATTACTCTGTAGCAACAAGTGCTAATTTGGTTTATGTAACGGTAATTTTTTTATGCTTGAAAAAAAAACGTAAAGTTGATATTAAGATTTTTGTTCAAGAATAAAATCCAAATACGGGATTCTGAAATCAACATGGCCATATACAAATATCTGCTATCCACCATCTGTCAAAAAATTGACTTTTTTTTTTCCAAGTTACTCATACCGGTTCTGTTATTTCTTAAAGTATCATAGTACAAAAAGCATTGTATAGTGAATATTTCAGCTCTGATAAAGAAGTTAACAACAGATAACCCAACAGCCATACTCAAATTGGTTTATGATGAATGTATTCAAGATGAATTCAAATTGAAGCAAGTTAACAGAATATTTATTGTGATCTCCTTTTTAGTAATATTGAATATCTATTGGGAATTTTCCTTTGTCTCCAGTATATGTCGTTGTAGAATTTCCTTCTGGTTCATAACAATTTTCAGGAATCGCACTGCATCGATGAAAAACAGTCGAAATAAACCCTGCACCCGCTTAACCCCACTTTCTGTTGGTATTTCTTTGTTTTTGCTGAAATATTTTTCTACAGTACTTAAATGTTTTTCAGAGTTTTCGCTCATGACCAGCACCATACATATAATATTTTGCCCAGAAATATACATTGTATATATATATATTTTTGAATAATTCCTCATAATTGTGCATATTTTGATGCCATGAATATCTACAACAGTGCTTAGCAAAAACGATATCCAATTTTTAAACAATGAAAGGCGTTCAAATCTCAATGTAATTCCACATGCCATGAATATGGAATATTCAATGAACTTAATGAAGCGCCTGTTTTCCATCTTGTTCCTGATTCTATGTATTATTTAATTGTTTATAAAAATTCTTTTGTCAAATTTATGGCCTGCTCAAGTCTTTAGTTTAATTTTATGTATTTTAGATTAGACTTGAAACAAGCGTGATCGAGTAAGGTGAATATATATGTTTGTTCCTGTCAAAACCACCAATAATGTATAGGATAATGTAAGGATTTATCTGTTGTAAGGGATGTCCATTGTCTGTATTCGATACCCAAATTCTCGGTATCCTGCATTGCAATTCTTATAGACTTATAAGATATAAAATAGGTGCCTTTAAAAGCAAAATATATTAGTACAGCAAAAAGCAGGAATTTGAGAAAAAATGTTATTGTCATCGCCAAATATTAGTTCTGAAATTCCTTAATTCTAAATATTATGACCATACATATCTTCACTTGGCTAATGTGTTCCCCTGTAAGCAAAATTTCCTTTGAATAATCCCACTTTAGTACAGAATTTATATTGCTACTCAATTTGTCATTGTAAAATAAGAATAGCGTGGGTTTTCTGTATTTTAGTCTAATGCTTGTCGAATCTGTATTGAAACATGCGATTCGCTGTTTATGTTATCAAAAACAACATCCCTTCGCTTGTACTCATTTTTAGCAATAGTTAGCCCTACTACCTCATTTCTTTTTCCTTTTACCCTCTCATTTTATTTTTAGTTTTACTTTGTTTTGCTGTTTCCCATATTCGACTATATTGATAAATTCTGTTTCTGATAATTTTGTAATATTAGGGTTTAGGTATGTCCCAACCAAAATATTGGTGGACGAAGCCGAATTGCGAGCCTTTAGAGTGATATATTTGTTTTGATTAACATGATAAAAATGTGTTTTAAGTTCCCATTTGTTTCACTTTTTTTTTTTCAGGAAAAATTCTCAAAATAATATATTTCAGAATAAAAAAGAATTGCTTCAATATCATTTTTGAATAACTCACTTTTATCTCAAATATATTGAAGATTGGTTTTTGGTTTTATTAATAAAACTATTTTATGATAATTTAGATTTTTGGTATAAAGATATTGAGTATTTTTTACTATTGCCAAATTTTTATTTTATTTTTGACCCAATATTAAGAAAAAAACTCTTGTTTACAATACCTCACGTTATGCCCATTTTTGTCTAATATTTCAATACCTCACGCCCAGTTGGTATTGCTCAATCTTTGATTCTTGATTTAGGTACGAAAAGTGTGGCCCGAAGATCAGCAGCCATTTTGGGGTTTGTTAATTTGTGGTTCATGCTTGATTAGACCATAGTTAGACGTTAAATCAACTTCTACCTGCCTTGTGCTTTGATAGAAAAAAATCGAGATGCAATGAAAAATTGCTTTTCCATTGGATTTTACCCCAAAACATTTCTTTAACTATTCTATTATATATATTATTATATTCTTCTGTACAAAAAGCTCCAGCCGGACCCGCAAATAAAATTAAAATATACAAACTCTCTGCTTTTTATATATTTGCTTGATCAGTATGGTATAGGCCAAGAATTCACGACCAGGTTAATTTATGGGTTGGGGAGGACTTTGACCCTTATTACGAGTAATATGAAGAACAGGTTTTGATCGTTGAGAACATAGCAGTTTGGAATATTGCTGGAATTGCAACGACCTCCGTTGCTTGAAAATATCGTAATGCTTCCATCCCTAAGATCTATTTCTTAGTTATAAATTTTGTGCCAATAAATTATAGTGCCAATTTTGAATGGTGTGCGGCCCCGGGAAACAATTTTTCAATTTAGTTTAATCTGGTACGTGCGTGCGAGTAATTCCAATCTCTTCGCGTTGCAGAGCCTATACCTGAACCCGTGCGAAGCGAACAACGCATGTCAGAAGATCAATAACCAAAATTTTTGTGCCTGCCTAGAAAGCCCATGTTAAATAGAGGGGCGAGCCGCGGTTTCACCAGTTTTGTTTATACCTGGTACCCCTCTATGAAAGGTTGCACACCCCTGCTTTCGAGCTGTAGTTCATGTGAACTTGGCGCGATTAATCTTAGACATCTACATTAACAATCCTACGTTCGATATTTTTCTTCCAAATTTGTTGAAAATAAAACATTAAAAAGTTTGGGGTAAATTTTACTTTTTACCAGGAAGCAAATGAGAGAAAAATGATCGATAACTGCGTGTATTGGGCTATACCTGTCAGTTTGGGTTCTTGATATTCATTCATTCAGCACTGGCGATAATTGGAGCCCACGAGGCTCTTTGACCTCCTTCACAAAAAAGCTCGACCTTGGCCCATATTTCGCTTGATAAGTGTGGGAATTAGAGCTAGTATATTATAACTGGCACGCCCAATTCCCTGCCAGAGCTGCTATTTCCAGTTACACTGAACGTGTCTTCTTCCTATTTGATAAGTAGACTGATTTTATTTCCTTGTTATATATAGGGTGTATGCCATGGTAATGGCTTGTGAAGGTCAGTTGTTTATTTAGATTAATAATGCCAGTAAATCGCCATTTTTGCATTGTAAAGTTTGCTTTTTCGTATTAATATGACAATGACAAAGAAAACTACAATTTTTAAGGTATAACGTCTGAGGGAGTGATGCATTCATTTTATCTACGATCAGCGTTCGCAAACAACTCCTGGGTATTGTCCGGTCACTTCAACATTTACCATTCCTTGGTATCTCGAGTTGATATTTCTTTGAACATATAGATATAGATTCTTGGCTTGGGAGAAACTATTTCCAGTATCAGGATAGCCCGGAAACCACGCCGAGAAACTTGCAGGTTGTCCGTTTTTGAGAAATAATTTTCCGGTCTGTGTAAACGTGAAATGATATTAATGTTATGTGGCAAACTGCTATATATCGGTATTTCATCGCAGTAACGTCTGGTGGTGTCTTTTGGAAACTTCGGGGCGCCGGGACCCTTTTAAAAAGGATTAACGGATAAGGATAACGTCATGTCCCCTGAAAATCAGTGACACCGAACAGCGGGAGAATTCACAGTGTAAGTTGGGAAAGTCGTCAAAATCTCGCTATTTAAATCATCAAAAACACCAAGAGGGTATTTTATAGCTACATCTGATTTCGATTATCCATGAACTTGATAACGTTTTCCCAATGCTTTTATGTGAGTTTTGATGACCAAGGCCTTAAACGTACGTACAAATAGGGTAGTAAAATAGTCAGTTACCTTTGGGTCAACTTTCATTCCCAACCAAACTACGATGTGTTCATCGACTGAAATTATTTGGCTCCGTACAAGATTAGTAATGTCATCAAAAAGGTCGCTGTCGTTTATATCAGCAACAGTTCCGCCATCTCCTTCGCATGTTCTTGATGCTTCATCAAAATCAATATTTTTCCAGGAAAAAATTTCAACCCAGTAGCATTTAGTTCCATGTTTCACTTTGCAGTCTTAAAAGCACATACATGTTTTTTAACAAACGGTATAAGTGACTGGAAACGCAGATACGAACTCAATTATCGATACTTAGACCAATATGAAACTGAAGTGTAATCGGCTTGGGTTCAATGAGCTATATTCACACATTCGGTTGTTTATTTATCCGAAGTAATGTCAACTCTTCTCTGAAAAAGTCGCGGCCTCTGCCTATTATAAGCGTTCAAAACGTTTTCGGCAGACTTGATCCAAGGTACAAATTGCAATGCAGTTCAGGTTTACAGGCTAATTTGAACACTCGTACAAATTAAGCGAGAAACAACAAATATTGATACCATATATCTGCATACAGTAAGTTAGTCCTACAACAAACTCAACAACTTTACTTAGTCGAGGATGTGTTTTATAAACAGACCAGTTTGATTAATGTAATTGGAAACTATTCCAAGCTTCGACCAATTAGCAATTATTTGAACTTACGTTTATCACTTGATGGCAAATTAATTCCTCCAGTCCAAGTCCAAGGCGGGGTATTTATAAGTTTCTTTGGTGTCTCCGTAGTTTGCACATGTATTGATCTCGTTGGTGGTGGTGCCCGTGGAATTTGAGGATCTGAAATTTAATATTTTATGGAGTTTTTGCTGGAAACAACGCTCTTGTACAATATGTGAAAGGCTGGAATAAAATGTTTTATCGGTTGGACGAAACTCGGCGTGGAAAACCCAAGGCATGCTTGCAACCAACCACTATCCCGCAATTCAAATGAAATATGATGTCACGCTCAGAACACAATCTCTTTCAGCTTTATTCAGGTTTGTTGTATACGCTATGGCTATACACTATGTTATCGACTCATGCATTTGTCAAGCCAACCAACTTCTAAAAGAGAGAAAATTATTAAATCAATTATAGTTTATGCTTAGTGCAATGGATGTTTCCCCGAATATCGATATCCGTGTTGTACACGAAGAAGACCTGCGGTTAGTTTTGTTATCATTATTATTATGTTGTTGTTGTTGTTGACATCAAAATTTAAAATTGCGCAACTTGTGGCGGTTTCACGTTCGCGCGCTTCACGATCTGGTGGTCAGTCAAAGTCGGGAAAACTACGCTACCGTATCGGTACTACTATTTCATTTTAGCTTTCGTGTCCATATATTTGAGCATCGCTCTCTAGTGTATTTACTCACTATTGACTAATCAGCAAGATGTCGACGGTGACATAACGATGGAAATTTTAGTAGCCGGTCGAACATTTTTTTCGCGCTGACAGATGATTTCAGGCGGGGTTGTTCAACCTATATTTCAGTTTTTAGCTGTGTTTTATGTTAGTTGTGCTGTTATTTAGGTTTAAATGACATAACTTTTTTTTGCTCGCATTTTGCCTTACGAGGAGTTTCAGTCCTAGTGCCTTTTTAGAATTAGAATAATATTAATCGCTGAACTTGTCACTTCCAAAAAATGTTTTGTAATTGTAAGGCATAGGAAAACTTTTCTGGGGTCAAGGGTTAAATATACAAGTTATTTTTGGTTTGATAGTGAGTCAGGATCAGGCAGTTTTCTGCTGCGTTCGTAACTAGGTAGTACTTTGTTCAGACTCCGGCAGTAGTTAGTAGAATGAAGAAAGCGCTAATTATTTTATCATAATTATATGCAATGGCGTAGTGTTGTGCCATTATTTCGAGGAGTTTCCAGCGTTATTAAAACAGTTATCCGCTGAACTTATCATCGTACCTCTTCACATATTACTAATGAATAGCTATTATCATCGTAAATCCTTAAATACCAAATATACAGTTGAAACTATGTGAAAATTTTGGTAAAAAAATTGGGAATTTAATATATATATATTAAATTTTTGGTATGTAGTTACACATGGAGGAGAAAGTATTTGGGTATTATTATTGCAGCGGAACTAGAATCCGTGTTCTTCTATCCTACGAACCGGTCATTCCCATGGCAAATAGTCTTGAAAAAATTCTTTCGAAAGAAGATTTCGTTGTTTGTCGTTCTGCACCACCCGATTGCGTCACTGTGATTACAGTTGGTTTTTTCGGTTTAGAAGGTTTCGTTGTCTTTTGTGGTTTTATGGGCTTCTTGGGTTTTGTAGGAATTTTCGTGGTCCTCGTCGGTGCCACCTTGGTTGTTTTTTTCGGCAGAGGCCTGCTGCGTCTATTCCATGGCTTTTTAGTCGGACCTTTCAGAAAATTGTTATTCATCTATGACAAGTCGCGTATCATGGGTGGCGAAGTAGATTTATGAATTTGCACTCGAAGCTTTGACTAAACCGTTTAAAATTTCCCAGCGTAAAAAATTTGGGAAGTTTTTCCCACTAACGTCATACAATTAGAATGTTACGAACAAATTTGAACTGGAAAGCACAGGTATAATATTCTGAATCAATACTTTGAAAGCCAGTATAGATACTCTTACACTAAATAAATTGCGCAAGTTAAAAAAAAACTTGCGATTTTGAATGTTTTGGTGAAGAGTTGAATAAAAATGATATACTACATTACCTATCACATCCATTTTTTCTCCCCCATACATTCACAAATGTGTACCTCTTTTGTCGTAATTTTTGTAAGGATATCATTTTTAGAGAACGACTTTATAATATAACGACGATATAATTTTCTGAACCGAATTTTCGACGTAAGATGATTTGACAGTGATTTTCTTTCAGAAATGTTGTAACGTTACATTACATACGCATTAAATCCATTACATACACGGTATATACGTCACTTACCTGGTTTTCTTCTTATTGTTGGTTGAGGTCTCCGTGTTGGTTTTGTTGATGGAGAGTTATTTATAGTTTTTTCAATAAACCTGAGCAGCCTTGTCTCCATTTTATTCATAGCATCAGTGAGTTCAGTTCGTAAACTATTAATTGCTGAAAATACAAAACAAAATTATAAAACGTCATCACACCTTAAATGAGAGCAAAAATATCTAGTAATAGGTGAATTATCAATATATTTTCTACTTTCTGGCCATTTTGATAGAGTCTAAGGCGAGATAGCAAAAATTTCAAGGTATAGTATGTAATTAGATTTTTTCAATCATACTGGATGAGTGCATATCTCCTATTTGTAGAGAAAACCTTAGATCAGGGCTCTTCAAACTGGGGTCCCGACTTCACAGTGGGTGGCGAAAGGTCCAAATGGGGTTGCGGTAAATGTTTTTCGATACTAAAACAAAATATCGATTAAATTTGGAACCAGTACTGAGACCCACCATCACCGAAATAGAGCAAAGATTTGATATTTTGTGCGAGAATATGCAAGCACATCGGTTTCATTAAAGGTATTGTCAAGTTTACTATTATTATTTTTTTCCAATATTTCCTGTATTATTCAATTTTATTTTTGTTTCACTTCCCGAGTTTTGCGAAAAAATTCGGCCGTGTCACATGAGTCGTGATGAAAAAAGTTTGAAGAAAAATGCTTTAAATTGTGCTGATTTGGAATATAATTGACAATTCTCCTAACAGATATGAAAACTTCTTCTTTCATTCAAAAATGTTTTGGGGAATTTTTATCATTTTAAATCTTTGAGATATCAAATTAAATAAATATACATATCCTCATCTCGAATGCTTTTATCCTATTTTTGCAGACCAATGAACTATAATGTCACCCGTAGTTGTGGTTTTCTCCTGAGATTGTTCAAGCTGTTTGATGAGTTTTTCTTGAGTTTTGTTCATAATTCGGATCTGACTTTCAATTTCTGTAAATAAAAAGTTCAACTCACTCGTTTGAAATGTTATACTGATTTACGGACGAAATTCCACTTTGTTTTCACTAATATTATAAATCATCCTAACCGCCTATACTTATATTATATTAACACGTATTTTCTTCATAATTTATAGCCGAAAGTAGGCGGATATTATCACAAGGTTCTAAAGTGTTCTATACAGGTAAAGATGCCATGAAGACTGTCAAACTGTCACTCACTCTTTATGTAAAATGTGATGTAATTTAAAAAAAAACAGAATATGGTAATGAAATGTAAAATTATGCACCTGAAGATAATTGTCTTTCTAGTTTCCTTTCCAGAGCATGGTTTTTTTCTTCCATGTATAAATTGTTTTTATTAATCTCCGCTTTGATATCTATTATATAAAATAAAACGCACGTTCCGTTTACTAGAATGACCACATAATGATATATCACGTGGCAATATTGTTTTGCCCTAAAAATTACTTATTTCAACTGAATAATAGTCATTTTGGTTAGTTTTGTGTTGTAGCGAATGTTTGTATGAACAATGTTGGTACGGACAACTCTTGATTTATAAAAGGAATATTCTTTCGTAACACGGTCCCTTTATTGTTCAATTTATATTTAGGCTATTGACAAATAAATATTTATTACAAAAATATATATATACCTTGCATTCTACCATATTTCACATTTTTCTCTGATCTTTCAATTCTTGCCTCGCGAGAAGTTAATATTCTGTTATATTGTTGATTCATGTCTTAAAACAATACCACAGATATATATATATATATATATAAAGAAACATTTTGACGGATCAGGGACGTATATTATTTTACGCATTTTTTACGCATTATTTAAACGCATTTTTCTCATTTATATGTTTTATTCACCCGTCCAAAAGCATTGGCATATATAATATATATTTGATTTAACGTCCTGCGATGTTTTATCAACTTCCATATCAGATTGCTTTGAGCATACCAGATGTCCATTACTCCAAACAGACAAAAGAATGATTACCATATTATACCAATCGAGATCCAAAGATTTTTAGATTTTATATGTAGAATATTAAAATATTTGCAAACAAAAAGGTATATTTGGCATTTACAAAAAGCTGTTAGGCTTTTGCAGACATGCTCCAAGCGAGACAGATATACTTCGAAAATTAGATTGTAAGGCCCAAGTTTTATCAGCGTATCTTCAGATTAGCTTCAACTGCTTATATACATGAGGTGGCAAAGTTAACATTGCCTTGTTCAATATAGAAACACCTATCATACCTTGTTTTGTCTTTTTAAGATCTTGATCAAGTCTAGCCACGATTTTCATAAGATTTTTGGTTGAGACTCCGGATTTTTGTTGGCATTCGAGAGGATATTCATTGCGGTTCATATAATCATTGATATCGATTCCGGCGAGCCCGTGTGGTACTGGGTCACATTGAGATATGTGGCATCCAACTTTCGGTTTGCAGTCAAAACTGTAACCACTGTTTATTATCTGGCATATACTTTTTCCTGGTAGCAAAATTAAAACAATCCATTGCAGGCAAGCAAAGGTGCTATAAAGCTTCATTTTTGTAGCGTCTAAATTTGCTGAAACAGATATAAATTGAATTTTGAATTAATTTTCATTATTAAACAAAACCGCGGGCAGAAAAAAAAACGGCCACAACTCTCTAATTTGATTTGGCGTATTTACAAAGACCAAATATTAAGCCATAGCCTGGTTATTCAGAAAAATTCTTGTTTATACGAGGGAACGGCTATACTTACATCTTCAAAAATGCTTTTTCTAGTTGGACTTCAACTTTAACAATACTGTCCTCTATCTCTCGGAATAAGGAAGATCATTCTATAACCCAAATCTTTTTATTTCCTTGGAACGCCTAGAAAAACTTAATCAATTACTGTTTTTTTTTTTGCAATCGTAATGCAAATTTTTTTCGCTTCAAAATTTTATTCAGTACACTACATCGCAATACTTTCATAATTCTTGTATATGTCAATTTTATGGCCTTGTATCCCTCGAAACGTATTTTACCTAATAAATCCTGTTAAGGCAAATGATGTATATAGATAGACACATTGTTTATTTCCAGAGTCGAGAATAAAATTTCACTTTAGCCTTGGGCGTCGGAGAATTTTTAGCTTGGCACGTGATAAGAATCTTTCAGGCGGGCAAATGTTTTATTGGTTAGCCCAGAGGTTCTCAAACTTTTGGTGTTATTGAGCCGTGAAGCGGTTGACTATTATTTACGGTGCCCCACAATGAATTTATGAAATAAAAACAAAACAAATTGTTTTTCAACGATTAAAATTCCATTGTAAATCAAAGTTATTTTATCTAATGGCTTGGATGTATTTGCTGCTTTGTATTTAAAAAAATACATCTGATACATAACATATTAATGAAGTATTGTCGAAATGTGGCAACAATTGGAACATATGGATAATGTCATATTTGAATTACGAATAGCTCGCGGAGCCCCTAGGTTTTTCTCGTGGAATTCTCTGGCTTCGTTAGCACTTTAAGAACCTATGGATTAGCGCCCTCACAGTCTTGGTATTTCTGGCGCCCTGGTTAGTCCTGTGGTCAAACTAATCTAACTAGCTTGAAAAGGCTGCAATATATTGTTAGACTATGAAGAACTGTGAATATTGCAGATATTCCAAACCTTATGACTCTGTAACGTTCTGACGGTTCAAAGCGAGTCTGTAGAATCAAAGATTCAAATATACGAAAGCGGAAGTATGTCTAAATATTAGCCAATGTATGCTACCGATCTTAAACATATATATTGATTATTGACGTATGTGAGAATTTATTTTCGATATAGATGAATCTTCATTTCTGCACTAGGTTTTTACGTGAATATGTATCCTACGAGCCTATTCCCGTGCGTGAGAGAGTTACCGGTCGCACGTCGCGTCGTTTTGGGACATCTTTTGGTATAAAAGCGATCGACTCTTTTTGAAACGATTTTCGAAGAGATGCCCCAGGTAATTACATAGATACATTACATTCATTAAAAGAAAACTATTGTCACAAACTTTGTTTATGTCGTAAAATTATTCAGTAATAGTTAAGTATTACGAAAAGCTGTTCCGATGTCAGTGTTTTACTGACAAAATATATGTCCGTGGTGGAAAGTGATCAAAATTCCTATTATTTAACCAACGCAATTTATATTATTCAAAAACAAGACGATAGCGATTTATTTTAACAAAATATCATTAAATTTACATCATTCAAGGTGAAAGTGAATAAATATAAAAACAGTCATGATTATGTATACTGTGATACTACATATACTGTGGCGAGTACATTGGGATGGTTATTGTTTATTTCAATATTTTCACCACGTATTGTTAATAGTGCATGTTAGACGCCTGAAACAAGGTCGTTGCTCTAATTCATTTCCTTTATGATTTATTTCCCTCGCTCAATGTTGCTTGTCTTTCACGTTATTTGTTAGTTAGAAATTTGGTTTCATCACATTACTGCATTAAGGTTTTAAGTGTAATTTGTTATCTGTTCTTGGGATCGATTCAATTGTGCGTCTTTACAATATAACAACATCGGTATTCAATACATTGTGTGTTTATTGACCTCTAAGGGAGTTCAGATCGGAGTTACACTCTGTTAACGTGTGTTCAATAACACGGGAGTGTGGTTACGCAGAAAGGGTCAATAGCCCCATATAATACTATAACTTTATTTGTACGTGTTGAATGATAAACGTTTCTTCGATAAACTGTGAGAAGGGGGCTGCAGTACAACCATACATCGCCACGCCACAATGTTCCATGTTAATCTAGCCCCTTGTAGACTTTGTACTTCAAAATGCAAACAAACGAGGCAATACATGCAATCACATGGAACACCATATACGTCAGCACTTGTCAATATTGAGAAACGGTGGCAATAAAACAACAATTATATTGTGTAAGAGCCTGTATGTTATTGTTGTCCCAGATTGCGCATGTAACACGAAATCACATTCTGTATTCAAAACACAATTACGTAAAGCGTTTCATATGGCGTAGAAAACTTGACGGGGCACTGTATGTACAAAATGGTTCTCTCTATTCTGCGTCTGTTTTATTTAAGCATTTGAAGTGCGTGTTACGTGGCCGATAGTTTGCATATCATGGGTGTTTTCCCTATCAGTTGGAACAAGTAATATGCAATAGTACTGAATATAACACGCTCAACGACTGATAATAATAAAAGTTAGTTTCCCATCGCCATTTGACTGTTGTTATTACAACAGCACATATATTTTTATGAATTTTTTCTCAAACTCAAATTGCTGTATATTGTGCCCTTCTGGATAACGGACTTAATGTTTTGCATTTCCTAATTATTCATTTAAATTTAATAACACGGAAATATAGTATATGACGATATCACCTTTCATACAAGACACACAAAAATAAAAAGATATACAAGAAATAAAATTGCAGTGTCACTAAGTGTCAACGTATCAGTATGTAAAACAAAATGTACTATATTTTTACAAGATTGCTATTGACATATATAATAAATAAACAAGCATAATCTAAAAAATAATCCTGCTGCTCACAAATAACACCGGGGATTGCAAACATGAATGAGTACAAAAACAATTTATCAAAGCAGAAAAAAATAATAATTTTGCGTAAATAAACGTGACATGTTTAGAGAAATGACGGAACATAGATTTACCAGGTTCATGTGTCGAGAAACAACTTGAAGAAAATTTAACAAAGGCTAATTCCCAATCCAAACTCACAGTGTATTTTTAAGGATGTGTAAAGTGATAATATTCCATATATATAAAAAATATGTAATAAATAAGTGTAATCACAGGAAAGATTAGATTATTTGAAGAACAGAAACATGGTATAATGTTCATTTGTGCCGTATCAAATAGAAACATAGGGTGATGAAGATGATTGAGTATCCAAGTCTATTCGTGTACATTCATTCACTTATTCTTTCCACGCACCATTTCGTCTGATTAAAGCGTGCCCGTGATGAACTCCACGGACGCTTTTTAGGTGAACCGGATTCACAAAAACCATGATATCATAGTCTTCCTCAGGATAATCTCTATTCACAAACTGTCGGTAATCTTCGGCACATAGATCTTCTACACTCCATATTACTTTGTGTGATATTTCAGGAGAAAATGCGTATGGAAACTCGTTGTCAGCCATTACAATTCTTTTTCCTGAATACAAATAAAGATACATAGAATTAAAACCCCTTATGACATATTGCAGAAGTTAAAATCATAACTCAGAAACGTATGACAAAAACCAACCTCGATATTCCGCGTCTGGGCTAACGTATTTCTTTTCATATTCTTCGATGTTTCCACTGTCATCTACTTCTGATACAATTTTCATTGAATAGGGATATTTCAAGTACCGGTGCTTGATATAACTGTTCAAATCAAGCCATTCTTTTGCAAGATGTCGGCGGTGGTCACGATATATATCTGCCACCTTTTGTGTTCTAGGGAAAAATAAGACCGGTTCAGCGAATGTTCGAATGACCTTCCATACAATGCTGTGTGGAATGGTGAGTACTGTCCCTCCATATCATTTGCTGACCTAGGCCCCAGGCCTAGGGTTCACAGAAATTTGAACAATTCAGTTTTATATTGATCTATATTGAAAATTCACTTGTTGTATTAACCAAACAGTTAGTGAAGTGTATCTTGAAGTTCAGTTTTGGACAAAAGTAGTTCCAATTTCCAAATATAATCTATAGATGTAATTAACAGTTGTTCAAAAGCTTTATATTTCATCGCTACGCACAATACCCGAAATTGAGTACTTTGAAAATAGTATTCAAACCGAACTGAGAGGCCATCTCACCTGTCAAAATTCAAGTCTCCCTGTGATATATTTTCAGCAATTTCATCCCAACTTCTGAGGCGTTCTGATATTCCCATTGCAAATTAAGAGATACCGGTAGCTGTTATGAAGTCGATCCTCGATCTAAGATGTTTCTAAACAAGTGCGTACTCATCGCCAACGGAGCCATATAAAACTAAACAGCCCGACGTCCGAAAAGAACGCGGAAGGGAAATAACCTACTTTTTCACCAGACTTTTGAAATCGGGGCTCGTCATTATATAGTGTTCCCATTTAATACCAACATTTTGTTATTATATGAATTGTACAAAAATGTAGCAGAAACTAACACGAAGAAGAATATGAACGACTTCTGATATTCATCGTTGCTTTGTTCATATCTCATTTTGAGTACTGTATCCCATTTATATGATTGAGTACACAGGAACACTATGTATCGCGTGTTCTATTTATAGCAGTAAGAGTAATCGGTTTCGTCCATTGAAACATGGATACTGAAATTTATCAATTGAAATCTGAAATAAGTCCCAGGTGCATCTCTGGACAGTCAGAGAGACTTTGGTTAAAATAGTATATTTCACGTTGCAAAGTAAATTCAAATACCCAAATGACAATATCAGTTGGGGTTGCGCGTGACTTACTAACGAAAGTAGTTCGAAATGAGCAGTAGATTCAGCTAGCGTGTAAAATATGGGTAGTTATAGTTACGTAGCCAATTTGAAACATTTAGATTGGGCGTGAAACAGGTAGCTCTTACAATACCTACACTATAAAATATCCCTCCGATTCGCTTTTTCGTACACGAACATCATTGTCGTAGCCTTTCCGTACGCATTTTTTTGCCACTGCTTTTACTTCCTGTTCAATGATAATATTAGTCGCATTTTATTCTATGCTCATTTAAGATATTAAATGGGAAAATTTCATATTCTGCAAAGAACGAAATACAACAAAGGTACCGTAATAATGCACTCATATTTCACGTTTGAAGTATAGTAAATAAAAAACATTCATTTCCATTTGTCAACAGCAGGTGTATCGGCTTAATTAAGTCCAATCAATGACATTAAACAACTAGATAACTAGAAAATTACAGAAAATGCAAATTTCTGCTCTGCTGATCACATTCCCCATAAGAGCTCATGTTAAAATCGTCTTGTTTATGCCACTTATTTTTCACGAGTAAGATTGGTTTGAATGATAAGGTCTATTCTCATAGTATACCACGCGACTCACTAGCACAGCGTTTCCCAACCTTTTTGGTCGCGGACTATTTTCTCACCGGCAAAAATCTTTGCGGACTCAAGGTCTCTGCTAAGGACAACTTGATTTAGTACCTATTAAAAATATATTTAAAGTATATATATTAGTAAATCAAAAATACATATTCTTCGCCTTGATTCATTATTAATTTAATTGTGATCATTTAATCTGCGGTTGTGTTGACTGTTGACGAAATAAAAGAAATACGGTATTCCTGAAGTATGCGCACCAAGATGTCGCAAAACCTGAACCCTAACCTGGTGCGCATACTTCAGGAGGTCCAGAAATACTACTCAGAAAATATCATTACTATACGTGGACGCAAAAATGCGTGGTAAAGTGCCCGATTATATTTTGTTTTGATTCGTATTTTTGTTCGACAAATCTGAGCTATTCGTAGAACACTTACAGCGCTGCAGTACTGTACGTACCAACGTGGAGGCAGTAAAGCAAAGAATCCTAAGGGAAAATGACCTGGTACGTATACTACGGTAGCACCCGGAATTTCGCGATGTCTAAAAAAAAATTTAATCATCATAAAACAAAACTTATGGTGTTCTCCGTTTCATTTTTAGTATTTTGTATCGCCGCTTTTCAATTTAGAATATCTGGGTTGCCATCATTGACACCAACCAGAAAAAAATTTATTCGAACTCGCGAGAAACACCACACTTATGTATAGGGTTTTGTTTTTTATCAATTCTAAAAAAAAACATCGTGTTTTAGAACATGGGCTCAAAGTCATAAGATTTTACCCGGAATGTTTAGCCGAGATATCAGAGAGACGTTTTGAGTAAGAAAATTATGAAAATTAGCTCCCGAGTCTACTACAAAAGCAATTCGATCAATTGCAGCCCTTCGGCAAAACGAGTGGGTTGCGATAATGAAGAATATGCTTATATCGGCGGTAATCTACTGATATAACGATGATACAGCCTAGCCTATGTTAATTGTAAGGGTCCTCTGATGAAAAGACGCCCTGACTAATCTGTTATGACTATGAGTGACGCCATAATATGGATTTTGAGTTCATGTATTGGGATTTTTCTCATAAAATGAAGGCATCATTACGGTTAATACTGTTCGGTTAATTTATGCTTGGCATACATTGTTTTTAAGGTTGAAGTGATAGAGTTTTTTAAGGTTATACAAACTCATTTATTCAATCGCATTTCAATTTTCGCAAGGTGGTTTCATCGCACCAGGGTCGTGCATGTAATAGCTTATCGGTTGCGTCTTACTGCGCCAAGCACTGGACTACAGGTTGAGAAGGTGTGCATGAGCCTCTATCGTTATTTGTGGCGTTTTGAAATATTTATTGCAAATAAGGAGCGCTTGGCAAGTTTTTATATCCATTTTTCTTCAACCTATTTATTACAAAAAAATCAAATAGTACACCCATCCCGAACAAAACAGGCAAAAAAAACTTGATTTGAAATAATTGTTTTAAAAAAATTCATTTTGAGCAAATCCCTACTTATGTATCTATCGACGCGTGTCCCCACTAGTGTTCCAATATCCGCAAGTGAGTTGTGAATTCCAATCGTTTGATCAAGCGACGCGCAAGTGACATGTTACCATATTTCGATTAGTAAATTGCTATTCTAATAGTTGAATATTCGAATATATGCCCAGCCTTACTCAGTAACAAGTAATTATTGACTCGATTAATATTATGTGAATAAACTTGCTTTTTATATTTTATCTAAATTCTAACATAAATCGTAACTTGGCTGATAGTAAAGTTTCGCAAAAACGTTTGCGTACCGCAGTGAATTTCTGACTCGTTGCGGACTCATTCAAACTCTCCGCATATTCGAAGCTTTGGAACTGGTCTTATAGCGACGTGTTCATTTTACAGTACTATCATGTTACATTCATTTTGGAGTTTATAAAAACCTTATACAACCTAAAGAGACTGGGTGATACAGATGAATATGAAGTACAGAGCGCGAGAAGAAAAACAGCTCGCCTTTTTTGATGAACTCGATTTCTTAATAGTTATATATTATTCCGAAATATAAAAAACAATACTTTATATATAGGGCATCAAAGTCTTGAGTGATTAGGCCCCCCAAAAGCCTTGATCCGGCCCTGGGTACTGTTAAAGGTAAGATAGACTACTACTTCGCTTCGATCTTCGTGTCCATGTCATCGCTCTCTTGTCGGGGGTCCCTGATCGCTATCTTGTCTGAATGTTATATAGTACTTCATGGGAACTAAACACTATTAGTTAAGCTAAACAGTGTCAGATTATTTAATAACATTATATTGCTTCAATGCTTTATTGTTACCTCGTTTTAATGATCGCTATTTGTATATTTTCATTTGAATTCAGAAAACCGTTAAACTAAGCTAGACATCGTAATCCGTATCAGGGCACAGGTAAAATCTCTTCAAAGCTCTGGATTTTATTGCAATACATCAAATTTCATTGTACAACATTACTGATATTTGTGGCATTGGACATGGTGAGGGTTGCATGTTATCGAATAGTATTCCAAGGATCGAGGAACAGTCGGATATTTCAGTCACCCCCAATTCGACACCAGTATGTTATTTGCCAGTATACACGAGAAAGGTGTTACACATAATACCATCTCAATGGAAGGGTACAACGCAGTCAGATATCTGCTCACAGTATCTGTCTTTACTTTTATCTTGCATTCAAAATTATTACTACTCAGCAGAGCTTTTTAAATCAATTTTGTACGAAACATCTACGAAACATTTGGGCAGCGAGTCTTTGAATCACGATCAAAAATTGCAAACCGGGTGGGCCAGTCTGGATTTCATGGCGTGAAATTAGAGGTCCAGGGTCAATTAGAGGTCATGGCCCCATAGAAGACCGAGCTTCGACGGCGATGATGCATATATTTGCATGGGTCAAAAGCCAATTGATCAGTTCAAACAGAACGCGATGAAAGTCTGTCATCCCCTTATTGAGTGCTATCCAAATTTTAACTTCTGTGGCCCACACCTACCATTTCAGGCGCCCCTCCAACATATATTTGAACAACATTTTTCAGTTGAAACCCGTATGCAACAAATATTTATCTGGTCTAGGCTTATAAATATTTTTCAATAAAAAGTTTATTATTTACGAACAACAATGACATTACGGCGGACACAGGGTTTATAGCCTGAATGTCATCACAGATTTGGTGTCTCCGAATCGACATATATATGCAGTTTCCGAAAGGTAGATTTCGAAAAACCTCACTTTTCAGCGGATGTGGTTTAGTGTTAGGCTACTTAACATTATCACCCTGGGTTTTGGATGGCTAGTGAGAAGCCAAAAGGTGCGTGTTCTTTGATATCAGTCACTATGTTATGTGAGAATTTGACAGTACTCTTCGTCAGTGAATGTTTCGTTCCACTACCCTCCAAACTGTTAGATATATTAGATCGTGAGCAATCACGAATTTCGGGCGTGCACTCGACTTGGAATCCAGAAGCGCACTGTAGGTTTAATCTACTTCATAATATGCTGATTTTATCTTGATGTAACCGTCACAGTAATGAAATTTAAATCTTCTGAGCAAATGTATGCTTTAATCTATTCTATATGTTTCCAAGAGAGGCTTATGCTCCCGAAATATAGGAAATCAATGTATTGGAAATATTAACTCGATTGCCTTTACACCAATTTTAAAACGTCCAGTTCAAAGAAAAGCATGTTAAAGAGGTATTATTATACATAAGATAGGCACGAAACTAATTTTGCACCAAGATTTTCGTAGATGAAATTCGTCATCTAACGGTTTGTAGGAGATTCGTTCTGATTAATATGTATTTATTAATAAAAATCGCCCATACTTTTAATTCTCGAAAGCGGGGTGCAATGTAAATCAGCGAAACGAACGTGAATCATTTTGGCCAAATCCTCTTCGATTAAATAAGTGTTTATGCTGTAACTATCGAAGCGAATTCGAGTGATTTTCACATCATCAGAACAAGGTGTCAATAATAGTGTCGTTGCTCTCATTGGATATGCCGAATAACCAGCTTCGCAATCTATAAGCAGAAGTACGAAAAGCGTGTTGAGGCTTTCAATTCAGTTGTAACAGGTGATATTCGCCAGTCTACTAGTGGAAGGAAGCGACTTACACATATATTTACAAGCATACTAACTGAAATGTAAGAAGGAAGAGACGAGGAAGTCGACCTAATACATTACGACTTAACTTTGATTGACAGTGCAGTTACTAACTCTATAATGATTCATACGGGTCGCTTCAGTGTGATTATAATAATCACCATACAGCCTGTCGTGTATTTCCGATCTTTCAATATTTTCCATATTAAGTAGAAAGGTAATAATGAAGATTTTTCGCCAGTACGCAAATTATATATATATTACATTGTGAATATTCGTTGTTTAATCTGTAAATGGAAGTTTTAACGATTAGTGGTGGAAAAAATGTATATTCGATAATTTCAATTGAACTGTGAATTGTCTGAACATAAATGTTTTTTCACCTAAAAGCTTATACTACATGGATATACATTTACAGAATTTCAAGTGCCAAAAAAAAACCTTTTTATAACGATTTCAATGTGATCTTCCAGTTCCCTTGAAGATTGATCAAATTTGATTGCAGGCAGACTTTGTCATAAAAATATTCTAATTCAATCAATTATCTTGACAATAGTATATATATATACTTACGGTAATTAATATGTAGGTTTCAACGCGCACAAAAATGAATTATATAATCTATGAAACATGTTACAAGATTAAAAAAAGTGTTTCATAAAGATTTAAATAGGTGGCATAATAGCCAAATAGCCCAAGCCTTAGAACTCATAGCTTATTAGGAAAAACATTTATATATTGTTCAGTTAAATTTATTCCAGGTTCCGAATATTTGCACTATAATCCTATGCACTCGTATATTTCAACGATTTCGTACGAAAAGTCTTACAAAATATGAGCATTTAAATGTTAATCACTGCACATTGACAAATATTCATTATTGCATCATAATATTTTAAGAATCTATTTATACTAATGAACTTTGTGGTGGTTCGCAAACCACAACATGACATCATAATAATTCGGTTATTTAATTATAATGCGTAGATTAGGCCTAAAATTATAATTATTCGTAGTGAGGTATGATTAAAGTTTTCCGAAGCGAAGATGAAGATACCAGAGGTATTCTGATAGCAGATGGTTTCTTCAATTGGGATTTAGCTGAAAGTATGATAATAGATGGAAATTATAACTTCGGAAGGTAAAATAACTAGTTGATGTATTTATTATTCTGTGCTTCATGACCATTCTAGTCAGTAAAGTTGTACAAATCTAAACTGTAAACTGAAATTTTGTTTGGTCGGTTTTGACGTTCCACCCAGTGCTATGTGCTGCTATGCGGGCGAGTTTCTGATAATGATGTACCTTAAATCTATCTTCAAAAATAATTGGGGAAATTACAAATTATAGATGTTGTTGTACACGAGAATGAATAAATTAAAGGTCAAATAAGAGTGACATGTATAGGATCAAACTGATTTATCAGCTGCACCCCACAACGTGCTGCCCGGGTTGGATGTCCTATGTCCTTCCCCTGCTGCTATGTTGAAAAAGAATAATTATTTAATATGCTTTAACTATACTGGTGACCCCTAATGAGCCTGTTGTAATCTTCCTTCAAATAAGCTAAGAAACGGAGTGAGTAAATCAATGATCTTTACTGGGAAGGACACATGCCGATCACATGTCGCAGCATTGCCACTAACTCTCTACGATGATTTATGTATTATTCTCCTCCATTAGTCTATCAATGTATAGTTGGTGGTGCAGTAGTCTAATTTTTGGTAAAAACGTTCTCTTTATTTCAGAACGTATGAATGTGCTCGTCGATATAAAAAACATATGACTTCAGTAGGACAGGAATGGGATTCTATTGATAGTTTATGTAGGAGTAAATTTCTTGGATTTCCCTACTCTACCAAGTCAATTGAAACATTCGATGACGATGGTACGACCCGCGGAAAAAGAATAGTAAAATTTGTTGACATGAAGGTAAATCCAGAAGGTATGGATCAGAATAGCTGTGATTCTGATTGTGAAAATTCGCTATTGATCGTAAATTCATTCAAAAATACAATAAATATTTTGTTTTTAGGATTTCGCGTCGTTATCGTAGAAAATGAATTCCCGTATGCTTTAACTCCAGATATTAGACATTTCATCATTTGGAGCTGCAAAGACATATCGTTAGAAGAATATCTTGAACAAGTTGAAAAAGAGTTTCCGCGCAATAAATTTGACATCATAATTTTTGAAAACCCAAGTGAACGAAAAAGTGTTAACGGAGTATCTCATGCACAAGTTTTTGTACGAGACAAGACGGGTGTGTCAGGGGCGTGATCTAAGGACAAAATACATTTTCCTCCGCATAGTGAATCTAGATCTACATGGACACGAACAAAGCGATTAAAGATGATGATTTTAGCCAAATTTAGTGAGTTGGAACTGATAACGATGCATAAAAAAGAAACAATTTAAATATATTTTTGTGCTTGTATATTTTTGTCTCTTTGAAAGTAAACAAATTTGTAAAGAAAATAATACGATGTTTATTTTTAGTATGATTTTTCAAATTAAGCAATAAGGCAAAAAACAATCTCGTCAAAAATGTACTTAACGTGGACTTCTGAACATTGGCCTAGAGATTCATTCTCCCACACTCTGTATGCATTTAAGTTCTTCAATACTTCAGTCATAAAATCTCGGAACAACGAAAATGTACATGAACCCTGAAACACGTCATGCATCTCGAGGCTGCATTTCAAAATCGCCATACATGCGCAAGTGACGTCACATTGATTGGTGACATCATCATACATCCTCATGTCAACTTTAATTTTGTCACTAATATTTCATTTATTAACAAACAATAGAAACAAAGAGAGGCTCCATAAGAAAAATACATTGATGATAAGACAAGTAGTTTTTTCCGGAATACGCTGTAAATCACTATTTCCGACATTTGTTATATTATAGTTAAGCAATGGGATCCGAAAGGTATATAAATAGAGCGGAGAAAGTGCATGCATTCATCAGCTAATGAAATAGTCAGAGACTCTAGTTTACGCAGCATTAAAGGTGATGCGCATGATGACCGAAAGAAAAACCATGTTTGGTGAACCAAATTGCGTCCTTCACATATAGTTTCAACTGATTCGTTATCATACAGTGTTATGATGCTCTCATCTTATTATAATTACGTTTATTTTCGACTGTCAGACGGTTTTGAAATTACAACCCTATATCATCGCATCGGTTATAACATCGCATACTAATGATAATTGCACACGCATTTCATTTTATAGTGTAATGTGCACATGCCGTTTGTAACATTCGTTTTATCTGTCGCATGAAACAACCTGATACGATTCATGCTTGTTCCGATCTTGAATCGCTGTGATTGATTAAGATTGACATGCATGATTTACAGACGGCCGTAACACTGGCAGTACTTGTCATCATTAGAGTTCAATGAATTTCTGTTTGCTTTTTCGTAATTTACCATGATAGCATCAACAAGACACATAAAATAAGAAATAAATCGTCGAAAGGTTTTATTTTTTAAACGGCTTTAGCAATAAATTACAGATTTCAAAGCGGAATATTACTATTAGTCTATTTCACCAAGTAGCCGTGTATTCGTTGGTTGAATAGGCAGTAGACATATATATATATATATATATCAAAATATATTTATATAAATAAAATCATAATGTCAGATAAAAGTATTTTCGGTTACACAGTTCCAGTAAGTAGTTTGAAGATAGCAAATATTTGCAAGAAATATACTATGAACAAGGTTGTTGTAATATGTTTTGTCGTAGCATTGGCTTTGGGGCTTTCTACTGCAGAAGACTTAGATTTGGTAATTACGGTGAGTACCTCTCTTTTTTCTTTAAGATTTTTTTTACACGACACCAACATTATTTATTTTGATAAGCGCCGTTCATCTAAAAAAAATGGAATGCAAAAACTGTCATGATTACACTTTTTTGTTGATTAGATGCTATTTAATTAGCCAAAATGATCGGATCGGCACTTGTAAAGACAACTCCACTACCCTCCCTAAATGCTTGCTTGTAAATTTTACAGCCGAGGAACAAGTCTGTCACCGCCGTGTTTCAACCATTAGAAGATGTTCGTGAATATAGAGTGGAAATTTATAAACAGGTATTTTATGTATAACAATACACATCTGCACGCTATCGATTCGACTGCTGCTGCTGCGTGAATTTGCTAGTTTTCTCCATCAACATAATTTTAAAAAAATTACCTAATAGTACTTTCCAGGCTTGTAACAAACGAACAGGCCAATTTTCTTCAGTATTCGAGTAAAATATCCAGCTAATATTTGATAAAGTAAAATGCGACACGTCTGACTTATGCTTTCGTTATATTGCTGTATCTAGGGATCTGCAAGACTTCGCAATTCCAGTCGTCTAACGGAATTCGATTTGATCGATGATCTGTACCATGAAGTCAAATTTGACAATTTATCAGCTGCCACTGAATATGATATAATCGTATCTGACATGGAATATGGACGCACGGTTACTGCTTCGTTTTTCACAGGTTAGTATGGCAAGGAGTCAGACTTCCGGAAAGATGAAACAACCTTTTCCGTGATGCGGTCGCCAGAAAAATTTAGATAATTGACAATGATTCATATTGTTGGAACATTGCTAATAAATCTTCACATTCTATTCAGACTGTGAAAGCGAGTTTTTGCAATGTGCGGTTGCAGTGGAAAACGGAAAGGACGTGTTGGGTTGTGTCCCAAACTTCAAGGTGTGTGATGGGTTTGAGGATTGCATCGATGGCAGCGACGAGGAAATCGTAGACGGAAAATGGTGAGAAGCATAATACACATTTAAATAGTTTATATTGCCGGACGGTTTGGATTGCTTGGGCGGTTGTCTCGAATAGCAACCATGTTCAACGTATATCCTATTTTTTTAATGGCATTGTTGATAATTTTTTTCACAGTCTACACGTCGACGAAGGAGAATCCCCATGTGCAACGGAATTTCTAAACGCTTTGGGCAACAACAAAGATCTCCCAGGTATTAATTTACCATTCAATCAGGATATATATAATAGTTCTCCATAGTTATCAACATCTTCCCAAATTATATATATTTTTTCATACAGAACATAAAGCTATAAGAACGCATTCGAACAGCGTTCAATATTTTACTTATATTGTCTTAGTGAATAATATTTATATATAATTAATCAAGCATTAAGTATGAAACAGCTCTCATTCTCTAGACGCAGTCGTTGTCGTGGTCATTTGTATTTTTGAGCTCTCTGTATTTTTCAGATTGTGATCCAAGGGGTGAATACTCACCGCTGCAATGTACTGATAACGTTGGCGAATGCGAATGTGTTGATGCTAGAACAGGACGAAAATTGCTTGAAGAAATTGGGCCACTTGATTCACATTTTCACGCCAGATGTATTTTGGGTACTCTGTTGTTAAAATAGCTTGAAATTGCCATCATACTTTGCGTCATTTAATATATACCTGTTTTCAGAACGACGCCGTCGGGAACGAACAACAATTTTTATTCAACGGAATAACACGAGAATAAATGACAAAGTCGTTCCGATTCTGTAAGTATGCATAAACTATTAAGTGACAAATTTTAGCGTATATCAGTGCTATAGTGGCCGAGAAAGCTTTGTGTGTGAATGGTTGTTGGCATGGATAGCTGCGCGAGGTTGAATTATTTCAAGCAAAAAGTGGAAACATTCTTTCAAAGACAATATTAGTTGTATGTAAATCGTTACCGACTTGTCGTTCATTTCCCTTTGTTTTCTCAGGCAGTAATGAATTTTAAAACGTTTATATATATATATATAATCATTTCAGGTCTTCTCCCACACCTAGAAACAACGATCCAACCATCTCTCCCGGATTGGAAAAATACCAGGATGCAACCGTTCTTCCTGGATTGGAAAAATACCAGGATTCAACAGATCCTCCTAAATTGGGAAAATACAACGATCCAACGGTTCTTCCTGAATTGGAAAAATACCAGGATGCAACGGTTCCTCCTGAATTGAAAAAATACAACGATCCAACTGTTCCTTCTGGATTGGAAAAACACAACGATCAAACGTTACCTCCTGAATTGAAAAAATATGACGAGTAAAAATGACGATGGCAGAATAGAGAACTAATTATAACCGGAAGATCTTTTTCGAATATGTCTAGCGCAAATCGTTAATACCAAAGAAGAAACAGAAAGAAGTTTACAAACGCACTTCATCCCGACGTTTCAGTGGCGAAAGCTTGTTGTAGCTATTCCCTTTTTTAAAATATCTCTGGGCTCCATGGAATTCGTTTTTCGTTCGAAGTTTTGTGTGATGACGTATTTTTGACGTAAACTTTGCATTGCGTATTTTTGCTAGATTTAAATGCTGTGATATCGTTAATTAAATTAAATACTACAAATAAAATAGTTTGATTACCTCATAATGGAATTAATTTTGGCGTTTGAGAGTGTTATATTTTTGTACTCGCCGTTATCGTAGGCTGCTTCATCTTATGATAGAAATCATCATTCTAATGTGATGAATAAACGTATTCATCGTTGATTTGTTTCACGTTACCTAACAATTCTATTTTTTATTAGGACGCGGCGATTTTGCGTGATAACTTCCAAACTGAATTTAAAATTGACGTTTCCATGTTATTCCGAAAGACCGCCCGGCGAATTCTAATCATGAGTAGCACTTTGGCGTTGTGTGATGTCTCGCCATTTTCTATTTTGCACCCCAGTCTTTTTAGTTTTTCAGTCGTTAGCACTTTCTTCTGTTCTTTACCGTCATATTTTACGTCCCAACGCGACGTCAAGCAGCGCGCATGCAGCTGTTGAAGTAGAAATGGCATGCCGTGCTTATCATCGTCTCCTTATATCAGGCCGCTCAAGCGAATCACTGTATTGCGACAGAAAACAACGGTCGAATTCTCTCTCGTTATCTCGCTGTATGCACATAATAACGAGTACCGAATGAATGTAAATGGGACGGGCGATACCGAAGTTTCGCCACCTTCACGTGTATATAGCCAACGTTCGTTTGCGTTTTGAGTTCAAGCATATTGGGGAGGAGAATAAAGAAATATGATAGTAATAATAATTAAGGTATGTAGGAGTCGAGACGACAAAGTTTTCGTGGTTGTTATCAGGACGTTTTGATAGGTCTAGTTAGCTTAGTTAAGATCCTGGCTGTAAGCGAATACCGTAATGTTTTCGGTTGATAATTCTATATCGTACCAGCATGCCGGTACTATATCGCTAAATTAATAGTAGTTTGATGTTTTTTATGTTGCCTATATACAAATATCTCTATTCTATTACCACCAATATTTTCGATTTTTTGTAATAAGAAAAAAAAGTACCAGAATGAAAAGTTGCGGTAGATAAGTTGTGATCAAGAGCAACGGCACGAGTTTTGGAAAAATGTATTTTCTTCAATTATTTTCGATGTGAAATCATATCTCCAGTTTTCTTAACTCCGAAATTGAAAGTTGGCAAATTAAAATCAGATTTTTAATAACATTTTTTTTTCAATTGTAAGAGAAGGTTTTTCATCCCATCGATATACAGATATATTTTGTCAGCTAATAATGAACTAATCGTTGATGGAATATTGTTCTATTTTGAAGAAAACATTGAGACTGATCCTTTGTGCAGTTGTGTGTATATTTGCATATGTTATGAGATAATTCGTTTAATGCTAATAATCCTTATATAACCTTTGTTGCTATTGGCAATTAGAACATATCAATATTGTACTAATTAAGAAATTGATTATGGCAAGGTTGAAAAAAATAATTATCTGAACCATTGAATATCATTGAATTCCATTAAATAATACAAACTAAGAAACCTGTATCAATCTGAAAAAAATATTTATTTTTCTGTATAGCCTACTGAAAACTCCCATCACTGTATTACATAACCGATATTCAATAATTAAATTAGTAGCGATGGATAACCGAACTGTAGAAGTAAGGGGTTCCAACGGTGCATATTATAAAGCATTTTTATCTGATGTGGGTCCTACTGGCATACTTGTTACATTTGAGAACAATTGGCAACCTGAAAAGATTATTCCATTCCAAGAAATTCGCTTGGCATATGATGTTGAAAGTGGAATCGAGTTCGTTGAAGGTCAAGAGGCCGAAGTTCATTCAAGAGCAAATGATAATGAACCTTGTGGTTGGTGGCATTGTCGGATTAAAATGAGCAAGGGAGAATTTTTCGTTATTGAATACCAATCGTGTGATCCAAAGTATACTGAAATTGTCACGAAAGAACGTCTCAGACCTATCAATAGCAACCAACCCTTATCAGGTAATGATATCAGGAAAGTGTCCCTGGATGTACCTGAAGATCTGCAAGACTTTTGTACAAAATACATAGATGCTCATAAGGAATTTGAACGAAGTATTGAAGCGATTTTAGTTCGGTACAACTCCACAAAGAAACAACTTGATGTTATCGTGTCAAATTCATCAGCTCAGCGAAGAGCTACGATTGTGTCAGATCTACATTTCCGAAGTCTTCGTACCAAATTACAAATGCTCCAAAGAGTCGAAGAAGCTTCGAAACAATTGGAAATAACTCAGCAGCGTGCAGAATCGTGTGTGGAAAAATTCACAGTTGGTGAAGATTTAGTTGGGCTAGCCATCGGTACAGGAGGAGCCAATATCATGGCTGCTAGAAAAATTTCTGGTGTTTTAGATATCGTTTTAGATGAGGATACACACACATTTTCAGTGTATGGTGAAACCAAAGAAGCTGTGCAACAAGCAAGAGAAATGTTGGAATTTTGTGAAGAAGAAGTTATCGTTCCAAGACCGTATGTAGGAAAAGTGATTGGCAAAAAGGGAGCTACAATCCAAGAAATGATTGACAAATCTGGTGTTATACGAGTCCGAGTTGTTGGGGACGATGAGAACACAGAAAAGGAAATTGAACCTGGAATGGTACCATTTCGATTTATCGGAATACGAGAAAATATCAGAAATGCAAGAGCACTTTTGGAATACCATGTTGCATACCTAAGGGACCTTGACCATTTACGAATGGAGCAATTGAGTATTAATCAGCGTATACGACAGCTTGATGGAGGGTCGAGTGCACTTCCCTCTCAGAGTGAAAGTGACATGGAGGGAAGTTACAGAAGACCCAGGTATAATCCAGGCCGGGGTAGAGGACGCAGACGCTCTGGTAGCGATAGAGAGGGAGCCACTACTACAAATTCCGAAAAGTCAATTTCAGACACAGGATCAGAAACAGGTGGAGAATCGATCACAGATAGTAAAGGGCAAATCAAATCAAAGGAACTGTTAAATAATGGATATTCAAAGTGAGTATAATATTGCATTGGAATTTGTAGCATTTACGTTAATTGGCTATTCTGTTAATTGAATAACTGCCGTGCGCATATAAACTTACGGATATTTACGGCTTCGTCCACCATCAAGTTCATGCTTCCGAAAAACAAATACCTACCGGTAACTAATCCCACACCCGACATGGAATGGTAACCGGGTGAAAGGCCGTGGTCCGCCATAAGGTTAAGCCATCTTATTGTCTTTACTCTTCTTTGGGATAAATATGTAAATCCTATCCTAACTGAAGGATATATTCCAAAAGAAGCTTTATTTTCATGAGCGTATAGCAAATTCAAGCCACACACAGTTATGCTTGGAATCAATTCATATAAGGACTATTTCCTTGAACAAGATTTTTTCTAACCATATACTTTTTCAGTCGAGGAAAGCCGCAATCACAGAAACCGTTTCATAAGAAAGAAACATCCAATCCAAATCACAATCGCTTTGAAGCACTAAATGGAGCTGGAGAAGGCCAAGATAAGGTTGAAAATGTAAGTTGTGCATATTATTTTCAAACAGTTTAGAACTCTAGATGTGTGCCATGGAATTTAATTTGAATTGATCATGCATTTATTCATAAATCAGCAACACTTTGAAATTTCTGACAAATTAAGTGTTTCCAACAGCCAGTGGATTTTTACAATCGACTTCATTTTCCATTAAAGAAAATTTTTGGCTCCAATGCTGAACTCCAAGAAAATCCAATTCTGATGACAAACTTTGGCTCATGCACATCTTTTTCAATAAACCGTCAAGAATTCTTAATATTGATTTTAATTTGATTATTTTGTCACCATTGAAAATTTGCAACTCCCACTTCACAGCCCTGAACTTACTTTTATTATTCATTTCTTCATCAGGGGGTAGCGCCAGCACAAAATGGCACAGAAAGAGGACCACAAACCAACCCTAACACTGGAGGCAAGAAGAGACGAAATAGAAACCGGAATAAAAAGGGAAAATTGGACAACCTCACCAATGGCACAATGAATGGTGATGCCGCACAAAGTACCGAAAACAATCCTAAAAAAGAAGATAGTGCTACAACAGTCACAGCTAAATAAACAGACCTATATGTCTTCGGCCATGCGAGGCTTACGTTACAACTTTAACAAACTCCTAACTCAGCCTTGACCAAAAATACTAGTAGATGTGCATGTTGAACATATTTAATGCTGGTGTTTGCCTATTGGATCTTCGTGACACGCAAGTCAACATTTAGTTTTCAGTGTTTGATGTTCATATTTTTCTCGAACAAAACAAAATTCTTGTATTGTTTGTATATATTATTATTTTCTTGTTTATTGTGCTATTCTTTTTGTACATTTTTTCTATTTATTTAAACTATTTAGCAAGGATTTGTAGCCGAATGTCACTTGTTAAAGTTAAAATATTGTCAACTTGACGATCTGTTTGGAAGTTACTCCTATCTATAACACTTGTACTGTACTGTTTGAAATGCATCTTTTTCACTTTAATTGATGTGAAATTGCAATCACAAGATTATGGGATATTACACCCTAGATGAAATTTTAATGGACCATCCAGATTAGATTTTGATTATATTATAATATTCATTCAACGCGTAAATGGACATCTTACTGACAATTCCTTCTATGATAATATAGATTATCTAAAGTTGAATTGCTGTTTTATCGAATTTCTTTATTTGCATACAATGTATGATAGCCACTGTGGACCACCATGTGTGATACATGATGTAGACAAATCCGCCTGGCTGGTGGCGGCACTATTTTCTGTACATGATTTGGTTTCACCTAATACTGTGCCTAATTTTATCAGTTCCAAACTCATCTGTTTATATTTAAGCCTTGATTCTGAATGTATATTTGAATGTATATTAAATCTGTGCATGTTAATGGGTGTTCTACTTATTTCACACTTCACTTTAGAATGTCGGCGGATGGTGTTTATATTAACCCAAACACTTTCACAGATAAACATTTTTGCAATAAAATCATTCAAGATTATTTACTGTTGTGTGATCTCTATAGTACCAACTACCAGTTAGATAAACAAATTGTACATACAAATTTATTACTCATAAATGATACAAAAACATACAATAATATGGAGTTACCAGAGTACTGGCTCATACATAACTAATGTGGGCCCTCCTGAATGAGCTGTTGATGGAAACACCAAAAAGAAGTACAGTAATAGTATACTATAAATTCACAAAGCAGTCAAATATAAAGTTATTTCGTGAGGGGTCTCATTCTAATACCTACGATCGCCAAGCAAGCACTAAATTGTCGAGACCTGCTGTGTTTTAGGAAGATCGTAGTTCAATTTATTACACGAGTGAGGTATGGAGCATTGGCTTGCGTTTCAACATAGAAAGGTTACCAACATTGCCATAACGTTTATTCAAAACCTGAAATGATCACGCACTTGTATCATCATTAACAATAATGCACTAGCCCTGAGACTATGAAAGAGTTGAAATATACATAGTCAAATACACAAATTTCACATTTACAAAAACACTCAAGATTCTTTGTGACAACAATTGCAGCTTGAAGGATGAAAAAATAAACAATAATATACTGTAACATAGTGCTATGAAATCATTGAGATAGATGATTTTTCAAGAAGTATGTTCCATAATATAGTAAACGTTAGTGCTATACTGGGTAAAAGTCAAAGACAGGATTAGGATCTAAAAGTTGTTATTTAATAGGTCTCCATTTCCTCCATAGTAAATATCAACCAAACCCACTATGAAATAATAAGTTCAAAATAGACCTTATTTTATATTAGGAGTATTACAACTGAATGACATGAGAAACACAATGATAAAAGCTGCTAAGCCTCATCTTCAAATATTAGGATTTCGATCGATCTTAGTCCTGATTCAATAGGATTTTTTATTAATATTCCACGAGGTGCATATACATTTTGATTTTCATCATCCAAAAATTTGGCTGCTTTTTTTACCACTTTTTCGTAATGGGTATCCATACAGAGATATGCAAGATATGCAGTTAAACAAGCAAAACATCCTTCACAGAATATACATCCATTTGTTGTTTCTCCCTCTGTGTAAAGGTCATTTAGTCGATTTATAGTGTTCGCGAATAGATCTTGATCAAGTCTACCATCCAGTTCCTCAGGCATTCGAGTATGAAACATCACTTTCATACCAAATGAATAGTCCCGCTGGACATAAACCCTCTTTTTGATAGGTGGTAGTACATTTTCCATCCACTTCATCGGGCTTCAACCAAAAATGGAATTAAAAATGTCTGTCGCTGTACCCTCTTTCGTTAATTCAATTCCTGTTTTAAACAATCATTCCTTTACTGTACAACCAGACAATAGAATTCTGGGAATAAATGAAAAATTAAAACTCAAAGAATTAAGTTGTTAAAACAATTGCTGAGCTCAAACAATGTTGAAAATTCAGTCTTCACTATAAGTATAAGTTTATCTCGACTCCATAATCAGCAATAGACGATAAAATAATAAATAAAGACAAAAAATAAAAGTACCGTAACTGATTATAGAATCGGGAAAGCAAACAAAACCTCAAGTAAGGTTTGAAGCGTACAGATTTTAGATGGAAAGGTAGGCCTATTGATAAAAGAAGAAGTACGTGTTCGCTCACCATCACTACTTTAGCGGCTGTTAAATACCGTAACACAGTAAAGGCTCAACTGATTAATAGCATAGTCTGATACCCGTAGTTTAATTTTAAATTACCGTACGGTACCGATACCGTGTGAAATCGAAATCAAAATATACGGTATTTTTTGTGACGTACTGAATTACCGGTACCGTAGGCTTTGTGTTGCAATTCCCAAATTTATACACGTATAGTTCAGATGCTTCTATATAAATTTTATTTCGATTCATTCAAATAATGCAATACACACGGATAAACTGAGAGACAGACGCGAAGAATAAAGCGGCCTCAATGCCCATGGGTAGAAGAAATGGAATCCTATTTCTATTATTAGTTACGGGTTACCAGAACCAAGAATACTTGCTCGGGAGCGCCCTCTATGGATGGCATACATCACAAGATGAACTAGAGTGGGGGGCTATGGACCTTTCCCCGAGCATCGACTTCTTTGTTTACTTCGTGACATTGGCCAATCAGCAAAATGCAAAACGTGACGTAACAATGTCCCCTTTTCGCATCCGCTCAGACACTTCTCACACTCAGACAGATTTTCAAGCGGGGTCGTAAACATTACCTCGTTTTCGCGTTTTTGAACTCTATTCGTTAGTTTTCAGTTGTGTTTCGGAAACTTGAATATAAATCAGATAATTCAATGATCACTCTGTCTTCTTAGGAGTTTTAATTTAATTGCAGTAATAAAAATTAGTGTAGAAATAGCTGTGATAGACTAGCCTGAAATTCCTTACCGGTACTTTTAAAAAAGAGATTGTTGTATGCGATGAATCATAATGATGGTTTGAAACACATACCCCATTTTACAGGCGCCAACTCGCAACAGCACTCTTAAAATAGCCCCGAAAATTTTGCAATGGTAAAGTATAGGAAGAATTTTTCGGGGGTCAAAGGTCGGGGAAAGGTCCATCCCAACTTTTTTTACCTATCTAAATTATTTGGGTCCGGTGTTTCCAGAAATTATATTTTGCATCCGTAAACGCGCACTTTCTCGACTAATGATTATCAGCTAATCAAGATTGTTTAAAATTGTGTTATAGTTCTTTTCATATATCTTTAAAACAATAAAAGTCATTTTTCAAAATGAAAAATAAGGTGCGGTCCGAATCAAATACTCAAAAAGGTCCAGATTCGGACCGCGGTCCACCAGTTGAGTAGCCCTAAACTAGACAGTAGAGATGAAGGTATTTATTTATCCCTCTTGCCAGTAAATGTTTCCTGTACCTTCAATTACAAATCAATGCAACAACTAGCTAGTCATTAAAACAACGTCAATATTATTTGTATGTAAAATAGTTCGTAACCAATGACTTTACTGAACAACTACGATAGTTACGGCATCTCTTTTTTTCTACGAAGACCATTGTTATTTGTGGCGTATACAAAATCTGTTGAACAGTGGTTTTCAGCCGGAGTTCCGAACTCCACGTACAAGTAAGGTTCCGTCAGTAAAGTCCAAGGGTTTCGCAAGTAAGAGTAATAAAAGTGTTTCAAAAATTCACTCAACAATCATTTTTTTCTGTAATCACCACATAATAACCGCGCAGCCACAATTTTTTTGTTCTTTTTGAATTCTAGTTTGTATAAAGTATTGCCATGATCTTCTTTTGATCCATGTCTCTTGAAATTGATTTAAAAGGTATTGCTCAATTTTACATCGTTACTTTATTTTATTGTATTCTTTTGACTGTTTTTGGTGGACGGGCATCAAGTCCATGCATCCGAAAACAAATAACTAACTAATCTCATACCCGACAAGGAATGCGAGATGCCGTGGTTTGCCATGTAGTTAAGCTTCCCTTTACCCCGGGAAAATATGTAAATCCTAAATATGTGAATCTTTAACCATTTCTAATAGGCTGCCAAAATATCAATTGTTACGTCACGGTGCGCATCTTGTTGATTTGCTGCAGATACTGTTACATTTTTGGGGCAAATAAACATACATACAAGAACGTCGTTGCTCATCAAAATATTTTGCTTGCACCCAAAATCCATCGGAACTTTCCCCGAGTATCAATTTCCTTGTTTACTTCGTGACATTGGCCAATCAGCAAGATGCAAATATGACGTAACAATGCTCTTTTTCGCATCCGCTTAGACAGATTTTCAGGCGTGGTCGTAAACATCACCTCGTTTTCGTGTTTTTGAACGGTGCTCCCGAAGTATGCGAACCAAGATGGCGGACATCGGAACGTAACATGGGTAACAGGTTAGGGTTAGGCCAGGGGTTCCCAAACTTTATTGGACGCGGGCCAAATTTGGAATCGGGAGAATGTTCGCGGGCCGGAAGAGTTTAGCGCCCGAAAGTTTGCGGCGGTTTAGCTGGGGTTCAGTGGATTCACCTTCATTTGACATTTTTTGCAATCTGTTTGTTTGACTCATAATGGCGCTTAATGTCGTATTCTTTCAGAACTGGAATATTTCATTGGCAAGGAAGACAAATCGCTGAAGTTTGATTCTTTGCAATACAGAAATATGAAACCTACCATTTATCCCGGAAACGTCTAGTTGCAAAGTCTAGTTTTGTTTGTTTTTTTGACATCTGTAAGCTTTCTTATAGGGCTGATAACTTAATTACTGCTCTTTGTAATCCTACCGTGTTTCCCTGAAAATGAGACCAATCCCGTAAATAAGACCTAGCCTGAATTTTAAGAATGATTTTAATATAAGCCTCACCGTAAAATAAGACGTATAGTCAGTAGCACCTAGTCGATAGCAGGAAGTCTCCCCTACACGTTGTAAATGATTAATCTAACAAGTGTGAAAGAGGAAAACGTGCCATTTAAGTAAATGGATATTGGTTTTCATATTTTTTATATTTGAAAATCTTTGTAATTTTTTTTGACTCATGAAAATAAAAGACACGCCCCGAAAATAAGCCCTAGTTATATTTTTCGAAAGAAAATTGAAATAATCTGTTCTATTTTGGGGGAAACACGGTAATACCGGTACGTATTATTGAGATATCGGCATAATTGAATTGTTACGCGACAAACACGTGCTTAAACTATGGTAATGACATAACAACATCGTTTTACTCAAGTTCGGCGGGCCATTTTAAATTGTTACGCGGGCCGGAATTGACCCGCGGGCCGCGGTTTGGGAACCCCTGGGTTAGGCGATAATTTTTTTTCAATTTTCCTTATTTTAGTCTTATTATCAGTTCGAAGACTAGCCAAGAGCCTCCCGTAATATTTATACCTAAAATTATGGCCTAACCCTAACCTAGTACACATATTACATTCCGATGTCCGCCATCTTGGTTCGCATACTTCGGGAGCCCCGTTTGAACTCTATTCGTTAGCTTTCAATTGTGTTTCGGAAATTAAAATATTAATCAGATAATTCAATGATTACTCTGTCATCTTTGGAGTTTTGATTCAATTGCAGTAATAACAAATGAGCCATGCTCAAATATATGGACACTTAGAATAAAACGAAATATATTATCATCACTTCACCGAAAACCATAGGGTACCCTACGCCTGCGCGAAGCTGAACAGTGAAACAGCTACATGGCTATGGTAATGGTAACTGACTTAATAATACTTGGGTACAAATAACGGTACAGAGACTTTCATAACTCTTCCATGTCCTGTGGAAATACACTTTTCCATTTCGGTATGCAGTACGGTAACTTACCAGTGCCCGATATTCGTTGGCGGAACGGTTCTTCATTGTCATATAAGAACTTAATTCATTTCCTCTTATCAAATAAAAAAATAAGATAGGCTACAAAATGTATGTTGTTTACATCAGAACTGTAACGAAAAGATGAGAGCGTAATTCACAGAGGTAGGCCTACGGTACCTTACCAGTACCTGTTGCTGTACCGTGGGCCTGCTATTCGATCGTGGAACGGTTGTTCTCTGGCATATCAAAACTCAATTCAATTTGCTTTTATTAAAAATTAACAAATACGGTAGGCTAGATTTGCTAGGAAACCTACATTTGACATTACTGCAATAGTAAGATCGCGAAAGAAACAAGTCGGTACTGAGCAGAACCGTACCTGCAGGCTTGATCACACAACCGCTTAAAATAAGTTTCAAAACAGTGTTCCCATGAGTAATTTTTAAAACAGCGAAATTTTGAATGAAATATCAGATCTTATAGGATTCATAGAAAATTTAGGAATAAATGAAGGTAATAGCCTTCTGAAAAAAAATCAAACTTTAACCACTGAAAATTTCAAAGCAATTGGTCCAGTGTTCGAAGAGAAAAGCGATTTTATAGTGATTGTGACGAAGAAGAACAATAACAACAACATAATATTGAAGCGATCGTTAAAATTAATCTACTAAATATAGCTGTAATAGACTACCTGTACTTTTAAAAAAACAGGTTGTTGTATGTGATGAATCATAATGATGGTTCGAAAAAAATACCCCATTTTACAGGCGCCAACTCGCGAAACCAATCTTTAAAGCCCCAAAAATGTTGCAATGGTGAAGTATAGGAAGAATTTTTCGGGAATCAAAGGTCGGGGAAAGGTTCATACACGCAGTTTCATGGTAATGGTAAGAATTTGTATTTATTTTGATATTTACAGGGAAATGAAAAATTTAACTTTGTATCAAAACTGTATTCAAAATATAATGATTCGATTCTAAATTCTCAAAACGAAAATTCTCCTGCAAAAAAAAAATAATCCAGGAAAGCTCTTTCTCTCCTGCGCACGTTAGCGTTGTCGCCGTCGCCCGACGGGCATCAATCAAGGTATTCAGTATTGGAAAAAAAAAATCAAAGTATTCACGTTAAAAACCGGACAACACTAAAAGGCTGAAGGAAGAAACGCATGAAGTGGAGGAAAAACGGAAGTTGAAGTGTTCCCAATGGTGAAAAATTGAAAACACTAAAAGTCTGAACACTAAAAGGAAGAAGTGGAAGAAATTTATTCCCACGAATAATGAGGTGGTTGAAGTCACTAAAAAGCTGAACACTAAAAGGAAGAAGTTGATGAAATTTCTTCCGACGGATAATGAGGTAGTTGAAGTCACTAAAAAGCTGAACACTAAAAGGAAGAAATGGTTGAATGAGGTGGTTGAAGTCACTAAAAAGATGAACACTGAAGGGAAAAAGTGGATGAAATTTCTTCCGACGAATAATGAGGTGGTTGACGTCACTAAAAAGATGAACACTAAAAGGAAGAAGTGGATGAAATTTCTTCCGACGAATAATGAGGTGGTTGAAGTCACTAAAAAGATGAACACTAAAAGGAAGGAGTGGATGAAATTTCTTCCGACGAATAATGAGGTGGTTGAAGTCACTAAAAAGATGAACACTAAAAGGAAGAAGTGGATGAAATTTCTTCCGACGAATAATGAGGTGGTTGAAGTCACTAAAAAGATGAACACTAAAAGGAAGAAGTGGATGAAATTTCTTCCGACGAATAATGAGGTGGTTGAAGTCACTAATAAGCTGAACACTAAAAGGAAGAAATTTCTTCCGACGAATAATGAGGTGGCGTAGGTCACTGAAAAGCTGAACACTAACAGAAAGAAGTGGATGGAATTCCTTCCGACGGGTGGTGAGGTGGCTGAGGTCACTAAAAAGCTAAACACTATAAGGAAGAAGTACGTTAGGGTTAGATGATATTTTGTCCTATCGATTTTGAGGCGGTTGAAATCACTAAAATACCGAACATTAGAAGAGTTAAATAGCCAAAACATATCCCGTTGGAAGTGAGATTGGATGAAGACCCTGAAAGCGGACTGATGAGTAGGCATGCCACTTTTAGATTTATGAATTGAATCGATTCAAATCGCAATTTTTTTCGAATCTGATTTACGCGATTCGAAAGAAAGAGAGCCGTTTAGCGAAGAAAAACAAACGCTCCAAATAACACCAATTGCCAGACGGGAATGTAAATAAATTTTTCGTTATTTACTTTTATTGATCTGTCATCATTCATTTTCATGTTCCGCGCACCACACCCTGATCATCACTCGAGATGCTGACGTGCTGTGTGGGTAATTAATTTCCTTCAATCTGTCAGTTGAGTATTCCACTGAATGATCTAAGTTTCTATCACACGCAAATTTAAATGGATCGTATACCCGAAAGTTCGTTGCAATTTTGTTAAAAATATGCAACAGCACATCTTCTCTGCGACTAAGCAATGATACGCCTTGACATGAATTGATAAACGATCAGATACCGACTTCTAGAAAACATTTAATTTTGATTGAAATTCAATTTAAACTCCGTTGAAATTGAAATATTGGTACTACTCTGAAGTATGCGCACCAAGATGTCGCCAAGATGATGGTATTTTAATGTAATATCTGGGCCTGTTTCGAAAAGTTTCAATATTTTATTCTGTCTGGAATTTAATTGAGAGAGACAAACACGCAGCTCTTTCTCGATGACTCTCAATTTTTCGTGTTTTTATACTCTTATGGCGGCCAAGAAAAAGGTGGGCAAAATCGAATATTTTTTTCGAATCAAATAATTCGAATATTCTTAACAAATACCGAATAGTCCAATACCGAATATTTTTTATACGCAGCAGGTCCAGAACGTCGCCGCCATGGATCGCCGTTGTATTTTGTAAATACGAAAATAGGAATCAAAAATTAATAATAATCGCACAGTTGACCACACATCTATGTACATAGATTGCCGTGGTATTGTGCCCGAATATAATTAATTTTTGATTCCGTTTTTCATTCCTTGAACTTAATATCTGTTTTTATAAATTTTGCAAGCAGTTCACGCACGAAGACTTTGAATAATGATGTATTAGTCAAATCGAAGTCCTGTTAGACCACTGGTTTTCAACCAATGGGCCATGGGCCACTGGTAAGCCTCAGAGGCATTTTGAGGTGGGCCACAAACATATTATAAATTACAAGGTTTGTTGATCGGAAAAATTGATTTGATAACAAAATCAGCTTCACGCGTCATGAAAAACAAGATATCTATTTGCAAAACATGCCTCGCCGTAACCCACCCATTGTGGCGCAACATACCCATTATACGGCAGGAACAGCTAGATATGAATATATATATAGTAATTTGTTTGCACATTACATCAAAATTAAAAAGAAAATAACGAGAATGTCATGGCCTTCAATATTCGCCAGGCTCGAACTGAGCATAACATATAAAAAGTAAACAAAAAACGAATCCACGAGGACATTGTCTCATAAATACGAACAGAACAAACATTAAATTACCCAATTCCTAATATATTAAATTTTCAAGTATTCCTCACTATCCGTCGGAAGAAATTTCATCCACTTCTTCCTTTTACTGTTCAGCTTTTTAGTGACTTCAAACACCTCATTATTCGTCGGAAGAAATTTCATCCACTTCTTCCTTTTACTGTTCATCTTTTTAGTGACTTCAAACACCTCATTATTCGTCGGAAGAAACTTCATTCACTTCTTCCTTTTAGTATACAGTTTTAGTGACTTCAAACACCTCATTATTCGTCGGAATTTTTTTTATCCACTTCTCCCTTTTAGTGTTCAGCTTTCTAGTGACTTCAACCACCTCATTATTCGTCGGAAGAAATTTCATCTACTTCTTCCTTTTAGTGTTCATCTTTTCAGTGACTTCAACCACCTCATTATTCGTCGGAAAAAAATTCGTCCCCTTCTTCCTTTCAGTGTTCATCTTTTCAGTGACTTCAACCACCACATTATTCGTCGGAATAAATTTCATCCACTTCTTCCTTTTAGTGTTCAGCTTTTTCGTGACTTCGACCACCTCATTATTCGTCGGAAAAAATTTCATCCACTTCTTCCTTTTAGTGTTCAGCTTTTTAGTGACTTTAACTACCTCATTATTCGCCGGAAGAAATTTCATCCACTTCTTCCTTTTAGTGTTCAGCTTTTTAGTGACTTCAACCACCTCATTATTCGTCGGAAGAAATTTCATCCACTTCTTACTTTTAGTGTTCAGCTTTTTAGTGACTTCAACCACCTCATTATTCGTCGGAAAAAATTTCATCCACCTTTTCCTTTTAGTGTTCAGCTTTTTAGTGACTTCAGCCACCTAACTACCCGTCGGAAGACATTTCATCCACTTCTTACTTTTAGTGTTCAGCCTTTTAGTGTTTTTTAATTTTTCGCCTTTGGGAACACTTCAACTTCCGTTTTCCCTCCACTTCATCCGTTTCTTCCTTCAGCCTTTTAGTGTTGTCTTTAAAAACCCGTTCCGGTACTGGTAGCGGTAGACCTACCAACATTCTGAAATTGGAAATTTAAAATACCATACGCACGTTTGGTATAATCCATTTACGCACATAAGTTAAATGTTAAATGTCTGTTAATAAAATCTAATAACCAGAATGACGGAACTGAATGATAGTTCTGTAATGTTTTAAAGTCCAACAGTAGTGGAATACGGTAGTAGCCTAAATAATTTTGCTTAAAAAATTGTTTGCAAATAAACTTCATTAGCCACATATTTCTGTATTTATAGAAACCCAATGATAGCATAGCACAAGTTCAGAAGTTAATATACCGGTATTTATGTTATGGTAATAAAATCTGAAAATTGAGCAATCTATGGAAAGCAAGAAATAATGATTCCATTATACAGTTATATAACTGTAAATAAGATAAGTTTTTTCAGAGTTCTGATAGATAATTTATTTTGAGAACACCATTAATACAGTGATACCAGTATCGGTACCGTACATCACTAATTGAAATTGAGAATTCTGGAGAACAAGCAAACCTTTTGAAAAATTTGAAACATGAGAAATATCGTGGTCCCGCTCAGCAGCCACCAGCCTGTTAGCGCATACTAAGAAAAACATAAACTTGTTAAACAAGGCGTTTGCCAGAAATAAGCAAAATCATGCGAATGTATCGAACTTTCGGGCTGTTGTACTTCTAAAACTGTAAAACATTCGGGCTAATAATGACCATCCTATCTGAAACAAAGATAATGCTGTAATGTGTAGATTGCAATGTAGTGAGAATCATCATGCTATTGTATCTAAATCAGTGTCACTCAGATTCCATGGTTATTTTATCCTCCACATTTATTCTGTAGTAAAAAGCCAACAAAGGAAGCCAAAGAAAGAAAGCCCAGTTTCAGGAACCCTGATCTAAATAAAGGTTTAATAACTATACATTTACAACATGTTTTTTTAGAAATTTTGCAAGATTTCCATGTAACAAACTATGTCCTCAATTTTGACCCTTTTTCTGGGTCCAGCTCCAACGCTCGTTGTTGAAAAGTTCAACGAATTCAAGTCTATCTATTCTTCCATCACTGCTGCTATCTGTGCATTGTTAGAGAAAGATCACTTGTTAAAGACAAAATATCGTTTTTGTCGATCTGATGTTAAATTAGAAGATTGGGAATTGGAAGGAACACCCGCAGACACCGAAATTGCTTTGAAAGAGATCGGTCAACGCCTTGATACATATGTCCAGTGCAGTAGACTAGATTCCAGAGCTGCTGCCATCGAAGAACTCCTAATGTCACCTGATGTGAATGATCAAGGTAGTGACGACGAAACAGCGTCTATCGATGACCAAGAACCTGATGCTATGGAACAAACTACAGAAGACGAAAAGATAGATGCTGCTGATTTGGATTTGGGAGAGGAGATATCACCAGAAGATGAAACTCCTGAAAGAATGACAACTCGTAGAAAGTCAGACAAAAAGAAAAGAAAAAATCGGAAACCAAAAAAACATAAAAAAAAACTTGACGATTTAACGGAAGACGAAATAAAAGAAAAAAGATCCTCTCATTCTCGTGATGTCTGGAGACGAGTTGGTTCAAAATTTATCGGATGGTATGTTTGTATTTTGTGTGACAAGAAACAAACCTCAGAGGAAGAGTATATTAAACATTTGGAATGGCATGCAGAAACTCATTCACCTGCATGCATGGATTGTGGGAATTATTTTGAAAGTATGATGCAATACGAAGAACATATTGGTAATTTAACAAAAGATCTTATTTATAAATGTGATGAAGAAGGTTGTACTAAAGCATTTCAGTTCAAATGCAGACTTGAATGTCATAAGCGTACTCATATTGGTGAGCTTATGTACAAATGTAATGATTGTGGACACAAATTATCATCAATCAGGTCTATTATTCGTCATACAAGAGCGAAACATTTGAATGAGAAGCCTTTTCAATGCCATATGTGCGTTAAAGCTTTCCCAATACAATCCCAACTGACTCGTCATATTAAAGATCACATTTCTCCTCCGCATTATACTTGTGAACATTGTGGGCGTGCCTTTTCATCTCGTCAGGGACATCATTATCATCAATTAGATCACCTTGGGGTAAAACCCCACAAATGTTCAATTTGTGCGAAAGCATTCAGAAATAAAACAGACATGATCAATCATGAACGAATTCATAGCGGAGATCGACCCTTTACATGCGAATTGTGTGGAAAAAGTTTTGTTGAAAAGGGAGCACTTCGGAAACATGGAGTTGTACACACAAGGGAGAAAAATTTTGTATGCTCCAATTGTGGAAAACAGTTTGGATATAAATGTTCTCTTGATGGCCATTTGAAAAAATGTCAACATGATATTCATAATCAGACTAATTTACTAGCGATTACACAAGCTCCACCTCCTCGTCAACAGCGCCAACATTCTCAATCTCAACCTGAGCATCTTGCTGACATTACTGGTGAAACACCATCAAGTGGTCAGAATAGTCTACCAATACCAACAACGAGTCAAGATACTTCTAGAAATCGTAATCCTTTCAGTGCTTGTTCAATCCAGGGATTTATAGCAGAACAACATAATAATAATTCAATGAATAAGAATAGAAATGCAATTCCGCAAAATAGTGAAGATTTGCTTGCAACCGCAACAGCTGTACTGAAAGGGCAGCAAGAAGCTGCTCGTTTGATGAAAAAGAATCCACCGTATCGACCTATGTCAAATCTTGGACATAATTCCGGAAAGCAATCATTTGATAAGCACATGCACGATGCTCAAATGTATTCTTCTTACCCAATGCAGCTTCAACATCAAAGAGACACGATAGATCCCGATATTTTAGCTTCTGTTTTAGGTCAAAAATTACCATTACAGGCCCAAATGGAAGCGATGCAATACAGTGATAGATTGCAAAGGGATAATACCCACTCGGGACGTTTTCATAACCTCCAGCAACAAGATCGGGATGCACAAAATCTCATGGACAATAGGCAAGGTGGTAGTGCTGGAGCTGGGAATTATAATAATCACAATAGACATCATCAACATCCTCCATCATCTATTGCTGATTCAATGATGTTTCAGCATCAGGTTAGGGGCCATCATTACAGGCCCTGATTTTGGGTCTAATGTAGTTTTGTACCTCAAGTGCTTCTAGTGGGCGTAGCATAACAATTTTTGCATATGTCATTCCTAACCCCCACCTGACTGGGTTATCCAAAAATTAATTTCACGACCACGTCACAGTGACGTAATAAGGCTCTTTAAACTATACGAACTGTCATCCAAGACACGCAGACGATCACCCGAGCAAGCTATTTCTATCGTTTTTTTTTTTCGTAACGATCCCGATATGAGAGATATAGCTGCCATTGGTGAGTTCTTTATCGTTGGCGCAGATTCCATTTCGGGCAATTGACATAATTTTTGGATGGCGTAGTCAGGTGGGGGTTAGGATTGACATGTGCAAAAATCCCTATTCTACGCTCACTAGAAGTACTTGAGGTACAAAACTACACAAGACCCCTGATTTTTAAATTGATTATGTATAAGTAAGTCGCTATTTTTCGATGTAGAACAATTATTCGATTGCCGAATCTTGCTATTATTTTTTCAGTAAGGTGCTTGTTTTTTCCTACTGATATTACCTGATGTTTTTGCTAGTAATAATGTGTCTTTCCTGTAATAACACTTTCCACTTTTTTATGCAACTTACCGCATATTTAATAAGTGCTTAATCGATTTTTTTTTGACTCACAAAATATTTTTATTGAAAGGGAGTTTCAAAATTCATTCAGTTTATCTTTTTAGTCAATTAGAAAGCCTTACTTGTTAAATCAATTTTTAGCTACTTGAGTACTTGTTGAAGTTGGTCTTCCATGTATAAATTATTGGTTATTGACTTTCTGAAGTTTATATGAGGAATCAGCTTATTCAATTTGATTGACATATATGATGTAAACTTTATAATAGAGTTTATAATATGAATTTTGCTAAAACCTATGTCCAAGGTGAAGGCAATGGCAATTAGGTACAATTTTGGATGATCTGAATTGATCTTATTTTCTGTAAAATCCCGATTTGATTACAAAAAATCGCAAATTTTACAAAACAAAAAAGATTTATGGTAATTGAATTAATAGTGAACAGTGAACACAATTTTTTAATACCGGTATTTTCATTTAAATTTTATTCTTTTGGCGCCCCATTCTTGTGTTCGCTTTATATCTATCGGAAATTACAATGAGAAACTGCCTTCTTGACATGAATTTTTCACCGAAGAGTATAGATGCCCAAGATGCTTTTGCATGAACATGCATAATTTCACAACTTCTTTATTTATCTTTGTATTTGTGCGTTCTCAGTTACTAACTAGGTGCTATTCACAATACAACTAGTTTTCATTGTGTGTGATCTGTCGATGGCTCTGGTCAACATGTATATCAATCTCAGTACTGTTGTAATCATGTTCAAACCATCGATATCATGCTATTTATTATGCATTGGCATCATGAAAATAGCATTTCCGTTTTTAAGTTCATACTTGTCATAATGTTAATAATAAGAAATTTAAATATTAATGACTAGTGTTGAATTTGAATTTTTAGACTGCTGTTGAGACTTTTTCTTGGCCTAAATATATTTTCTCAGTGTTTTGAATTTTAATTATTTAGGTTTTTTATGTTTTGTTTTGGGGCAGATTTTGCTAGCTAAATATCAAGATTGTATCTAGTATTTGATTCCACATTTTATTTTTATTTGTCCCTAATTGGTATAATCTCGAGATTTTTATATTTTAGAATAGTTTTCTGCTGCTTTTTTATTTTTAAATATTTATACCTGGTTCGATAAGTAGCAAATTCATGGAATAAGTTGAGTTTAATATCTTACTGTAATGCATGGCAAATTTTACCTTTATAAGGTTTGGTGCAGATCATATTAAGATTATAAAGCTTCATCACCAAACCAAAGTGAGACATTTTTGATTCATTAACGTTGTGTTCTTCCGGAAATAGGTTGCATTCAAAATCATCATTCTGATTTATGAGGCTTTTTGAAATCACGGCTGTAATATCCATCCAATTAAAATATTCATGAAATAGCATTCAGATGAAATTGGCATACTTGCAAGGGCATCCAAATGAATTTACTTTTAGAAATTGGTGACACTAAAAATTGATATATTCTTTGTGTATAACGTACTCATGAAGCCACAAACTATTTTTTATTATTTAGTTAGATATTCCTATCCAGCTGTTCCTGCCTATGAATAAAAACAATGTAATTTATTTATTTTAATAATGATATAGAGAATCAAGTGATTTCGTTAATTTTTTTTTTATGTTCCTCATTTCTCCTGTATGTCTTTTATTGCCAAAAATATAACAATTAAAACTTGAAAATGACCATCCAACCCCTTTCTGGAATTTTCACAAAGCAAGCTTGGACTAAGTGTTTATCCTATTACAAAATAAGCAAGCGTAACTAAGGTGCTGCAGAAAAATGGATTTATCACCCTAACCATAGATTACCTGATATCTGGTATTTTGCATATTTATAAGAAAAATTTGGGTATTTCTTGTTTAATATACCCTGCACTTATAGTGAAAGAAAATTTACTTCATTTCAAACTATCAAAATATGACAATTTTTTTAAAATAAAAACCTGAAGGTGGCTGTGTTTTTATATTTTATTCATAGACAAGCAAACTATATGAATATTTCAGGTTGAAATGTCTGAAATGATTTTTAGTGAATGCTTTTTTTTATATAGTATTCAGCTACATGAGCCAAATGTGATAAAGTGTTGAACTCGTGAGATTATATTATCTTCAATCTCCATTGAATTTAGAATTGTAATATGGCAAATTATATTTAAAAATCTGTGCCAATTTGTGTTTTATGGTATCTGTCTCTCACAGGCTCACGTTCGTGCACATTGGATTTTCTTGTCAGTTGTCACTTTCACATGTCACTGCATTTATTTCTGTAAATATTTCAGAGTAACTTAACAATTTTGGTCATTTTAATAATGTTGTACCTGCTATTCAGATTTGTTTTTTATCGTTTTTTTTTAGTTTTTGAGTTTGAAACTTTTTATTTCAAGTGATAGCTCTCGAATGTCTATCTTAGATTTTTAATATTGTATGAACAAGGATTACTGTAGAGTGTGTTGTCTATTTTCATGCCTAGAATTGTATGATTTTTTTCATTTTACTTCTTTCTGACTGACACAACAATTTCAATATGTATTTTTTTCAGATCTATTTTCACTACTGAATAGTAATGATATAAAATATCATGCTGTAAATTTTTAAAAGTTATAGGTAATACTTCACTATGGATTCTACTCCATCAAAGTCGAGTGGAACTCCTGGCCGAAAGGTACAGTTCATGAAGATGTTTAATTTAATTTTTGATACTATCATTTCATTACTAATTTTATGCTTTCTTTGAATCTGTTTGTCCCAGGTTAGGTTACTGCCTTACTAACCTAACCTCAGCTAAACAAAGTCAAAGGGAACGGCTAGAAAATTTTGTTATGGGGTTATAATGGTACCCCATAATTTATCCAAGGTATGTCAATTTTGCTCCAACCAATCGATCTTCCCATCAAAACACAGATGAAATTGTAGTTTTAGATCAATATATTTTTAGTTTATCAAAAGTATGTTATTGCAAAAAATGTCTACTTCATCAGCATTGTCTACTCCTGCATGAGATTTGAACCCAAGTGTAACCTGCGATACCAACAAGTTACCACGCAACACAATTGCTAATATTCCGAAAATAATATCCAAACTAATATTATTTAAAACAAACCAATCCAAATAATATCCAAACCTATATAAAACAAACCAATACCGTCATTATCATTTTGTGTTCAGGCCCAGTTAGAGGCAATGTCTCATGAAGACCTGGTACAACATTGTCTAAAACAAACTGTGTTATTACAAAAATTAAAAGCAAGATATGATGAAGTACAAAAATCAACTGGATCATCAAAAGAGGTGAAACTCCCTTTGTTTACGGTTTATATATTATTTAAGAATTTCGAATTATTATAGACTGATTTGGAAACATGCTGTAAGTTGTGGTCTACAAAGACTGCATTATATATACCGTATATATATATATATATATGTAAATGTTCATAATTATACATCTAGTAGAAAAAAAGAGCAAATTGGCTATGTGTAATACACTATTATAGTTGTAGTGAATTTACTTGCTTCTATTATGCTTTGTATATTCTGGTTACTTGTCAGATGCTATCCAGCCTTTCACAGGCAAATATTATTAAGTCTTCTTGTAGTACTTAACTAAGAAATTATAGTGGATTTCGCATCATTTTTCTTGAAAAAGAGTCCCAGTTTTGGATAACATTCAGGGCTAGAGAGCCATGAAGTTATGAGGTTTTGTCGGAGCTGGAGGAATTTCTGTGTCTCCCCAAGTATCTGATTATAGACTTTTATTCCACTATCAATCATATACATTCATATATAACAAGTATATATAGCATGATTGAAATTTCTATTTTATCTTCTATATTTACTTTCATTTCAGAATGAGAATAAGATGAAAGAGTTGCAAAACAAACTTGAAATTGAATATGAAGAGAAATCTAAAATTGATGAAGACATGAAAACATTACAAAAAAAATTTTCAGCAACGAAAGATGAATTAGAATGCACCAACATGAAACTGGAGACCCTAATGTCATCAGTACAATGCTTACAACAGGAGAGAGATGAACTGTTTACAAAAAACAAAGATTATTTACATAAATCTAAAGAGATGAGCGACAAATAGCTATAACAACAAACGAAAAACAAGAATTAGAAGACAGGATAAAGGATAGTGATCAACAAATTACTGGATTAAAGAGTCACATTAAAACTATGACTGAAAAATTACAATCTTCGGAAAATATGATGAAAGAAAACTCTAATCTTAAAAATGAAATTGCTGCTTTGAATATAACTATAAGCACCTTAAAACAAGGAAAATCATCTCATAGTGGGGATGGGAATGTAGATCTAAAAAAACTGAAAGTTGTGATTTTAGATTTAAGGAAAAAGTTGAAACTACAAATGGAAGAAAACGAGAGCTTGAAAAAGACTGTTGGATCATTAGGATCAAACGAAAGCGAATTGAAAATTAAAATTGATTCATTGGAAAAACAAATCGAAATAGATGGAAATATGAAAAACTCTATTGAACAAAATCTGGGACTTACAGTTCGATAATGTTTGTCAAGCTTTCGAAGAGTTGAAATCCAATCTTGAAAAGTCGAATTCCAAAGTTGACGATTTGAAGACTGAATAGAGGGATTGAAAACCAAGAACGAAGAAATACAATTCAATTTTGAATCTGAAAAACAGAAAAAAGAGGAATATCAAACCAAATTTGAAACTTTGGAAGAGGATTCACTCAAGCATAAGCAAGAGATGAGTGATTGCGAGAGTGAGAACAAAACTCTTAAAGACAAACTCATGGAATTAGAAAAAAAATTGTCATCAGCATCCCAACACCAGGAATCAGAGGAACAACTTTATACCAGGATTAAGGAATTGGAAGAAAGTAACAAGAAATTGATACAGAATACTGAACACGCTGAAATCAAATACAGAGAAACTTACAGTGCCCTTCAAACAGCTCAAGATGAATTGAAAGAAAATATGGCAGAACTGGAAAATGAGAAATTGAGACTCACTGAACAACTGAAAAATGTAGAAAATCAACTGGAAGAGGCCTTGGAAAGTGAAAAAAAATTCAGTATGGAACAGACTGAAAATATTGAATCACTGAAGGAAACTAATTCAAAACTTGCATCACAGATTGAAGAAGCATCTGCGGAAAAAAATGCTAAACAAAAGGATTTGGAAGATAAGATAGAAAATTTGAATCAGGAATTAGAAAAAACAAAGAACCATTATTTGGAATCTTGTAAACAACTTGACACACAAAAAGCGGAATTTGAAAATCAAATCCAAGAATTAGAAAAGGAAAATAATCACAAACTAGAGGCAGCTGAAACAAAATGTCAAAGCTACAATACTGTTGAAGAAAGCTTGAATAATTTCAAGTTAGAAAATGAATCTTTGGCCAAAGAAAATGCAGAGATGTTGGCGAGTATCGAAGAGAGTCAAATCAAAATTGAAAATCTGGAATCTTTAATTGAAAACATGAAAAACAAAATACAAACCACTGAAGAGAAGTTGGAAACGAAAAAAGCCGAATGTGATGAATTGTTTACCCGATATACAGATTTGGAAAAAGAAATCTCTACTCTGAAAGAAGAAAAGACTGAAAAAATAGAACAATTTGGGGCACTTGAGGCAAGTTTTGAAGAATTAAAAGACAAATTTTCTACCGTTGAAGAAGAAAAAATAAAACAGGAATTTTCACAAAAACAATTACTTTCGGGATTGAAAGCTTGAAAGCAGACTTGGAACAGAAAACTGTTGATGTGAGTGAAAAGAGCCAGCGTATTGATTCTTTAAATTCTGAAATTACGAGTTTGAGTAACATGATTGAAACACTCAAGAACGAATCAAGGAAAATTCAAGAGGATGTTTTACAAAGTACATCGGAAAATGATAATCATCATCTTACACAAATTAATAAGTTGAAGGAGGAATTATTATCACTTCAAACACAGTTAAATAAATCACAAGAGTCTTATCAAGATTTAGAAACTGAATATGGAACTCTGAAAAATGAAAAAGAAAACGTACAAACAGAGATGATGAAACTTGAAACTGAGTATGACGCAATCAAAAGTAAGTATGAGGAATCTCAATCTTTGAGTCAAGATAATAATGATTCAATCGAAATATTTCAACAGCAGATATCCTCTCTTCAGCATGAATTACAAGAATCTCAAAGTTCTTCCTCAAAATTAGTGAAAGATATTGAAACTCTGATCCAGGAGAAAGAAAAACTGGAACAAGATTGTTCTAAACTTCAACACGAAGTAGATAATGAAAAGGAATCCGGTAAAAATCTTGAAATATCAAACCAGGAAAAAGAAAATGGAATTGCTGATTTAAAGAAAGAAATGAATGAACTAGTAGCATTGAAAGAAAAAGAAATAAAAGAACTTCAAGATGAATTTGACGTTAAAACTAAAGGAGTCTATGAAAAATGGAATTCGCTTAGGATATCTAATGATAGTTTAGAAAAACAATTGCAAGATATGAACAATAGATACGAAGAGCTGCAAGCAACATTGGAAAACACTTCCTCCAATGAAGAGACAAGAATAAATTTATTGATGAAAGAAAATCAGGGATTTAAGAATGAGAAAAAATTATTGAATAAGGAGAATGAAGATTTGAAAACACAATGCGAAAACTTGGAAACGTCGTTAGAAAACTTCGAGAAATTGAAAGTTGAAATGCAGGAATCAATGTCCGAATTAACAAACGAAAATAAGCAGTTTGAAAATACTCGTACGAATTTGGAGTATCAAATTAACACTCAGATTGAAGAAATTGGAAGTTTGAAAAATGTGAACTCCGATTTAGAAACAAAATTACAATCTTCAAATGAGAAAAACTTGACTTTGCAGACTGATAAAGATTCCCTTACCGATGAGTTAAAATCCATCAAAGCTGAAATTTTTGAAAAAGATGAAAGCATTCGTAAATATATTGACATTGAATCAGAAATGAGTAAAGAATTAGAAGAAATAAAAGCACGATTTGCTGAATTAGATGAAAAGTATCAAAATTTATGTGCTTCTGTTGAGGAAACTCAAGAAAATGATTCTGCCGAAGTGGATCAACTAAAAACAACATTAACCGAATCCAATAAAGAAAAAACTGAGTTGAAAAATGAAGTTGTTGCTTTAGAAAATGAAATTAGCAACTTAAAGGAAGTATTGGAACAAACCGACAGCTTGAAAATAGCAATTGAAGAAATGAAAACAGAAAAATCTACTTTGGAGAGTGTTTTAAAACAGTCACAAAATGAGGTACAAGGATTGAAAGAAAATATTTTCTCTGCTGAAAAAGATCTTGAAGAAGAAAGAAAAATAACAGAAGAGAGAGACGAGGAGTTATCATCTATCAAACAGGAACTAGAAAAGGCAAAGAAAGAGTGTAATGAAGCTAAGAAAAATGTAAGTAAACTTAGTATTGTTTTGTTAGGACTTAGGATTATGTTTTGCATATTTGTCACAAAGGAAATTCGATAAGGGGGCTCAGTCATGTGGCAGACAATATCCTAGTTGCCTATTTATGTTCGTTCCAGTTGCATTGACTTGATGATAGGGAAATCCGTAACCAAGTGCAGCAATCTTTTCAATCCGTATTAAGAATTTAATATAATATAAGTAGGTTCTATTTGATAAAAAGAATTCTTGATAATGTAAATAACTATTCCATATATTCATAACAATACCTTTCTACTCTCACCCATGTTTTCTTTTGGGGCAAATCGTTAATTCATAATCCGTGTACTATGTGCCTTGTATAAGATTTCACCTTTGAGTTATTGTCAAGCTGGGAGTGTTTTAAGACTTAACGAATGCAAGAACAATATCATATATTAGTTAACAAAAAAATGCAACTTATATTGTGGCAAAAACCAAAACCGGATATTTCACTATTTCGAATATTCTAAATTAGTGGGAAGTTCATGTGGAAAATTACATAAATCACTATATTAACTTCCCGTTGATCGCATCTATATAAAGGTCATGGATTCCTCTATATTATTTATTACCAGTTGAGATAATTGTACAGTTAAATGCGCTTGTCTGACAGCTCAAAGTTTTTAATGTTATGAGACTACTAAATTATTCCTTAGTTCAGAGATTTACTATACTCAATTCGAATATTCAATTATATTTTATGTCGTTAAGGTTGAGGCATTAGAAGAAAAATGCACAACATTGGAGAATGATATTGAGCAACTAACAACAGAATTAAATCTGATGAAAACAAGAGTTGAATCTGATCAGAAACAACGATCCGAAAATTCGTCTTCTGAAGATACAAGTATGTTATTGTTGAGCTGGTTGATTAAATAACATTGAATATTTTTATCATGTGAAAAAGGAAGGGAGCTACGATTTTTGAAAGGATTGGAATCTTACTTTTTCGACATTGCCTACTCAATTTATTACCCCCTGGGTGAGGTGATGGGTATGTAGTTTGAGCCCAAGAAATTTTTAATGTGTGATATCGACAGGCTCAAGTCCAATGCTATAACCCAGTGGTTCTTAAAGTATGGGTCGCGACCCAAACATGGGTCGCGGAAGGTTTAAAAATGGGTCGCGACAAGGTCGTCACTGCAAGGGCAATCTAAGAGGAGAAGGAAGAATTTTCAGCTTTCCCAATGTTTCAATTTAGCTTCTAAACTCTGGTATTTAAAAATAATGAAATATAAAATTTCATTCACGGAAAGAACTGTCTTGAGCTCATTGTTACATCACAATTCTGATATGCCAGTCACGTGTATTATTTTTATGGTATCGGTAACCATGCACGTCGCTTGTCGTTGTGTTGACCGCGTGGAATGTCGTCTTAGTGGATTAAAATAACCAAAAATGGGTGTCTTTTTGGTAATGTAAATTGTAATAGACGACGCAATGAAAAAGCTCGCTTCTCGACATTAGATTATTCAATATCTAGAGAAAATGTGACTTCATCTCGAGGCACCATTTACCGCGAACGAAGCAGTGTGTGCGCATTTGATGAGTAAAAAGTTGTATATTGCGAGAGATACCGAAGGCCAGCTAGGATGTCGTGCTTGCGACGGACAGCGGACGCCTTTTCTGCTACAATTCGCGACAAGGCACTTGTGCGAGCGAGGATATTTGGCACTGACGGTTATCAAAACTAAGCTCGCAATCGCCTCGATACCCGTGACAACTAGCGTATTGCGTTGGGTAAAATAGAGCTGTGTATTGAAGATATAATGAAAAGGAAATTTCAGTTTCATCAATCTCACTGAGTCAATGGACTGTTTCTAATAAATAGTTGTCTGTATTTGAGTCAAACTGTACTAACATTAAAAACACATTTTGCGTTATTTAGGATTGGGTCGCGAGTATTCATGAAACTCAGATTTGGGTCGCGCTCGAAAAAGTTTAAGAACCATTGCTATAACCAAAAGGCCATTATACCCACTCTATTAATCTCTTTTATTAAGGCAATTTAGTCTTTCGCACTCGACCCTTGTACAAAGAGATAGTGGGCTTGATGAAAAGTTTTGAGTTAACCTGTGGTAAGCAATGGTTTTTAATACTTTATATTATTTTATTTTTCCTTCAGAGAATTTTGAAAAAGCATTGAAGGAAAAGGATGAATACAGTAATAAGTTAAAAATGATTGCTGTCAAAGCCAAGAAGGAACTTGAGATAACAAAGAAGAAATTGAAGATATCTGATGATGAAAATACTGCACTTAATACCAAAGTACAAAGCTTAACATCAAAACTTCAAGTACGATTTCCATTTTCTGTTTAATAAACTGATTAAAATTAACAATATACTAGTCTTTGGCAACCAAACTTAGGAAAGTGATATTGCGTAATATCCTTATATTTTTCTCATATTGAATTTCACGGAAATTGAAATTTTTGGTGCTGAGTTTTCATATAGAATGCTTCATGACTGATTGCTGATAAAAGACCAGGGGTATCACGGGTTGAACCAGGAATGTGCAACAGGGGGCCTGCGGTTCACAACCCGATCTACCAAGCTATTCAGTGTAGCTCTTGTCAACACTTAGATTTTCCCTCATCAAGCATAAAATCCTAAGCCAACAGTTTATGTTTAGAAAGGCACTCATATAGTTAAAATAAATAATGTTTTTTACTCACGTCGCTGCGTTAAATGATTCGCTGTTTTGCCCAGTGCATTTATTACTGTATGGCTAAGCGATAGCCGTATTCTCTTCTCTTGCTTTCCTCGCAAAATTTTTTGTGTGGCCTAGCTATATGCCTGAAATTGTTATAATGCTCACAGACAAAACTGGGTTAAACAAATGTCTTGGGACCAAACCCCCAAAGATCCCAGTTATGCCAAAAATGGTAGTCCTTCACAAATCAGTCACTGCATAGTGAGTGCATATCCCAAAAATTTTTTTTTTTTCAAACGCTTCTTTTATAACATTTGGAAACACTTTTAAGTGACTTTGACCTCCATGTTCGTATATTCGAGCATTGCTCTCTATGTTATATCGTTTAATATATATGTTTTCTTCTATTTACCAATGACAGGGAAGTCAAACACAAGCATCTAACGTACAAATGATGCAAATAGAATGTGATAAATTACAAGATCAACTCGATCATACTCAAGATGAGAAGAAAAATATTGAGAAGAATTTAGAGGATGTTGTAATGCAATTGAAAGATGTTCAAGCACAGGTATGTTGGTAAATCGAGACCTTCAAGTTTAAGAATTCTGTTCTGTAGCATTTTCGCACAAGGATCTGTACAAGTGCTTTTTTTTTTTAAAGCTTATTTTTATATTATACAACATATTTATACACCTTCTGCTCCAAACAAGGCACTGTACAAGCAAAAAGAGCTAATATAAGACCGGAAATTTTCTTTTTCAACATTGCCTACATCAGGGCTACTCAGCTGGCGGACTGCGGTCCGAATCCGGACCTTTCGAGTATTCGATTAAGACAGCACCTAATTCTTTATTTTGGATCATTAGCCCCACTTTCGAAGTTTTCTTTTATAAAGTGACTTTTATAGGTTTGAATATATATAAAAAGAACTATACCACCATAATAAACAATCTTGACTATCTAACAATCATTAACCGTCCGAGGAAGTGCGCGTTTGAGGATGCTGAAATATAATTTCTGGAAAGACCAGACCCAAATAATTTTGGAGTTTTGTATGCGGATCTTTGGTAAAAATAGTTGAGTAGCCCTGGTCTACACTATCTATTACACCAGCGCAGCCCAATCGTGGGTCGTCAAGCATTTTTTAGTGGTCCTTTAATTAATTTCAATTATGGGCAGTGATGCACGAAAAAGGTTCTATAAATCCAACATTACATAGATGTTTTTGGCAAATGGTTTTAGTTGATATATCAAACGATACATGACATGACGTTCATTTCAACTACAACACCGACACCGCAACTATTCTGGCCTGGTAATTCTTGCGTATCCGGTTATTTTATTGCATCATTAAAATTGCGCAAGCTTACTACATGTACCGCTACATTTGGTTGTTCAGTCTTCGTACTGCCACGTGTACCAGTACGTTCGCAGTTTTAATTACTAATCAAATGTCCCTTACAAGTTTATCACATGGTTAAATTTTAAATTTAAAACAAAAACTTGACCGAGGCTAGCGAGCCTGTCACCAATGTGTTGATTGTTGGGTCTTGAAATCTTTTTCATTTTACTATTTGGGCCTCATTTAAAAAACTTTGCCAACCTTTTCACCCTGCCATTTTGTCATAGTTCGAGCCGGGCAATAACTCGTTTTATCGAGACTCTGTGGCAAGATTGTTTAAAAAAAATATGAACAATTTCAGAAAAATGATATTGAGGCTGAATCGAGTCAATTGAAAGTAAAGTGCGAACAACTGACGACAGAAAAATCAGACGTTACGAAATTACTGACAATGACGAAGGCTACCATGGAAATGCTGGAAAGTGAAAGAAACAGACAAATGAATGATATTGAGAATATGAAAAAGGTGCAGTCTTAATAATATATACAAATTCTGAATTTTTGATGATATTTAAAGAAGATGACTATATTTTACATATATTTCTAAATTTTCTATGGATTGTCTGAAGCCAATTTCTTGTTTTAATAAAAATGAGCCATCATGGGCTTTTCAGTAAATTAATTCTGGCAACCTAGTGTGGAACCACACATGTTCATAGTAACAATGTCATCTGTATGTCCATATACTGTAGCATTTCTTTCCTGTTTCAAGCATTTGAATATCTTGAATTCCACGCTTTAACCTGTTATTATTTTGAACCATCTTTCTTTTAAGAATGAGGAAACCTTGAAAGAAAAAATCTCATCTTTGGAGGAACAATTAGCAAAGGAAAAAAGTTCATTGGAAAACACAAAACAGCATTTGTCAGAAGCGAAAAAGGTTGTCAGACTTGAATAATCATAAGATAGAAAGTTTTTATTGGCAATCACTGACTATGCAACCCTAACCTCATCATTCCAAATCTTTCAACTCTTAAATAATAATGGTGTAGTGCAGAGCTGGCCAGATTTGAATGCTATTCTGAATACCAGAACATATTTTGTAAGCTAGAGATATCGAATGGATTTTAAAATAACCAATGAATTTGGACTAATCAGTTATTGGTATGAGAGATTGGATGAGAAACAATGATTTTGGTTTACTGAGTAAATTGTTTGAATTAATGTAATTAGGTATTTGTCTGTCTGTACGTATGTATGTCTGTTAGATGCACGCGATATATAATTAGCGAGTTATTAATTAATTAGTGATGGGACACAAGGTGTCACTATGGAGTAAGAACGCTGTTTTGGGGATCCCCTAACTTTCGATCAATAAGTCTTCGGGTCTCTGAGACCGATATTCTCGTTTATCCCTTGTTATTGTGCATATATTGAATGTGAAATTTTTCCAAATAATCAATTTATTTTGAGCACTCAATATTGAGGGTTTATTTGTAATGTATTTACAAATAATAATCTTTAATAATTTTTTTAAATTTATCAAATTCAAATTAATAATTAAATTTAGTTTACACTTAAAATATTAGAAAATTTACTATCTAATGTAGAAGTATGACCTCAATATGTTCGACGAATATTCTATATACCAGGGCATTAAACAAAATGATATGTTGGCACTGGAAATGGCTCAATATGAGAGAACCATATCAGAATTACAGGGAAAAATAAAGGAATTAGATGAAGCATTGAAAACGGAAAAAGATAATTCTGAATCTTTGAATGATAGATTAACCAAGATACATGGAGATGGAATGGTTGCAGAACAGGTACTGTCATTTGATTTGATATATCAGAAGTCTGAATATTTTGTTGGTAAAATTGTTATTTTTACTATTTTGAATAGAAATCGAAAAAAATAAGTAGGGATGAATATTGTATTGTACTGTGACATCATGGTGAGATCTGCCTATTCTGTTTGACAAAGAAAATTATTTTGGGGGCTGTAGGACTTTTACTTATTATTCTTATTTCCTATTTACGTATTAATTCTCTATTACTTTATTGCATGTAGTCTTATCTTTTAACCTAATGTTTATGATAAGTAGGGATGAATATTGTATTGTACTGTGACATCATGGTGAGATCTGCCTATTCTGTTTGACAAAGAAAATTATTTTGGGGGCTGTAGGACTTTTACTTATTATTCTTATTTCCTATTTACGTATTAATTCTCTATTACTTTATTGCATGTAGTCTTATCTTTTAACCTAATGTTTATGATAAGTAGGGATGAATATTGTATTGTACTGTGACATCATGGTGAGATCTGCCTATTCTGTTTGACAAAGAAAATTATTTTGGGGGCTGTAGGACTTTTACTTATTATTCTTATTTCCTATTTACGTATTAATTCTCTATTACTTTATTGCATGTAGTCTTATCTTTTTAACCTAATGTTTATGATAAATTATTTTAAAAATACCTAATTAGCAGTTGGGTACTTGTAACCAGGGGTGTGATATCTGAGTTTAGCATGTTTTCAGTGGAATCAGAGCCAGAGTCGTATTTTCAAACTCAAATTATCATAATTTCAGACTTCCAATTGTAAGAGTCAAAGTTTTTTTTTAAGTCTATTAATGAAGATTTCAAAAATTTGATTACCAGATTAGAATTCAGAGCTGGAATCTGAGACAAAAGTTTCATGCTATCTGGTGTCACAGTTGAAATATTTCTTAATCTTGAGTTTGAGTACATTATAAATTTTCTTTGATTTTACAACCCTGCTTACACCAAATCTCAGGATTTAAAAAAAAACATTTACATTGCATTTTCCGGTATAGTTACGCTTGGAAGCAGAAGATCGAGCAAATCAACTCAGCAAACAATTCACGTCCTGTAAAGAAGAGATAGAATCAATGGAAGTGGAAATGAATGAATTAAGGAATAGATTACAAGAATCTACAACTCAAATGCAAGAAGCACAACAAGAAACTGAACAATATAAGGTAATAATCAAAATTTGCTCTGAACATGGCACTGAGCAATTTTTTCACACCTCTCGCTCCAAGCAAGGTCTTGTGCAAGCAGCCACAGACATTTAATGGTTTGTAAAAATAATAGTTTTGGAAAGACCTGAATCTTCCTAGTGACTTCAAATCTGTACGAATACGCAATTCAAAATAAAAAATAGTGATGTCATATGGTTATTTATACTTCGATTTGTCAGGAACTAGTAATAAAAAACTTTTCAATTCGAGATGGTTTTTTATGCATTTTAATAATATTTCATTTATTTTCTAATCATTCACTCTGATTTGTCACAAATTTAAGAAAATATTGTGCAATATTTTTTGACCTTTGATACTTTTCTGGTATCTTTTTGTTATTTGTGAAACATTTCACTTTTTTTATATATCCAATATAGCTCCAATTGTCGACAAGCAGTTCAGATACTCGGGTATTACAAGAAAAAATTGTTACCATGGAATCCGCTCACAGTAGATCCGTTGATATCATGCAAAGGAAAATTGATTCTTTACAGGTGTGTATTTTTTTCAATATAAGAAACTCAAATAATTGCGTTTTTTGGCAGATTGTGCTAAAATTAGGTAATTATTTCAGTTAATTTATTGTATGCCAAAATCGTGATAAATCTAAAAATTTGGCTGAAAGTTTTATGATAAAACTTTCCATATTCTGACCAAATTTACAGTTAACTTGGTTTACTATGTACTTGAAAATTATTTTTTGGTATTAATCATCGCTGACTAAAATCCAAATTTTATTAGTGTTGTCTCAATTCAGGATTACAATATTGAAACTTGGAAATGCGCTCAATTTGTTTAATGAAATAACTAATACCGGTATATAGTAAATCAAATATGTGTCAGCGTCAACTAAATACAGCTTATATTTCAGTATTATTTCCTTCTCAATATCCTAACATGAGTCACAGATAAGTTATGAATTAATCACCACTTTGCAAGAATATTTGACAATATGTTCAAAGATTATGACAATCACTTGACGAATGAATGTTTTTTCTTATCCTGCGTTTTATACGCCTCTTGCTCTAAACAAGGCTCTGCATAAGCGGTCACTGATTTGTGAAAAGCTAATCCATTTTGAAGGAATGGAATGTTTTTGTTTCTGCATTTTTTGCCAATTTGTTACATCCTGATTCCTGAGTGAGGGGGGAAATGAAATTTTAACCGATGCCGCCATACTTAGGTCATATTTAGCCACAGGTTTTTGAGGGTCAGAACATCTCCCGCCCCCATTTCCTTTTGGAATAGCAATTTTTATATCTTGAAAGGCTTTTTAGACCCTCAAACACTCTTGAAAACCCATGTTTCCAGCCTCTGTCCGACCCGTTAGCTGTTACTGTCTAACTTGTCTTTGAAAATTCCTGGTTATAACTCCGATACTTAACCACAATATTTTCAATATTAAGACTGACTGCACTCAATTGAAGAATGATAAAGACAGTTTACAGACTGAATATGAAGGTTATAAGGTTCGTGTTCATACAGTCTTGAAACAACAGAAAAACAAAGAACATGAACAAGAGAAGAAATCTGAGGATGAACAAAAGATGTAAGCCTACTTTTTAATAAAAATGTATTAGCTGCGAAAGAAATGAACTAATCACTTTCAAGCATTACGTTTGTTGTGTTGCACATTATTATATGGCGTCAAATGGGTAATTGTGGAACCGATGCGGATCCTTGAAAGCTATCGAGCATCATCCCAGAGCTGTGGGTAAAAGTGCCAAGGGTATATGCATGATGAAGCTTTTTTATTGATTTACTCCGCACAGAGTTATGTATGGCCAATGCTTTTTGCTGAATTTCTATCATTTTTCATCTTCTTCAGGACCTGAGCTCGCTTTTTCGCTTCAAGCCTGTTGATTAATGCCCTTTTTTCTATATATTCCTCCCTTTGCCTAATTTGGATCTGTTTGCTCCACTTTCACCATGTATCACAATTCTGTTTCCATTATTTGTTCAATCTTTGAATGATCCGTAGTATATGACTTTTGCACGGTTGGATGTTTACAAAAATACTAAACTAGAATATCGGTTAGAAACCGAAGACTTATTGATCGAAGGTTAGGGGATCCCCCAAAACAGTGGTCTTACTCCATAGTGACACCGTGTGTCCCATCACTAATTAATTAATAACTCGCTAATTATAAGACATAATCCATCCAAAATCAATAGGCTTCTGATCCGAGCTATGATGAATGCACTTGCAAAATTTGGAGCAGATTCAACCTCGCTTTCGTGAGATATCGCGTGCATCTAACACACAGACATACAGACAAACAAATACCTATCAACATACTTACCAATCTTAAGATCAATAAGTAATAACTTGACAATATTAGTAGAACTACATTGAATACAAAGTAGTAATTTTGTATTTTCTCCCTCAAAACAACAAAATTTTTCCCAGGTTGGGACACACTAGGCCACTCACCTGCCTGATCGAAATTTTCCCAGGAGCGCCAGAAAAATAAAGTATGTACACCTTCAAGTTCAAACATTTTGTACTTTTTTATTCACAGCATTCAGTTAAGAACTCTTAATGAAGAATTGAAATTAAAACTTCACGAATCTCAGAATAAATATCAACTTCATGAAAACGAACTTCAGTTGGTTAGTTCTGATTATGAAAGATTATTGAAACAACATGAACTGGATAAAAAAAAAGCAACAGAACGTGAAACAAGATGGAAGGGAAGGTAGGATTCAAATATACAAGCAGGCAACGAAAAATCTGGCAATTTTGGGTATTTATTTGGTATTAGTAGCAAATATGTAATATAATGGAGGGCCATGGAGCTGAAGAATACTTACGATCGACTCAACTCTGGTGTTGGAGATTTGAACTCTGACCCGAGATAATCAACGTTTGATTATGAAAACTTATGAAAGTGAAAATATGAATCCGACTGCACAGCCCTGATATAATTTATAGCAGTGGTTCCAACATCTTTGTTCAAGAAACCCAAATTTTTTGAAAAAAGTTTGTAAAATCTCTCGACCCAAAGGTATGCTCAAATACTAGGCTGCATGTAGTGCTTTCATGCCGCAAAATTAACTGACTAATATGAAACAACCATAAAATTCATTTTCCCAGAAATTAACTCCAAGTGAGAAATCTGCGCTGATTTACCATTGAGCAAGTTTTTGAAATCGAGGGTGGCTCTACTTGAGCAAAACAGCAGCTGCCAGCGTGATACAATTACTATTGAGCAACTACAAATATAAAATGAACAATAAAATTTACAGGAAAACAAAATCAGTAACTTTTAGGTTCTAGTTGAAAAAACAAGCGACCAAAGAAAATTTCTAGGCGACCTAATTTTGGATAGGTTGGGAAACACTGATTAATAGGTTTAAGTTAGCTGAAAAACTAACTGTTAAAAAATATTTTTTAAAAACAAGCTCGAAAACAATGCTGGAATGCGAGTAATTTTCTTCAAATTTTATTGCCGAGTCTTGTGATATGAGCTTGTCATATTTTCTCCACATCTATGCAATGACTATGTGATACTGATTTAAGTAATATACTGTATTGTATGTTTTTGTTTCCTTCAGGGTGCAAGACCTTCAACTTGAATTATCAACATTACAAAGACAGCACACAGACATTACCATGCAGACTAATCAGAGGAACGCCGATCTTTCCATAAATCATAAACAAGAAATGGAAGAATTAAAAGAATCTCATAATAAAACTGTGGAAGGTTTCAAGAAAAAACTCAACGATACTGAAAATGAGTTATTCCGTATTCAAGCTGAAAGAACAGCGAATTTTGAGGCTACAAATAGAGGTAAATTTATTTTGCTTAAAGATATACCTTTTTTAATATGTTTGTGCCTGAGGCGCATGCCCTGCATATATGTGATTTTCTGAAGCTGTCAAAAATGAATTTTGGTATTAGAAATGGAGTGTACCTTGGATTGTTTTGCTGAATTGTTGTTGTGAAAAAATTGCTTCTTTTAATACGAAGAATTGAAAATCCTACTAATAGGAATTTTTGCTGCTGCAAACGTCTGCTCAAATCATCGTAATCTGAAAAAAAATTATAAGAAATTAATACTACAGAACAGTAGTAGTTCTGCATCAAAATATTTCACAAGTTTTTGATTAATTTAAATAACTCCGTACAAATTATACTCGAGGATTTAAAAATTTTCATTTTTATTTGACTCAGCGTAATTCAGAGAGTAGATAGCGCTCAATAAAATAGTTCTTCTTCACTCTTAATAAATTTTTTGTTCAGTTTAAGCTGAAACATGTTTCCAATATTCAAAGTACTCACGTTATCTTAGAAATGAATGAAGAATATAAATTGTAGTAGAGTCTTCACAAAAAACTTGTGAATTTGTAATGGCTTAACTTTCTGTTATAGTGACCTCTACACCTCAGAAAAGCTCCAAACCACCATCACCAATACCAAGCTCAGTATCAAGAATGTCATCTGCTGATCATTCACATCCTACTCACCACAGGTTGGTTTCAAAACAGAATGACTGACACCCAGAAATAATTATTCGGTGTCTTTTTGTAGTATTTTACAAATCATAATCATACTCTATGCAATATTTTGCATTTCGGGTGAGATAGTGAACTTTGGAAATATGGAACGGTCAGGAATATTCTAATATTATAGAACTTTGAACTGGGATGCCAATATAGTAAACGCTAAGTTGTGGCATGTACTTTTAAGTACTATTCGTCTATTACTAAAACTTACTATTACTAAAATCAAAATATTATACCAGAAAGATTCTGGCTTTTCCAAAAATACTAGTCTTTTACCTATGAATGGCTGATTGTACAGTGTAACGGTGTGGAAATGCTTCCTAAAAAGGGCCCTTGGGTCCTTTAAGGAACCATGAGTCAGTCGTTTGGGGGCCACAAAAAAATACCTTTGCTGGTACCAGTTGTCATGACTTCGTTATTTTAAAGTATATTAACTGCAGTTTGTTCATTTCTTTGACTGTAATGTATTTTTTTATGCATTTATTTGTTGGCATTTTTTTAATGACACTTAAAAGCAAAACTAGGTATTTTTAAACAAAAGCAGGCCACCACAAGCATTGAATAGTTCTTGGAAGGTGGCCAAAATTTTTGAAAGTTTGAGAACTACTGCACCAGGCAATACGTTAAATAGCAGATATTTTACTCTTGTTTAATCAGGCATCATTCCCATCACCAAATGATGGATTTCAGATCAGTGACAAGAGAAGATGGTGAAGGAGAAGAAAACCCAGATCAAGCACAGACTTTTGAACAGATTTTGGAATCTTCTGAAATTAAAGCAGGTAGGGTTTTTAAATGATATCTCACATCACAATTTGTGATGAGAAAAATGATAAATTGAAATTTTTTCAAATGTTATAAAAACTGTAAATGAAGTTTTAATAATTGTGATCGAGCAGATATATTTTGTGTATGTTTGACATGTGTAACAGTCAGGTCTGTGGAATTGGAGTATGACATGTTTTCATTCGTTTCGACGGTGTTACGCATTGTGCTGATCGTTAGGAATACGCTTGCCACCACATCTCTGATTACCCTGCATGCTCATCACCGTAGGGGGTTCACGTAACCACTGGTCGGTTACGGCTTCCTACACCATCAAGTCCATGCATCTGAAAACAAGTAACTGGCTAGCTTACCCCATACCCGACATGGAATGGTTGCCGGGACGAGAGGTCATGGTTTGCCATATGATTATGTCATCTTATCACCTTTCATCTTCCCGGGATAAATATGTAAATCCTATTCTATCCATTGGAGGCAGAGTAAAAATTTCCCACTGAAATTCAAGACTTGACAGTCTATTAACAAAGTTTTTGTTAATAAAATATGATTTTCTGAAACTAGGAGTCTAATAAAATTTTGTCAGAGTCAGAGTCAAAATTCCTCTCAACCCAGAGTGGCGTCAATTGTGAAGTTTCCCCACAGCCTAGTAGCCTGTTACATATCATTAGATATCATTTGCTGTTCGTACAGGGCCTTGTTCAGAGCAAAAATCATGAATAAAAATGAAATATAAAGAAAAGGCTGAATCCTCAGCGGTCATTAGCATTGAGATGTTGAAATAATGAATCTTGAGTTCAATATCCTGACGCGATATCAAACGCAATATGGTACACTTGCCTAGTTTAGTGTGTTGCTTTGAATATATCGTTTCTGAACTTATGAAAATTTTTGTTTATTTTGCTTTCTTGTTTACAGTGTCTGTTGTGTCTGATTCTACAATGACTAGTGAAGCTCGACAACGAAACATTGAATCAAAGTATGAAGCTCAATCAAGAAAATTGGATCATTTATCTGAAGTTGTTAGAGAAAATGAAGCCACTGTTGCCAGATTAACAGAACAAAACAGAGTGTTGAAAGAAGAAATAAGAAGACTTGAGAAAAACCAGGTTTGAAAAATCTTTCTCGCTTTTTTCACTGAATTTGTTTTAAATAGATTTTGATTTAAGTACAGTTTAATACATGAACTGTATTTCGCTATCAAATGTTACTTTTATATAGCCTATACCAAATTACACGTTACACATTATTTATGCCAACTTGTGGGAAACAGAGGAAAAACGGGAGGATAGCGAGTATCGTCTCAAGGATGTGGTTGAAGGTTCCTAGCCCACCAGTTGGATATATGACATGATGAGACTTCTTTTTTGATTTGATTTCGTTTCAAGTTGAAAACTATTTGGTCAAATCAAATGGAATGCTTGAGTGATAGAGCCATGTATATATTGGTAAAAAAAAAATTAAAGCATTGCTGGATATATCTTTATTATTATTTAATTTGCATTTAAAAGGCATAATTAGGATATGTGGTGCGGTGGGTATCTTGGAGTCGGCCATATGTACATATTACATATTATTATAGTTGTGTGATTCAGTTCATTTTCCCAGCTTATTTGCCTTAAGTATTGTTTTCTAAATACTCACATTGGGGGTTCAAAACAAATCGAATCGACTTCCAATTAATTACATTCAATATGTAAATTTTGGATTCTGAGAATAATTTAATATAGTTTTCTTTTTGTTAACGAATGAGGTGTAACAGTAGAACTATAAACACCTTCGTTATTCAATTTCTGTGAGCTGTTAAAACAAAAACACATTGAATATACATAGACTTCCCTTTGGTCCTTGTTAAACATGACACAACTCTGTATGTATTCAATATTCCACAACAGAAAAGATTATTTCAAGTGTGTTCGGAATAGTAGGTTATTTTTGCCATTCCTAATTAATCATTCGTCATCAATCCTTTGTTACAGGAAAGAGAGACATCTGTAGCGAACATGGAATATTTAAAGAACGTTTTGTATAAGTTCGTTACACTGCCACCAGGGGATGAAAAAAAACATTTACTGCCAGTCATAGATACGATGCTCAAGTTTGATCCAAAAGAACGAGCAACGTTACATGAAATGGCAACTGGTAGGTTTTTTTCGTTCTTCTTTTTAAATTCGTCGCATACTTCCATAGATATTACCTTAAATGGGTCTTTCATGTAATATTTTTTCAAAAGATTTATGTGATCATTTTTTGCCTACAAGTTGTTGCTTTCATAATTATTTGATGTTGTTTTGGAAAGTCCAACTTCACACTTTTGAACCAATACGTACGTATGTTCGTGTTGATCCTTACTGTAGTATTCTTGTAGTCGGTGCCTACAAATCAACTAATTCCATACGCAAAGATCAGTGGATCCCTTTTTTGTACATTCCTCCTTTTTTCTAATTTTGAAACTTTTTCACAATGTATAAAAAAATCAGCTTTTGTTTCCATCTTCCAGGAATATTGTTACAATATCACTAGATAAAAAAGAATAGTTATAATAATGCACACAAATGGTGGGTTAAGTTCCCCCCTAACAAAAATTTTTGCGTGGAAAAATCGAGAGGACTTATTTACTTTAAAAAGGAAGTATGTCTCTCCCAATAGAGCACTAGATTTCCATTGACAAAGCTATCGATGGTCTATGATTTACTATCTCATTGGCCTACTTGTAAGCCTTCATTTCGCATGTCAACTTAATTTGATGTTTAACTTCTTTCTTTATGATGTTTATCTTATCATTTACTATTTGCAGCGTGACCCAATAAAAAACAGAACCCAAATATTTATTATTTACTTCTATGAAAATGGGGAAATTTTATTTAACATTTTTTGTTTGTGTACGATTGCCCTCTTGTCTTCTTCACCTTGCTTGCAACATTTAGCCCATTTGATAACCTTTGTCGTCGTAGATTAATGTGTTGTTTCATATTTATACCATACGAAAGAAAGGCTCATAAGATGGCTTTACCATATGAGATAATCATGGCTTTTGTCCAGGGTATAATTATTTTGAATGAAATTTTTGGAAATTCATTTAGTTTCTCATTATTACTTCCGCATTTACATTTGTGCGTTTTAATATTTATCTGTTATATTTTACTCAGATGATGCCGGAGCTGAAGGGCAGAAAGGATGGTCTGGATATTTTCAAAGATGGTCTGGTTTACAGTAACACTAGCCCGTAGTACATGAAGCTGTAGTTTCAATTTAGCTTATTTTCACATTTTTGTAACAGGGTGCTTAATCATATTCTGCTACATATATATATTCAGTGTATGTAGTAATATTATTTATTTCCCATACGTGTGTGTTTAATGAATGTATTATGTTTTTTGTGACCGATTTTGCCTTGACCAAGTGCCTTTATTTCTTTAGTTAAATATTGTTATCTCAGTTTCAAATGCACCGACAATACTGTGAGACTAGATGATTAGGCACGAAGTGTACATATAATTCATTTTGCTAGATTTATGCTTTTGGGAAAACTTTCCCATCTCGCAACTTATGGGACCAATTAATTTTCAATTTTCAGTTCTCAAAGTTGGAAGAAGTCGCTAGAAAGCTATTACTTTTATGCCTAATCTCCTCTATATGACCCTATGTTTCAGCCAAGATTTTGCTGGTTTCTTTTTTATTTTTAGGTACACTTGTATGACATTTAGCCCTGGTGTGCATATATTTCAGAATGATCTGTTCTACTACTCGCTTTATGATCAAGAAATGTACATTGTTCAAGTATTGCTTGTTCAATTCGGATTTTCAATTTAATCAGTGACTTAATTTTTCATTGTCAAAAGTTTTCTGGCTGTATTATTCATTTATCTGCATCTCAAACTTTCGTTTTATGTGCTCGCTTCGAACCTGAAGAGAATCTTTCAAAAACAGCTTGCAACATAACTAAAGCTCTGAGCCGCTCATCTCAGCAAGTTTTCTAGGTTAATGTTTATATTTACTGTCTTTTCTTGGTGAGGAATCTAATATTCCATCCATTTTATGGTACTGCTTTTTATGCTATTACTATATATAACAAACCTATATATGTACATTAACAATGCCATCGCAGTGCAATAAGCTAACACTGATAATAAATAGAAATAATTATGCAAATGTTACGCTCATTATTATTGTGTGATTTGCTTATGTGAGATTCTCCAGATTTACCTATACTTATGTAAATGAATTTCATGCTCATTATTCCATTTTTCATATGAACTCTGGCCCCCAAAGCTCGAGTCGGGATCATTCGAGTCGAAGTCGAGTCAATCCCAAAGTTAGGTCTCACTTGTGGTTGAGTCAAGGAAGAGTCACATCATATAAATGACTCTTGTCAGTGCGAGTTTATATTCAATGGTGACTCCTAGCTATGTATATCTGGCTAGCAGAAAATCCCATCTCACAGATTCTATGCGGCTAAAATACTGATTGCTTGAACATTTGAATAATCAATCCTCTTGTTCCTGCCCTAAACTATGTGGAAAAATAAACCTAAAGAAAAATGAAAGAAAATAAATATTATATACAAAATTTATTGTTATTCCACAAGCCCATTTATAATAGAAAATAGAAAAGCGGTATAATGTTAATAGTGTCTTGCAGAAAGAAAAGCACATTTATTAAAGAAAATATACATGAATGGAATAAACGAAAGAAAATGGCTTATTTAGACGGAAAACCGATCATATACCAACTATTTGAGTAAATATCATAAAGAAAATGTTATTTCGAGGGAAAATTTGGTTTATTTCTTCAATCGGGATTATATGAATAAATATTGATCATCAAAAATTAAAAAATTTTGACTCAAATTTCGCTGGTATATATATGATCCATTGTTCTATACGATATCAATATTAAAAACTTTTATTGAAATCATTGTAAAATCTATTATTCTATTGTTATTGATAGTCGTACGTTGTCGTCATGGCGTGCCTTTTGGCAAAATTAGGAATGAATTGAAATTTCGGAATAAGTAAAATGAGAAATGGTTTTCACTACACAAGACAAAAGTCTTTATCACGCTTGTTCTAAAGTTGTCATTATCTCCTAAACTTTAGTCTAAATTTGGTAATATTAGAAAAAAATAGGCTTTGAAAAACAATCTAAATAATCGAATTGACCGGTTTTCTGTAACATTTTCCATTATTGTATAATCGTAATTAATGTCCAATTTACGGCATATATTAAGACTTCCCTGGAGAATAAATTCAATCACAGGCATGGTGCTTAAAAACCAGACTATTCGGGTGTGGGTATACCGCATTGCCACTCGTCTGATTCAGAGAAATAAGGCTAATATTTCCGTCATAACGATCTAAAATTTGTTCATTGTTCAAAATTATCCAGTTTGGGAAATCAATGCAAAAGTTGCGGGAGATTCGTCATTTTTATGCATTATTGAAAAAGTCATTATAATACTTGTCCAAGTCACATACGTATTTCAAGAAATTAAAAAAAATTTCATCACACACTAATAATCTGGTAAATCAAAAAAATGGGACTTTCACTCAAGTTCGATTGCACTTACGTGGAAGAGCGCTTGTGTTAACTTTGCACATAACGTTTAATAATGTTAATTATCACACATAAAAGTAGTAGAATCTGAATTACTTGGTTATTTAATGTGTAATCATGATCAAAAACATATATATTTAACAAAGAGATAAACATTATTTAAAAAAAAAATAATAATCGTAGTAGTTTTGTTCATTTATAACATAATTGACACAATGAGACAGAAAAATAAAATTCCAAGACATTTTTAAGAAAATGCTGTTTAATCATGTGCAAAAAGCAGAGTGCTTACAGGAACGAAGACGAGGTATTTATTCTTTTTCGGTAAAAATTACCTAGCCTTTAGCTAGATGCTCGATTTCAAGTTTTATCGGTGTACTTTATTCTTAGTGGAAAGTAATTTCTCAATACAAAGATCATAAACTCGCGGATGAGAAACGATATTGGAAGGCATATGATGTAATAATGCAGGAGACCATTTATTCGGTAATTATAAAAATAAATAATAAAAAGGCACAATTTGGCACTAAGGTATTAGAAGAAAAATGCCGTAAATTTGCCATGTTTGAGGAAGACTTAACAATTGGCTATCGAAACGATATGGCACTGAAGAAAAAAATTGAAATTGTGTGAAATTTTCAGTTACGTATCAGAAAAACAAAATATGTGGTTGTAAAAGAACGTTAGGTTGTGATTTAAAAAAGAAAAAAGGCTTTGTGCAATTTCATATCTATATACGTAATAATGCAAAGTGCTTAAGCATAATTACGTCGGACCTTTTTTTTTTGATTATTTCGTCATCAATGTTGATTGGTTTAACATTATCAAGCGACATAAGCTTAGTGGACTGATATTTTCGAAAATTGCCCTTGAAAAAAAATTGTTCATTGGTACAACAGCCAGGCGCGATACTTTTGCGAAAAATGTTCATGAAACATGAATTCTGGACTGTGTAAAAATAAAATAAATATCAACCTTTTTCCATAGTATTCGGAGTCGAATCGTACGTACCAACGTAAGTAACAAAAGCCTAATATTTAGCAGCTTTGGTTGAGCCTTTGGCGGGAAGAAATTCGCGTCATTTTCTTTTTGTTGTATATAACTTCATGAAGTGTTTGGAAAATTTGGCCCCGTAGATTTTGGTAACATTTCAACCGGAAGGCACTAACTATAAGAGAAAAATTTCCTCAAAGGAAATTCTCTCGTGGAAATTTTTCTTCGACCTCTAGTCTTCCTATGTCATATAATCGTTTTGAACTGCGTGATGAACCAGTGCGACTTCCCGCTCTCCTGTACTGCCTTGATTTCATTCGTTTAAGTTCACGAAGTGAAAGTCCACTGTAATCATCGCTAAGTGTATCCGACTCTGTACTTCTGTAGGATTCAGATGTCAATTTTTGACTGAGTATAATATTAGGAACTGGTGAAAAATGAGTCACGACTCCTGATTTTAATCTTCTCCAGTGTGCAAATGTGACGATCAAAGATGCAAACTAAAAATGAAGAAATAGGTTATTTTGATGAAGCAACAATAGAGAGATGCTTAAAAAGGTTGGCAAATGGCCAAAGGTCATATAGCAGTGGTTCCGTGTTTCATAAAAAGTGGTCCCCTGAATTTAAAGAAAATGGCAAAATTTCGGGTGAGATATCGGCTCTCTTAAGACCTGATGGAGATAGGAAAAAAGGTAATAACCGACTACTTCTTCTTGAACGTTATGAAACTTTAAAATGGTTGGTCTATTATTCGCTCAGAACAGCAATTTTTCTCATTAGGAACAACGGCAATTTAGTAAAATATTACGCGGCATCCAAAAACTATGAATGTAGTTCCTTCCATCGTCAAATTTCAGTAAAAGCAATATTGTATTTAGAACTTCTTATGCAAAAAATCAGTAACGAGAAAAGGGGTGAATTAAAAATGAGCTCGTTGTATAACTCATCATATAAATATTACTTTACTTGGAAATTCGAACGACTCATTTTTCATTCTATCTGTAATTGCACGTAATTAGAGGACATCGTGTATATTATTACTTCTTCAAGGCAATTTTATCACCTATTTCAATCAGAAAAAGTGATTAAATTCGACTTACAAAGAGCCAGTTCATTCCGAGTAGCAAAAGAACGGCCGAAATTTTCATTACTCTTTTTCCAGCGCCCATCAGTATTAAGATTTCATCTCTCAAGGCCTGTAATGAGAAATTAAGTATAATTGTAAATAGTGTAACAAGATGGTTAGAGTGTGATAACTGTAGATATAGCCTAGGGCATTTTACTTAACGAAGTGTTAGAGTACGGTATTGTTTTTTTATTGCCAGTATATGACTAACAAAGAATCGCTGAATTGCGTGGATAAGTGTACTTGAAAATGCTTATATTCATTCACTCAATCCTACTCAGAGAACACTTGAAACAGAAACAAAACACAAGACTTGAAGAATCAATTCATATAACCTGGTTTACAAATTAATATAGAATCGTATTCTTACAAATGATTTTAATATAGTTTTTTATATGAACATATTTCTCACTTTGGGTGAACTACAACATCTAACGAACATACTTATTCGCTAGTCGGATATTTTTTACTTCATTATCTTACATGGTTTGCACCTTAAAGACTTTATAATTGTGTGGGCATTTATATTTGATGTACAACAGATTTCGTACACGCAAGTAAATATATTAACTATTAACATTATTCAAACAATCATGATGCAATAATGTAAATGCTTTTCAAATGGCATTTGTTTGAACTATGGTTAAGTACCGGTATATTCGCTATAAATTACACAGGAACTATAAGGTATGTGGCTAAAGTTTGCATTAACCAACTCGGGAAAATAATTTCATCTCATAAATGCCATGGAAAGTTTCATATCTATTCCGCAATTAATTATGACGCTGGGTTTTATAGATGATTCAATAGCTTCCCATTTTACTTACTGCGTCTAATAACATGTTAAGATTTAGTTCGTCGCCCATATCTATGTTTAGGAAATTCTTTAATAAAATGTTGATTGATGCCCACATGCCTTCGAGATTTGAAATGAGATCCTCTTTGAGAACCTGAAAAAAAAGCCATTTAGTTTACTGACAAATCAGAAAACAATAAACTTTTGATTACCGAAAACGTAAACAAATAATAACGTAACAATGTACGATAAAACACATTGTTAACAATACAAAATGGAACCTTGTGTAGCAATACACATACAATTAGCCAAAAATAGCGATGCCTATATGCTATATCTAATACATACGATATAATAGAATATTCGATGCTTCGATAAAAATTTCGAAAAATCTGAACGGATCTAAAACGGATAATCATAATGCAAGCCAAATTTTAAGAAAATGTACTTTTGATTATACAAAATTTTAAAACTTATTTCAAATTATTTTATCTTTCGAAATCCTTAGCTAGTTACTGGCTTACCATGTGAAAAAAACTAGTTTCTCTACATGATAATTAAATCCAATAAAATACCCTGGCACTATGAAATAATTGTAGGGTGCGACTTCCTAATAAAGCCCAATAATACAAGTTTCCAATTTTATGAGAAAAAGTGCTTTCGTAGTACTTTAATTATTTTCAGTGATGAAGCACTACTAATTATCGTGCTGGTGCACAAATGTGCCTAACATTTTTAATATTACTAACGTTCATTTGAAAATTGAAAAGAGTAATGAAGTGATATTCGATCAAGTAATTTTGTTTTCTATAAATAAACTACAAAAATGTTATTTGTATGCAAATATTCGCTAAAAATCAATTAAAGCTCAATAACATTAGAAATATTTTTAAAAACTGCAATTTATTAACAAAAATAGAAATTTCCTAGGAGGGTTAGTACAATCCATTACCAGTCAAGTCAGAATGATTAAAAGAAAAAAGTGAAGTTGTATCAGCTTTATATTAGTAAATCTCGCCACCATTGCTACAACCCCACAAAAGCATTTATAGTAAGAAAAATAACAAAAAACGTCCTTTTTTGTAAATTAAGACAAGAATTCGCCGAGAAGTTCACATAACACCTCAGAATAATTAATCACCAAAAAGAAATTATCTTGCAAAAATATGGATGTCCCTCTTATCCAAGGTCGAGTACGTGATCAAAATCAGACGTATTATGAATGTCCAAGATACTTTGATTTGAATATAAGTAGTATGGGAATACGACGATTTTTATATAAATTTTTGCCCCAAACTAAGGTCATACGCACTGTCTCAAAAGCAGAGAGGGTTATTTTTAAGAGAAGTTAGGGACGATGACTCAAGAGCCGCTGACACTATAAAAAATCATTGCGCTGAATTGCGAGCCAGGATTAATGGAGATGTTTTTCTATAACTAAATAAATTTTAATAGCTTATAAATTTTGATTCGATCTGTATAGCTTCATCTTTACACATATTCACTATTGAATAAAACGAAATGTTGTGTTATATTGCGCAACAGCACATTAACACAATACCACTCCTCAATACCTTTTGGGAAGGAACTTGTCTAAAGGAAATCAAACCCCCGGTGATTCGAGTTGTCATATCAGTTGTTATACTTGTTGTTCTTTATAGTATGGTAGAAATTGTCAATATGTACTGAAGCACTGGTTTTGGTCACACAGAAAAAGTAAAATCAGACAGAAAGAAAATATGGCACAATTTAATAAAGCGATGTCGAAACCACCGAAGATGAACAAAAGCTTGTTGTCAAGTGCCGTTTTATGTCATGTATGGGAATGACGTATTACATTTGTAAATAGGTAGCCGTGTAGTAAAGAACTTTTAAATTGCGTTGTTAATTTTTTTTCAAATCTGTTTTGCTCAGCAGGAACCGAAAATTGACCACAAAATTGTTGACGTGCCCTTTTAGGAAGTGTACTCTGCTGTTATATAAAAAGCTGGTCGCTTGGTTCGACTTGAATAAATATTGAGTGAATTTTAAAAAAGAACTACTGAATTTAGCTTCTACAAAATTATGTATAAAAAGTTTCATGATTAATTATACGGATACATGCAATATTTGTTTCATATACCCTACAAAAACTATTTACTAATGGTGAACTATTTAAATAGATATTACAACTTTGAATCATGATATATATATTTATATGGAAATGTTACGTTTCAAATTGTGCCATCAAACATTCAATTTCCAAAACCAGATGATTTAGTGCACTTCAACCCAGGGATGTTCACGACCGAATGACATATTTGATGTTTTTCAAAATTTTCAAAAAAAAATGGCAGCACAACTTAACGTGACGTTTTCGCTTGTTGTGTTCATACAAGAATGATTATATTTTCAACTAAACCAAAAAGAAAATTTTTTTTTTGAAATTTTCGATTTTCAAGAAATAATTCAGAAATTTTTGAGCATCCCTGGTTTATTTTCTACCATTGTTTTTAAACTAATTCTAAGGGAAAAATCAGATCAAACACCACTATTTCACAACGATACCCATATTTTCATCTTACAGAGTTTGGTGGGTCAACAAACAACGGATTGATCAACCCTCCTACGACTTGAGTTCGATATTTGAATTCGCTTAACTGTTCGATGCAAAATAGTAGAAAGATATTATTAAACAATGATTAGCATATTATGATATTATAAGGAGAAAATGATTGATAAATATGAAATGAAAATTCCAACTGACTTTCAATATAATAATTTTTCATTGGAGGTAAATAAAATTTAATAACAACGCCAAATTAAAATCAACAATCTAATTTCAATACAAAATCTGGGACAGGATTGCAGCCTGAATTCTAAACGAATATTATGAAAGTTGCGTGTGGGTAAAGGGTGAAGAGCGGAAGGTGTGGACTGAACTATATTTCCCTTGTTTTTTCATTTTTACAAAAAAAAAAAAAACCGTGTGATTATGACGTCATAAATCAAATTGTTATTATTCGAGGAAAAAAACTAAATCTATAGTCACTACAAAATATTTTACTAGTGAAGAAATCTAGGACAATCCACCCCTACAACCCCACAATGATTTCTATCACCAATTAATTGGAAAATTGTGAAATATACAAGTATATAAATATTCTATATTTCAACAACAATCCAGAATAAAAAAAATTAAATATTCGATTCTAACACCAATGTTAATTGAATAAAATGCAATTTCAATATTTACCATTTTTGCTAGATTCCAATAAGTGCTGTTGTCGAAGAGCAAAAATTGATCGATATACGCAAGTTGAATGAATATAAAAACAGAACCGCCTAATGTACCTATGGAAATGACGGTCATTGTTAAGATATACGGAATCAGTTTGCCGGATTGCGCCTGAAAAAGAATGCATACAACTTCAACCAACGAGGAATGAATGCAAATTATTTTAAATAAACTTTATTGGCTAACTATTGCCATGGATACTCCGTAATAAAGTAGTGCAATTTTATTGGCTGAGTACGGTCGAATCAACTTCATCGTTTTGTTCCAAATGTGTGACGAATCACAAATTATTTATTTAAACTTACTAAAAGAGCAAAATTTGAATGTGTCGGATAATGTTTACAGAAATACGCGACAAATTCTGATTCGATCTTTCCAAGTGTTATTGCCTGAAGTACATTCAGGTAATAGATGTTTCCCGACCTTTGACCCCGATGAAATGGAGGCAGCTAACTTTAGCTTAGGCTCAATATTTGCAACCATGCTCGGAAATCTGTCCCAGCGAAAAAACGGAGCCTAATCGGGTGCTAAACATCCAATTGTTACTTTACTGTTTGTTCATTTATTGCTATTTAATCATCGTTACAGATATAAACGAGGAAACGTCTATTTTGCATTAGACAACGTGATGCTTCAGTGGTATAAGAAACGGAGGTATAAGTAAAAACACGACTCTTTTAATGATATGAACTCGATATACGATATTAACTAACCTTGAAGGTGCCGTACATGCATAGAACTGATACAATTACAACGCCCAAGAGAAGAAATATTGCAATGGCATAGATGGCTTTAAATTCTGAACCGAACAAAAATATAATTATTTTTATTTTAAGGACGGACTACAAATTAAGCCAAAGAACCACAAATCAATAAGTATTTAAAATATGTACACAGAAATAGAAGATACAAATTTGTTCAACTGAACTTGTCCAAATAGAAATTAATATTGGGTAATCTCGATAATGAAACTAGCATTCGTTGTGGCTGAGTAATGAAATAAAACATAATAGACCAAATCTAATTTTGTATTGAAAAACGTCCCTTGATACCATTGTCGATTTGCTTTGAGTACAGTTTTGAAAAAATGAGAAACATTGCCCTCAAAGGTAACAGATATGAAGCAGGTAATAATAAATCAACACCCAATTACATCATGCTCAAAGTTGACCGTACATCTTCAAAGAGTATTGTGTGTATAGGAAGCTCAATGATAGCAATTTTCAAAAGCATCTCTGTATGAAATGGTCCATATATACCGGTAGCAATCAACATAACAGATTGAAAATTGCGCCTGAACCAGCTAGCGATGGATATTACAAAGTAGTTTTCTGTTGATAGCTTAAATTGGATCTACATTTAAAGTGCCCAATCTGACATGACATGAGTATGAATGGGAATGACGGACAGAGGGAAAATAAAAGAGTGTGAGATGTAAAATATGGTAACCCATTTCCCACTGAAAACACCTGGAATTAGAAAACACAATACCGTAAATACTACTCACCGGGTGAAAGAGCATCGATGTGTTCCCATATTTCAGGGCAGAAGCACTTTGGTGCTGAAAATGCCAGTGTAATAAAAAATAATGCGCTAAATATCACCTGAAACAAAAATGAATTCTTTTTAATAAAATCATGGTCGCGTAAAATTCAACTGCTAGAACGACAGGGTAAGATTTTTTCGTATATTTTGATGTTTTACACCGTAGCATTACTTATCTTGAGACGGCAAATAAATAACCGTTGATAATGTATCTATATGACATCGTCATAAATATTAGTTTGTTCGAGATAGCATCAAATATATGATAATATAAGTACATTATAACGCATTCACAGAGCTTATAACGTTATACAGTATATGTGCTTAATTAGATAATATATATTTCAGTGTATATCATCCATTATTTTTTCAAATTGTCATTATCAAAATGACGTCCGTAAAACGGTGCAACTAAACTAAAGCCAAACACAATATATTTTGGTCAGACTGAAGCATGATAAAAGCTCAATGCTACAAAAATGGTAAGGTTTAAATCACGTATATCGATATTTCCCCATTTCAAAAAACTGGAATACACAAAATTTTCCACAATCAAACTTTAAAACTTAACAATATTAATATTTAAATAAGATATCCGCGCTCCAGTGGGCATACCATCACAAATTCAATACGTCATAAATGATAAATGTACTGATAAAATGAATAAACTCGTGTGCTTGTCTAGTCAGATATCGCGCCACTCTGGCCTGAGTTTCGTCATTTCGTCGACGACGCTAAAGATTATTCAGCTGAAGGCACAATTTTCCACAGCCATGCACGGATCGTGTGGAATGCGCACGATGTTCATTTTAAACCAGACGGAAAAATACTATGGAATGGGAAGACGCGTCACTTAAGGCATCTCAAAAGTAGAACACAAACTCTATTATCTCTTGAAAATCTGGGTCGTTTTCATTCAGACTCAATTGAGAGAGAAAAATTGTCGGGTTAGTTAATCTCCTTCAAATTAAAACAGCGTCGTTTCCCTGTTGTGTTGTATAAACAGAACGCTAGAAAGTTTGCTTGGGGCCTTGGTAAAGAAACGCCATAGAGTGTTGCTTATTTTAACGGCTTTGCGCGAGAAAATATTTTGCTTCCTAAACTTTGAGTCCAAATTTAACTTGAGTTGTACATTAATCAAATTCAAGATTAAATGAAAGGCCTCATTTACAAGCAATGATAAATTAGCTATTCCAGTTTCATCCGCACCGTGATTATTTTTATGATTAAAATCTGGATTCGTCAAATTAACTTTTCGGCACATGTTTTATATTTAGATTTTGATGGATAATCATTCATCAGCTATCAAACTGAACGTTGAATTTCGTGAATGGGATCGATTCTTTCACCTTGCAATGACGGTCTCGATTAAAGTTATCCAAATAAAATTGATATTTTTCTGACTTGTGCACGCATCGGTCATTAGGATAGAGAAGGAAGACGTTAAGGAATTCCACGTTTGAGCGATCGGAAAGCACTGTATAACCCCGGCTTAAATCCTTCAATTATACAATGAGCATACATGAGCAACCGTTAAACCACCCAAATACAAACTAAACTTTAAAAAGAGCCATTGCAATTAAATCCAATTACGGCGCCATTACCTTCGATCTAGTTTTAAAAATAATCCAGTTAAGCTTATAATATTGATTTATTAAAACACCGAAAGGGGTATTGGATGTAATTAGAACGTTTTATTAACTAAACGAAAAATAATACTAACTTTGGAACGGTAATTTAAAATAATTCAGGTTTTTGAATCCTGGATATTTGATGCCAGATTTTAATTGTAAAATAACACTGAGTGTTTACGGATTCCCCACTGTTTGAAATTTTCTATCAGATTATATCATTTTATGTGGCATCGCCGTTTAGAATTAAACTGAAATAGAACTTGGTAATTTATATTGGCGTCAAGTTTCCGGAAACCAGTAATAGTTAACTAACATGGTTGAGCACCTGTTTTTCGTCACGATAACTTATATTGAGTGAGTATGTATCATCGCTGTAGGACGGGTGACACGGATCCTATATTGACATTTTATGATCGAAAAGCCTTATAATATAAAATGACATACACCAGGTCATAATATCACGACACGTGAACGTTGGGCGGGCTTGTTTACCTCGGCGAATAGTTGCGTCCAGATTTTTCGAATGCTTAACCAATGTAATATTATAAAAAAAAAAATGATATATATAACATTGCCAAAGACTCAATAGTCCTCTAGGAGTGATATATATCTTATTTGTTGTTAAACAAAAAATGTATGGATTCAATACAATTTTGGGAAAATTTTCGAAAAAATGCACCGACCGCAAAGTGTACGGTTTCCTAATGCCTAAACTAGAAGGCTTCGAGTGTGGTTTTTTCAGCTTTGTGTTTCTCTTATGTAAGATTATACTATAACTTCACGCTATAAATGAAGCAAGAATTATCACACTTGGCTGGGTTTTTTGAGTGCAGGTGTTCCATATACAAAATAGCATGCACTATGTGATGTATATACGTCTAAATTTGAGCCCATTTTCCTGTCCTACTCTCAACTCAACGGAAAGTGGAAAAGTGAGCTAGCAGATGCAATTACGAATATAATTAAGTTACCAACGAATGAAATCACTAGTAAAATTTACTTCCTTATTTTTACAAAAGGAGATCGTAACGAAATACGTACGTGCAATCCGCTTGTACAACGTCATGCGTCAGTACCATTCTAATTTGAGCGTTTTTCCGAATACATGAGATTTCCTGACATTTTATAAAATGAAAACTTTCACTGGCTTGTGAGAGGGCGAATTTGATTTACATTGCATTCAAAAGATTTTGTATGCTACTGGGCCCGCTATACAGTGAAGAGAAAAGTTTCCATTGGCAAAAATTGCGGGCATAGGTTGCAAGTTTTTCAGATAAAAATAATTTCCGGTGGCGGATATGGGAGGACAAAAACTGTAATATTACCGACATCTCAAAATGGTCTTTTTGCCGAAATACAAATGAATAAATATCTTTATATTAAAATTTATTGTATAAAGGTATGTGACACACAGTCCCAAATGTAATTAAATAGTACTTTCTCAAAGTACTATCAGCAAAAATAGAAGCCTCACAACTTTGATCAAGATTCCGAGAATGGCCTTATGTTTACCCGTTGAGCTGTGTTATCGATTTTTACCGTCACGCAAAATATGCCATCAATTAGCAATGCTTTCCACTCCTACAACACGCAAACTCGGTATTTATTGTCGGTATGAGATATCTGTGTCTCACCTGGTCTAACAAGTTCCTTTGTATTTAATTTAAATAATATTTGAAGCTATACATTTTGGAAAATCAGATGATCGAAATTTGGGTCTTTATGAAAAATATCCCATTTCCAGTGTATTTCCAGTTTTCGCTACAATATATATTAGAATATTACAAATCCAAATTAATTTCAAGATAGATTTATCGGACTTATTATAATCAATGTTCATTCGTAATCAAGTAAATAATAACATGAAGATTTATATATAGGCACAACAGGGCGGTGACACAATATTTCTTCCCAATCTATTGCTTAAAATAAACAGAAAATTTGATAGGCGGAAATCATATCCTTCCTTGATAACCCAACATATTCAAAGACGTTTGTAGAGTTTAGATTTAAAGTAGCCTGTCATGTAGTACTGACCATTGGTCTGTGGTCATCCAACCAAGTTTTTTTAAACGTCAGAAAATAATAAAGCAGAATGTTTGTGTAGCTTCCAAGCAAACGCCTCCAGAGCAAACAGAATTCAATTTGTACTTTAAATTAATAATAACTTGAGGTGACTAATATTAAAAACCACCGAGTAGGCAAGCTATATTATTTACTTATGGATGACTGAAAAACGAATTGAAAGGGGTGAATAAAGCAATAAATCATACGTACCAAAATGCTAAAAGATGTAAGTCTACTTACTACCGGAACGGCTTCAAAAGCTTGAATACATTACCACAGCACAGCGGGTTGGAAATTTATAAACCTCGTGTAATAGATGAATTTCGGTCCCATTTAGAAAATTATCATTTTTAAAGTCGGTCAAACAAATATTTGAAAATGTGTAAAAACTGAACTTTCTACAACATTGGGTCTTCTGCCAAACTGCATAACCAGATGTCGTATGGCAACCACTGCTATTGAAACAGTGGAGTTTCATTAATCACAAGGAATTAGAAAAGGAGGATTTAGCAACGTTCAAACCGACAAGAGACCCATAAAACTCTAAGCGTAACTCAGGTACGGCGGCCTCACTTTTTACAGCCCATAAATGTCAAAATTATCGGAGGTATACGAACAGGTTAGATACGGGTATGCAAAAGCCTTCACAACACGATTTATGGTATTATCCATGCTTGGAAGGTAGAAACAAAAAAAGTTCTTCTACTTTATTTGCCTAGTGTGTTTCCCAGGTTATAAATCTTTATCGTCTGTCCAACCTCACGGAACGAAGTTTGTTTATTAAACATAAATCGGGCATCGTTATGAAATTTTGACAGTCGGTTGTCTGGTGATATTCCAAGATGTACGAAATTCAAAATTAGCTTGTTTTCATGCGAAATTATCACATCAAACCTGGCTGTCATAACGGTTCTATTAGTCTATTTTCGGTTTAAACGAATTTAAGTACAAACGACAGGAGAGTGTTTGTACTTACTAAAAATTTCAAGTTTATATTCCTACTCAATTTGTATTGTGAAGGGGGGGACCAGCTAGCGCTTAAAACAAGAATCCGTAGAGTTATGTCAGCCACGTTCTTGCCACAACAAACACAGCCGAGTGAAATAATTTTGCTGACTGTGGCACACGCTCACGATTAAGGTTGTTGTGAGAGTGTTATATTACTAAACGATCCCATTTGACTACATATTTTGGAATTAGGGTAAATTACTAAATTAAGAGTACCATCGTCTATTTCGAATCGTGAACTTAGCGCTACAGGTACATTTCCGTACAAAATTAGCAACCCCAACAAAAACAAACCAAATATATCGGTGATCATTTGGCGTACACAAAAAGGGAACACTGGTTATTTCTCTTGAAGTCAAGTGGACTCGGAAATTTCGTTTAAAAGATGCGTCAACGTAGACGACTATTTCAATAGTTAATCTAAGTTTAGTCAATATTTAATTGAGAGCGTTGGGCGAGAAAACGTAACGTTTGCCAGGCCAAAAGACTCTCGCCCAATGTTATCAAGACCAAAATTTCAGCCGCGTCACCACGATTCAATTTCATTGTTCTGTTTAGCTAATATTTGACTCTATAATCGTGAAAAACTTTATTTGTAAAATCTTGTGTCCCGTATTTTATATCATATCAATTCCTAACGTCAAGACTTTTAAAAAGGTTCGGGATTATATTTCCTCAAATTGGTGCATGTAAACAAAATTGCAGTTTATTATCCATAAACAGAAAATTAATTATAAAGCCAAGGGTGGCATGAGCGGAATTTCAGGTATATCAGAAAAGCTGAAGAGCCCTTCAACGTTTTGTTTATTAATTATTATCGCATTGTATATTTTTAGTGCTCAAAAATAAAAATAAAATCAATCGAAAGTTTTACTTTAATATTTATTTGTAATAGACTGAGGAGAAAATACCAAGCGTCTGACGACATCTTATCCGCTGTGTCACTTGACAGTATTTGTCAATTTTATTAGATCAAAGACTGAATCAAATATATTCATCGAATGTTATTCTCGCGAATTTGTTATTGACATAATTACACAGATAAATAAGTTCTGATCTCGTGATCATAAGGCCAGGTCGTACGTTTGAAAGTTACATCACATTTAAATACGTTGTGTAATTGAACACCATTGTTTATGGCGAGTGAAATATAATCCTCAAGTAAATCCGTTTGTGACAAAATGGCAGTTAAACATATCTGGGTACAGAAAAAACATAGCTGTATCGTGTGAGTTATCTCCGGTCTCCAACTGATCATTGGTATTAATTTCTCGAATTTTAATTATTTCCGTTGTTCTGATTTAAATCAAAGGGACTCAATAAATGTAGACAATAGAAATGAAACAATACGATTAGATATATTATGTGAATAGGTATGACAATCGCAAAACAATTATTACGCAGACGTTCGTTTCAATTCAAATTGTACAAAACGACCTTCACACATTTGGAAAATCGCCCACCAGAATTTTATCAATTAATATTCAACAATAAAACAAAGCGTGATGTGCTTCACAACTAGTTCGTCAACTGATTTGGGTCACGTTTGTTAATCTTGCAGTTGATGATGAAAAGCAGTTATCATCTAATCGAATTGAACTGAACACATTTAATATTCGACTTCTTTTATATGCCCCACTACAATTATACCATCCATTTCTTAACAAGGGTTAGTGACGAAAACACCAAGAAGTGTACGACGATTCCGAGATAACTCGTATCAGATTTCTGTTGAGGGCTAGCAGTCGATATAATTGTTTCAAATAAGTATGAATTGTTTAGTTTGAGACTTGAAGATATTGTGATTTTTAAATTTTAATACCCCTTCAAAAATACTCCCGTTCTCGCATAATGATTTATTATCATACGTCGATGACGTTGTCTATGTGGGCGATGGATTTAAATCAGATAATTCATCCCCAAAGCAACGATTGTCATATTCTAAGGTGGTAAGCCTATCCGACTAAAATTTACAAAAGTAATTATAATATGAGACTTGGTATATTTCATGTTTGCTGTTCATCGCCAATGAAGCTAGGCAAAATAACATGGATAAGAACAAAAGGACTTCGCTTCTGTATAGAATCGAAATGAACAACATTATAGTGCGTCGTAAGTGTACGATGAAATCAAGGGATATGCTGAGTTGGCTTAGTTTAACATTTGTTCAATGAGACATCTATATTTACATTTCCTATTTTCGTGTAAAATATAGTTGTCGTCAGTCGTCACACATATTAGGGAGTGACGGCCATGCTCCATATACTATAAATATCCTTATATTGGAAGCATGAATGTATATCCGATTGGTGTTTCCTTGATAAATACGCGCAGGTAAACATATTAACATAATATGATAATTAGTCACATTTAAAGCGAGTGACGAAACGACGACGTGCTAACTGAAATTTAGTCATTTTTCTGTAAAATAAAAAACGATAACCCCGGCTGTATTATGTAACCACTGACCAATAAACGTTATATATGTACCTTTTTGTAGATCAGAGATAAAATTTATAAAATAAAAATTAAACAATTCATACGCATTGTCCATTAAAAATAAGCCAAAAAAGACTATAAATGTCAAAGTGCCAATATTTTATTCCTGTATAAATGTATCGAACTTACCACGGTGGAGAAGGCAGCAGTAATCGTCCATGTCCCCGTGTCGAATTTAGGGTGGAAGCAAAATATGGCATACTTCCACCAAGGTTGTTTCATGCTTTAGTATACGATAATAAATAATAGGAAAACTAAAGATTAAAAAATATCTGATTTTGAAAATAAAAAATTTACCAGTTTAATGCAACTCAGGTTCAACGTACCAGCTACAACGTAAAATACACATGCAACAAGTATTGCAAGACGAAAATATTTTATTTTAGTACACTGTTGAAATATTTAGCGTTTTACCCACATCAAAATACACATAGAAACATGCAAATGGTAAATATACAAGTTGGTAATCGCATCGCCTTCAAAATACTATAAGTAGTATATTTGAGATCAAATTTGTTGCGATTGCCATTTTTCTGCCAGTCGATTTTCTACATCCTGTTTAATCCTACATACGCTATATTAAGCTGGGTTAAATTTCTGTCTCTTCGTCACGGTGGCTCGCGTTTCGGTCTGTTTCAGATGCTGGTTTTCTCAGTTCATAAATTAGATGCGAAGACTTTACACTGATTCTTAAAATTGACGGTATCTCATCAGTAGCCCGCGGCGTATTGTTCGACCGAAACAAGTTAGAGTCGTTCTCGTATTGCTTTGTTTCTGAGCACATCGTAACAACTCAACTAAACATGATTATGACATCGTATCACACTGTTCGACAGTTCACTTGGTTGGGATTGCGAATATTTGTATACAATGTGTTACGAGACAAATTAAAATAACATGCATAGTATATAATAAAAATTTACATTTGTTAGATGTCGTATTTTATCACCTTACCTCCAATGAGTAATGCAGATCAATTAGCATTATGAAAGAAAAATCTAACTAAACTTTCTCAGATCTTACTGAAACAATACTACCTAATACATTTTAAATTGTCGTTCGCCGATGCACAACAAATAACACTGACCGATTCCAAATGACGAAATCGTCGATGCCAAATCCCAGGAGATTCCGTAATACACACATTATTTCAGGATTTGTGAAGAGAGATCGATGCCAGAAGTAAAACTGTACAAAATACATTCCAGGTCAAAGTACGGCCGCTAATGAGAAATGTAACAGTATGACTTATATTAAATTTTAATATAACTGTTCGCCGTTTGTCGAGAACAGCGTAATGAAATTCCTTTCCCGATAACGAATCATATGAATGTTATTGAAAAGAACATCCAGTTTCTAATATAGCATCATCGCAGTTATGTCGGTTCGCCAGCGCAACGATATGCAATGTAACTATACTTTTTGTCAATGTGCACTTTTATTCGAAACATAGAAGCCTTCCTAGACAGCTGATCTTCACAGTACCTCACAGTCGCGTATTCTTCGTTCTCAGACTTAACTCTTGTCAGCATTCTATACGACTGCGGGAGATCGACAGCCGAACTGATTATACCAAAAGGCGCAACTCTCTCGCCGTTTCGGTAAAACTTGAAATGATCGAATTGACGTTTTTTACTCGCGTTTTCTTTCCCTCTATTTACGTGAATAAGAAAAAATCGCGGATGAGGGTTTCCAATGATCTTAATCTATTGAAACACTAAAAAATTATTACAAGCTCAACATGCTAATCCGATTAGTATTATTAGCTCAGATTCAAACCAAGTCCAATCACGAGTTGAAAAATCAATTAGATTTGGGCTGTTTGTTCGCTAATCAAAATCACCTGAGCCCAGAACCCGCGACGAGTAATTGAGATTAACTAGTTTTATAATATTGCTCTAGTTAGTTATTTACTTCGTGAAATTAACTTGTGATTTTCGAGCGCATTATTTATTTTAAACGGCGAAGCCCCAGTGACGATAAACCGGCAAATTAACTATCTCCTATCTAGGTTGGCAATCAGGCGATTACCGCAGTTTTCCATTAATCAAGCTACCGGCTATCGATAAATATGTGATTATATCCTCTCACACAGCCGTACACTTTTTATAGTCTATGCCTAACATTCGCCCTATCTCCAGAAGTAGTAATTCACATTCTCGCTACTCTGGATGATTAGACTACAAGACTTAACCTCCGGAAAGTGTCCAGTGTTCACGAAGTAGGGCACGCGGGATAGCGAACCTCTATACTATATTCTATCTTTCCTGAACCGCAAAACCCACACAAACAACGCGTTTACCGCGGTCGTAATATTCGAATGACGAACCCTTCCTATAAACCCATTGCCCAGTGAACGTGTATGTCTGTTTACACAGTCTTAAAATACGCAGTGATCACGTGACGAAAACAAACAACTTATCTGACGAATTCCTACTAAAATGCTTGTGCACATTGCCGCTTGAAAAAAAAAGTATAAACTTATCGAAATCACACCGCACTGTCTACATGCATTCTAGACTGATTGACGTGGACAAGCCGAGATGGAAATCTGTTATCAAGTATAAGAGCGAAACTATAACAGCTGATCCCACCCACGGAGACGTTCGCTTAAGATTTAGTACCTCCCGATAAAAGAAAAACAAGCAACACACATTGAAATAAATTTGCATCTATATTTTACATAAATCTAGTTTATTACTCAAATCTTCAGTGCTACCATGAGGTTTATTTGGAATCGAGACCTTACAATCCTCGGTCTCACAGTTTACCTGTCTCTTTCCATTTGAAAAATCTTTATTCAAATCAGAGTCCACCTCCGTTTTACATATATGATTTTCTCCTGATTGCGCTGAAGTTACTTCTAATTTAGCTTTAAATTTATTTAGATCAGTTTGCAAAACTGGTTCCAGTCTGCCAGCATTGAGCCGTTCGTTTATTTGAAGAACGCATCCATCTTCGACGAGTTTAGCGACAATTCTTGACAGATTTTTCGCGTCGTCAAGGCCACTGTGAAGTCGACCTTCCAACTTTAAACCCAAATTCGAAAGCATTTCCTCTATCTTCGGTTTGTTTATCTAAAATGAAATTACACATTGGTTCCTTTTCCCTTCTTTTTTTATAAAATCTGGAATAAAATGATTCAAACTACATACAGTTAAGAAAACGACATTTTATTGCTCTTTAGCGCCACCACATAATGGATACATTTACCGCATCTTCTTAGGTATCGATTGGGTTTCTACAAGACCAACTACTTTTCCGTTTTCTACATTGTTATGATATTGTTTTGTTGCCATGGCACCCATTGTATAAATATGCTTGCAATTGCTGTTCTTGCTTTAGTTGAAATATGTATGTCTGAGGAAGTTTGACCGTGGTCAGACGAAACGTTACAGAAATATATTTGTGTTAGTGTGCAGCAAGACTAATTATTGAATTACTCAGGATAGTCTTCTTAGGTAGATGGGAATAAAAACGAGTTATAACTTCGAAAAAAATGTAAATTCAAACAACCATTATTCTATCTCCGCATGTACCAGTATACAAATGAGCAACAATAAGAAAGCCCCAGCGTCCAAACATTCATTTATTTTTAATGTGAGATAACTAATTAGATACAATATTGAATAATGTTATGTTTATGTATATATTTAAGAATGTGTGATCACCCATCTGAATACTACCGTATATATAAATGGAAGAGAAATATATTTAACCGCTCAAGGATCACATGCATGAATTTCAATGTTGTGATTATTTATACGTATAAATCAGCCTTCCTAAAGACATGTATCAATTCCTCTCCTGTTCATATTCATGGGTTGTTGGTAAGAGAGGACAAAGTCGTTGTAATATGTCATCCATCAACAATATTCAAAATATTATATATGTGTGCAATGTGTATAGTATATTTATTATCTTAAAATACCTCCATCATAATTTTAGATGCTGCAAATGATGCTTGATTTCCCCAAGATTATTTCTTAATGACAAAGAGAGAATTTCATGACATTAAGTGGTACATTTCATAACTAATTGTGTCATTATAATCGTTGCCACTTAGTGTTGAATGCCATAATAAAGGGGGCTTTATTTGAACTATATATGAACTGAAAATACAAACCATACTAAAGGAAATCTTGATCCACCAACTATCACATACCTTATAAAAATTCCCAAATATTTTTTTTAAGTTTATCCATTTCCTGGCCCATTTTGGATATTGGATTTCACTTAGACAACACTGGATGTTGAGAAAACGACTGAAATCCCAAGGTCTGAAATGTACATTTGGGAAGGATTTTTATATTAGACAGGTATACAAACATCAACAATTTTTAGGCAACAACTGCAATTTTGATAACAATCCAATGCTGTACATGGCACAGAGCTTCTAATCGGCGCAAACAATTAAATGTACTCAAACAGCTGTAAAAATGTAAGAAATTTTATATGATGAAAAGAACTATCAATAACGTTATACCAAGTCATAAAACAATAAAATCATACAAGCATTAAAATCAACACTGCATTTTAAAATACGCACCCATCAGAAACAAATGCAAAAGATTTGCGATCCATCAACAAATTTTTGTCAATCATCCAGTTTTCAAATCTTTTAAAAACTTCTTCAAACTTTGGTGCTGCATCAACATCTGATTGTGATATACCAGTTAAAGATACACAAAATTCTGATAACTTCGGATTCAGTGTTGGTTTACAATAAGAATGAAATTCGTCAACCTAAAAAAAGCCATGGTTAATGGTTTTAAATATTTAACACGCTTGCTTTTCGACAAATCAAAAACAATTGTGCTCATTCAATATTTCGAGTGACTTTTTCTAAGAAAAAAGATAAATGTTTCGTAACCATCGATTTTAGAGGTTTTAAGATGAACATAAAAAAAAAAGACTTTTTCAGCATCAAGGAATAATAACTTGAAATACTCCACTTAAGCATGCCATGTTAATATACGGTAGGTTACATAGTGACTATCTTTAGGTCTTTACGGAGTTCGACACAAAAGAGAGCAGTTTCTTAAAATTTTGAATCTCATCACTGTTGATATCCTTTTAACTGAGTTATAAAATGGTTTATGTCGCAGTTCTAAATGAAATATTACAGTAGTCAAGTCGGAAGGGCATTGCATTCATAAAAAATAAGAATTGCAAAAGATTGCTATATAATTGCGTTCTGAGACAACCAAACACACTCAAACCTTCTCATTATGCCAGAATCAATCTGGCTGAACAATTTACAAATGTTACCTAAAATAGTATAATAGAAAATACCAGAAAAATTGTAACTGTTCTCATGTGAGCAAATTATTCAATATCAGAACTTACAATTTTTCCAGTCTCTGCATCCAACAGCATTGCAGGGAATTCAATAATTTCGTGAAGATAATCCAGATTTCTCCCACTTTCACATGTTGCTTCAAAATCAATGACAACAAAATTTTCATAACATTGAACTGTATCAGATTCCTCTTTCATTCTTTGTTTTCTGTAATAATTTTTCAATCTTCTGCCCAGAACTTCTTTTACTCCACTGTATAGAAAGATGGAAAGCATCGCTGAATACATAATGAAATGGTACTAGATTCATATTTGAGGGCAATTATTAAATCCCCTCGATTCACAGCCAAGGGACGTTGTCCAAAGACTAAATGAAGCATTTCTCAATTGTTACATTGACACATAATGAAAAGAGAATCCATGATTAATTTTGTCATGAAATTTGAAGCACTCCGTTACATACGGTATAACCAGCACTCAGTTAAATTATAAATATGTTTAGAGGATCTTGCACCATTTAGGCGAATGAAAGATGAACCAGCATTAGATATTAGGAACAAATTTACTTCGAATTCAGGCTGTTTTTCTTCAACAACTTTATCATGTCGACCTTTTTCATTTTGTTGACTTCTCCATTGACTCTGGACAGGGATAACTGAGAGAAGGAATCTATCACTTCATCTTCATCACGTCGTGGTCTTCTTCGAGACTTTTTCTCCATGGCAATATTTCTGTAATCTATGCTTAGTAAGTGGTCAAGCAAGTATACTAATATAATCTACCCTGTGTTCGCACATGTATTATGGAAGAAGTGATTAACCTTTGAGTTACTGTTACAGTTTTACAAAATAATAAAAGTTGAATTGGGAAGAACAGAAGAAAGTCACTTTGCCTGTTGAATACTCATTTCAGTTCAGCAGTTCTTCAAACATATTTTGACCTTACATCTGTACATACGCCTAGATTTCCCAACCAATAAAAGTTCACGTTTTTGCTGGTACCGGTACCGGTATGACTTTACCGTCTGACCGTACCGGCACGGAAGACTACAGAACAATCTGATGTTATACGGTACCGTACTACTAACATGGAACAGTACAGCAATAATGAATACCGGTACGGTACGGGTATTACCGTACTGGTACTACTGTCAGACTGCACTAGTTCATCCAGTATGTTCCCCAGCTTTTCCCTTTAGGGGAGGTGTTTCAAAATTTAGGGGGGGGTAAATAAATTTCTATTAGAGATAAAACTAGGCTATTTGTATTCTTAAAAAAATGGTATGTATTTAAGAAACGATGTACATGGGGGGGCCCCAAGTTGATTGACGGTGAGCCAAAATCCAGAGCAGAATGAAATTGTAGGGCCAGAAAAGGGGAGCGAGGAAAAGTGCGGGACGACACGGCTGGGGTTCAGGGCGCGCTTAAGCGCCCTGAGAAAATTTTGAGAAATAGGCACCAAAATAGGCTCTAAGCTTGATTTTTGATACACCTAGCATTGCAGTTTGTTATGTAATAAAATCAATAATTATAATATTTAGCTGATAGAATTCTCGGGGAATAGATAACAAGCACGGCTTTCAACCGTAAATATATACTACCACGTTTCAACAAGTAATTTGCAACTGATAGTGACTAATGAAGTTACTTGCTCATGACATTGTATGAATGGCTACTTATGGCTTGTTTCGTTACACATTTCTAATTTTTTTGAACATGTTACTTTTGTATGAATTAAATTTTGAAATACGCTCGTCAACTGATCATAATGTTGTATTCCTTCAGAACTGAAATATTTTGTAAGGAGACAAATCGCTGAAGTTTGATTCTTTTCAATAAAGAAATAAAAACGCTGTCATTCATCTAAAAAAACGTCTGTTTTCAGTTCCTAGTTTTCGTTTTGTGACATCTTTAAGCCTTCTTAATATATGGCTGACATCTAAAATACTGCAGTGTGTAATCATAATACCCATACCTATACATAAGATACCGGAATAATTCAATTGTTACGAAATAAACGTGCTTAAACTGTGATAATGATGTAACAATAGACGGTATCTAAAACTCAAAAGGTACCACGTGAAGGGTTAAACTATTTCACTCAAGTTCGGCGGGCCATTTTAAATCGTCACACGGGCCGTAATTGGCCCGCAGACTGCGGTTTAGAACCCCTCAGTGTGGAATCGCACCTCAAAATTAGGGGGGGTGTTTGAAATTTTAGGGGGGGTGTTCACCCCCTATAGGGGGGGTGTAGGGAAATCACTGGTTCATACAGACTCGGTTCAAACCAGAACTTGATTACTAACTGCAGCGCTGGATTACCTTAATTAATAATAAATAATAATAAATAGGAACCACGTTAAAAGAATCACCGCGGCTATTCTCAAATAAAAAAATTGTTCTTTTTATTGTTGACAGATTCAGTGTTTGTTCAGTAATCAGTGTTTATTCATTTGTTAATATCAATTATTTTATCGTCTGTTATGCTGATTATGGAGTCGAAATAATCTTATTAAGCCACAGCAGAATACGCACAGTACAAGTTAAAAGCCATTAATGTTGGAGATAAGCAACAGGTTATTGTTGCAAACTACATATTGTGATTCGTTATGATTTTGAAAAATAGAAACTAGAATAAACGCCGAACTAAAATTCTGAAGGCAAACACATTTTCAAAAAGCCAGAATTATTAAATATGGCAACCCTGTCCCCGAACATCGACTTCCCTTTTTTATCTCCACGACATCAGCTAATCAGCAAAATGCAAATGGTGACGTAACAATTGAATTTTAACATCCAATAAATCCAGGTATAAATGATGATCGTTTTTGTCTTTTGAAAAGCTTTATTTTAATTGCAGTAATCAATCAGGACCCGAATAAGCATGGCTGAAATCAGATATACCCTCTTTTGAAATGGAAGGTGGTTGAATGTAAACTATGGTTGGATTATCCGATAACCTATGGCTATTTTGCTATCTTATATTATTGTGAAAGTTAACCGAATAGTTAAAGTACGAAATACCGTATATCTATTATCCGGATAGTTGAAATTATAGATATCTGAACTCCCTAATTTAAAACAGTGCCAAAACATCGTAAAAAATAAATATTAGGAAGTTCGCAATCAGTGAAATACAGTAAGAATTATTCTGGCGTCACGAAATACAAATCATTTTGCTAAATTCTTGTTGTTGGGGTGATCTCGGAGCTCTCAGATCTCACAGTACCGGTACGTTCGTGTGCATATATTTGAGCATTACTCTGTTGTTTCTAAAACATGAATTAACTATAAGATAGCAATTAACTTTTGGGTCGTTTGTCAGTTTTAAGCCATTTAATATAACTAAATGATCATTCTGTCTTCCGAGATAAGATGTTTTTGGCTTATCTGTAACATTCGAAAGCTAATCCAGCAAGTGCTAAATAGACCTAAAATTATCTACCAGTACTTTAAAGAAAGTGTTTAAAATTTTGAGTCAAATTATGGTTACTAGCATATAAACCCATTAGTAGGTGACACTTTGAGAGAACACTTTCAAAATAGGAGGAATTTTCCAGTCAATATTTGCAAGGTGCTTTTATTCACCGTTTCCGTAGATTCCAATGTGATTTGGTTATTATTTATTTCAATCAATCAATCATTTATTCGTCGTCACAAGAACATCAAATGCACAAAAAATTGGTACAGGAAATAAATATATTAATAATGATATTTGTGCGACAGGAGTCGCGAAGGACCTTAATCAGCGACACCTATTTTCGTGTCGAAAAACAAAGCTAACATATTGTCTTATTGAGAAGATATGATTTTCCCGAAATTCAGGTAAAACGACCTCAAAAAGCAGGAATAAATGGGATTTCATTGCTAAACGTTTCTCGCTTGAAAGAATACGGATTTTCGATAGATACTGTTTGTTATGGAGTTTTCAAAATAAACTATCTATCTACTCTCCACATTCTTCATATTATGAATAGCAATTGTATGTCTGAGACCGAGAACAAAAAACGTATAGCAGTGCTCTTCAACCGGGTATACGATATACATAAGTGTATACCGGACCATAAGTCGGGTATACAACTGATAAACGGTATACAAAGGGTGCACATCCTAAGTCAGGGATTCTAACCTCTAATATAATAAATCATAAAATATTCAATTGGCGACAACAATGCAAACGCGCACATGAAACCGGACTTGGGCACATTGTTACATCACAATTTAAAAAATGCAGGCACGTGTCTGGGGTTGATGATTTCGGATGGCATGCACGTCACTTGATTCATGTTGAACGCTATTCCCATGGACGCCAGGGTCGTCAGTAAAATTTAGACCGTTTACAATTTGCAGACAGTAGACCATCAGATTGCATGGTGATATTGCAGTATTAGCAGTTTTTGTTTTTTTACAATCTGTGCTCAAAATTTAATGTTTATATAAGCTTTGAATAAACATTGGTATTTGTAAGGTATGCAAAGTTCTTGAAAAATTATAAAAGGTATACCACGGTAAAAAAGGTTGAAGAACACTGACCTATAGTATCTATACGATCAAATTTAGTTTTATTTGCATAATTTATATATACATAAGTAGCGGAATAACAGACGCAATAGTCAGTGGCGTAGCATCCACCCCCGCGGTCGCGGGAGGGCCCAAGCGATTAGAATTTAGAAAGGGAGTCGTTGATTTTCGGCGACTTGTGGTTGGATCGCACCGGCAAAATTACGAAGGCTATTAGAATGATGTCGAAAGCCAAACCTCTCATAGGCGCACAGAAACAGGGCAGAAGAGTAAGCACGTATGAAAAAAAATGTAAAGTAACCTAGATAAACGGCAAATTTTAGGTTACCATTGCCTTGTAATAGCGACATGTTATGCTTTTTGACAAAATATAAAAAAAAACGTTGTTGTAGCTTATGTTCGAGAGTTTTTAGGGTCATTTCCACGAAATATTTGCAAAACAATTTATCGTAATAAAGAGGCAAGTAGCAGGTTTGCTTACGTAAACGCTGACGTCTACGATTTCATCTACCCTCCCAATTTCAAAAATCTGGAAAAAAAAATTGGTAACTTTGTTGATCCCATCTGGCAAGTGGACGAGAGACTGCAGTTCGCCATAATATTAAGCCACATCACCGAGATTAATATGAAAATGTCTTTCTAAGGGAGTGGGCTAACGTTTCTGAGCAACAGCAATAAACAATTGCGACAAATTAAACCGCTAACAAAAAGCGAGGAAAATGGAAATCGTGGATGTAAATATATTGGTTCATGCTTCATGTTATTGCGGATCTGAATGAATTCGTTCGTTCCACACCGCCCAACCTCCAGGATAATGTCGTGGACTGTAAAAATATAATATTACCACTTTTTTATCAGTTCTTTCTGTTTACTAATCTTAATAATAACTTTAGATATAAAAATCCAGATTAGGGCAACTGACTGGGTTATGTTCAACACGAGTTACTTTAATTCACAACTTTATAAATGAAAAAGTATGTAACATTATTCAATCGTTACATTCATTTACTTAGAATGAGTGACTACTAAAAGTCGTAGGTTTATTCTTGCGGTAGATATATAAGTAGAGAGCAGTCGACACAATGCTTGAAACAATTCAAGCCAACGATGTCAAAAAAATGGGAAAGTTACAAGGAATTCCACAAAATGGAAGTTAGGTGAGAAACTTTTAGCATGAAATTCCGTTGACAACCTCCACATTAGTATATGGATGAGAACTAGTGGGTAGTTGAGCGAGTTTTCGGCAATAGACTTCAATGACACATTTTCATATTATTTCATCGTCACAACAATTTCGCTATTAAAGTTATGTTTATGTCAAAGCTATATCGCACACTAACCTTTTGTATCCAGCTTCTTTCGCAATTTTGACTGCTCTTGAACTCCGTATGCCAAGTCGGCAAAAGAAAACAATATCGGAAGCGTTTTTATCCGGCTTTTCAGCACCATGTTTTTCTTTAAATTCCTCATTAGATAACTCGTTCAGTGCTTCTTCTAAATTCAAGCACAATACCTCGTATCACCTACTGTTACATGAATACGATTTTCAAATGGTAACACACGGAAAGGAAATGGTTAACTAATGACGTAAGAGGCCGTTCTTGGCAATTCGTAAATAGCAGCATTAATTAAGTACATTTATGAGATTTTAGATTTCGATACCTGATAGGTCGTGAAAGCACAAGTTTGTACCGGCTGTTTGAAATTATGAGTATTGAAATGAGCATTTACACCCGTTTACCATAAAATCGGTCAACTATTTCTAGTATATATGGTAAGATACAGATACATTGGCTAATTTCGCAAAACCAAATCCATAGATTAAGATAACATTGATATCTTTTTTAATATATATCATTGTCTTCAAGGCCAATTCGAAATTTAATTTTGTATAGGCAGAATAGTAAACCAGACATTCAAAACAAGAAAACAATAAATATAACAAGAGAGCTACGCACAAATATATGGACACGTTAGACCAGAGCGAATCAGTCCTTACCGGTACCTTTGACACTACCGGTACCCTCAAAAAAGTTCTGAATTTCCAGTAGCAAGAATTTTGCAGAATCAAAACGTACAGCCAGTCATGACACTGACTAAAATCCGTGTTCCCATGGATAAAAAATAATACAGCAAAATTTTAGACGAAATATCAAATTTCATAGAATTCACGCAAAATTTTGAAATAAATAAAAGTAATAGCCTTCTAGCGAAAAAATTAATCTTTAACCACTGAAAATTTTAAAGCAATTGGTCTAGTATTCGAAGAGAAAAGCGACTTTTTAAAAACGTGTCAAAGAACAAGAACAACATAATATTGAAACGATCGTTATGTCCACTTCGTGTCCAATAAGATAAAAAGTAAGTCTTCACCCAATTCCTCAACGTGTACGTGAATGAACCGTTTTGCTGGGACACGCCCTTTGTCAACTTCATCTTGTCTTCGTACATCGACAACTTGAATTTGATCGTTTTGCACCCCAGCTTTGAAATCATCGAAGAAAATGCAGTTTTCTTTGCTTCAAATAAGTACGAACAGTAATTAATATTCAAGTCGAAAATCATAACGAATAATTTAGAATAGCTCCTTCAATTTATAACAATAATTCTCACACATCGTTTACCTCAAGTCCACTTTATCATAATGAAACGAAACACAACTATAATGAATTGGTTTGCTTGAAATTTGCAACACTCCATAACGCTCCGCTCGTGGAATCAACTGAAGGTTTTTCGAAAATCCTGAAAGACTTTGCCTGTATGATTAAAACACATAAATGGAAAAGTTATATAAAAAAAAATATGATGGGAAAGGTGTAGACGAAAACTCACCTACAGAAGTTAAAACTGGAGGAGAACTTCCCAGGAGAACAACTTAGAATTGAACCTCGAAGTTTAGCAATAGCTCTATTCATTTTTTAACATTCGGTGTTTTAAATTCCTGCCTGTATAAATAATAATAATGTGTTGTTTGTTACTGAAATTTACTAGATTTTATAGTTTTTGTAATGTCATTATTGTCATAACAATGGCGTTTCATGGGAAATCGAAGTATTGTGATAAAAAATGCTGCAAACAAATTGAATATAAAAATCCACAGGAAAATATCTCCTTAGCTAAACCATAGAAGGAATGTATGCACAAGTGTTGAATTACCCGATATTTTAACGCTAACACACATATATAGGCTATATATAAATATACTGCCTCATTTAATAGTTCGTTGTCTTATTATGTGACAGACTTCGTAATATTTTAGTATTTATATAGTATACTTACTTTCTAGAATCAGAAATGCCTAGAACAGCAAAATGATCACAATGAAAATGTAACGTTAGCTACATACAAGAAACCAAATTACCTGAAATATAGGCCCGATGAACGCCAAGTAGCCTACGCCGTTAGTTTCAATTCCTACACTAGTTAAGCTTAAAATTGATTTTAAATAATTGCTTAGCTGTAAAATAAAGAGCTAGTGTCACGCCATATCGCAAGTTTTGATCTGTCAAATACGGTACTGCGCTATAGTCTACTTCTACGACGCAAGACAACATTACGAGATTATCGTTCCGCGACCTAACATTGTCTGCAAAGGTAAATAAATATCTTACTAACGATCATCGATTGCAGAGATACGGTTAAACACATTTTACTTTTGTACTTACGTTACGATGCAGCCCTTCCGAACGCGTCATACAACAAGCATAGATTATTGCTTCTGTTCAAACAATCAATCGAAACAAGAAACCGTATTGCCACATAATATATACCGGTATATATATGTTGTAATCAGAAGTATTTGTTTACTTCGGTATTAGATATGTGTTATGTATAAAAAATAATAAGATTAAAAAATATTACAGCATAAAGTGCAATTTTCATTGGCGTTGCAAATGTTAAATATCCTGTATTGTAGTTATGTATTTTAGTCTGAACATCATTGTGCCTAAACTCCAATCGTTGATACCGATCCGTAACGTTACGTAGGTGAGCATATGCAAGCCAGTGTTGCCAGATCCCAGTGATAAAAAGGCAGATTAGGAAACAAAATGCTAGAAAACGGCAACAATTTTACTAAGTACAAAATATAACAAACAAATCAGCGTTGAAATTATCCAACATTTTGGTTGAAGGAATAAATTTATTGCAGCATTTATTGCAAGATGAGAGATTGCCTCTAACAGAGACAACTGAAATCTATTTCTTGCTTTAGTTTTTATGCAAGTTTTTAAAGAAAATACCCACTCCACTACGACATTGCTTATTGATATTATGAGTCGAGTAAAATCAAATGTAGCAAGTCTTAAATTGGAACGGCTCTGTGTCCCAGGGTAGCCGGTTTTCTTCAAATTATTTTCCTTCATTCCAACCAATAAAAGGCAATTTCTTGTGAAGCTCTCCAATTGTCCCAATTTTCACCGACCCAGTGCAAAAATGGCACTTTGAGAATATTGGTCTCAAAACCTGGTTTAAAATTAGTCCGGGGCTGTAATTGATTAGAACTTGATACAGGAAGTCGTTTTTTAGCTTGATCAGGGGCTGCTTCCAGCATGGACAAATATCTATCTTTAATTAATAGCCAAGTAGGTGTTGGCATTTAATGGTGTTCGATTATTATTAATATCATCAATAAAATGATCGATTGGTCGTATATCCTAATATTAAAACTCTATAGTGCCAATATAACTCACCATGTAGCCTAATTCATGAGGATCTTCCTTTGTTTTCTAAAAGAGGCAGTTCAATCTCCCAAATTTCTACTTAAACTTGTGATCTACCTTAAGAGATTACTGAGAATTTCGATTAGTATACAGTTGGTGAATTCAAATTGCAAAAGATATTAGACAGACTACCCAAACCTAAGTAGGCCATATACTAATGCCACCCCCATCGCAATCCAATCCGTCTCTTTCACACCGAAACTGCAATGACAAATGAGGGGTCAAGGGTCTGGCAATCTGCTGTCATGAGTCAGAACTAAATAAGTACACTACGACCCAAATGGCATAAATGTTCGGTAGATAAGAAATAGGCTGTTGTTACACACTAAATATTGTACTTCATATGCTTTTAGAAAATAGTTACCGGAAAGCCAGAAAAGGCCAATGAAGGTACCGTAAATAGTTTACCCAGCCTCCGCGGAGGTTCGTGTTCGTTGTGTGATACAATGTGACAAAAACCTAGAGAACAATAAAACACATAATTTTTTATTCATGTTGGTACGTTTCCATCAAATTGATAAACATCTTTTTGCGCATAATAGAACAGTATTAATAATGCGATAACTCGAAGCACGATGTCGCAAGCAGAACAAATGCTGCGCAGAAGGATATTAAACCCTTGGTTTTCGAACACACAACTGAGTACCGAAGATGAATACGGGTGTATTTTATTCTGTCGTTTCTTGGAATCCTTGGACTTTGCATTCATGTACCGAGTTAATAACTCCTGACTGTATTTATGAATAACCGAGAAAGGTGAAGTCGCTGTCCTATGAAAGAATATTAACAGTTTATTGCTGCGTATGGTCTAAAAATCGAATGCTTATATTTAATGACATATTCAAATGATGTTGATATATATTAATCTTCGTTAAGTAACCAAGAAAATTTCTCAAAAATTTTTGCCTACGAGTCTACGACTCATCAAGTTATCACCAGTAGAATACAAAAAAGACAATTCGCTTTCACCAAGTCTATACTTAGATAAATCTCTACTTGAACACAGATTTTTTATAAAACATTGTTTTTATGCCTGACCTGTCATTATTTGGATGGTCCTCGTCTGACGAGAACGCCACGTTGCTTTCGGAATCTTCGAAATGTTTATTTTTGATTTTTAACCGATATCTATTGTCAATGCATGGCTGATTGACTGAATCAATAGAAGTATCTGAAAAATATGGAAATGATTGAATGGTCAAGAATAGATTATGACAGATAATCTATAATAACATGCCAATATTTTTTTAAATTGACCTCTTTTATTTAAAAACAATGGGCTCTGAGCTTGACTACTCGGAGCAGTTAGCAAAAATTCGGCAATAATAACAGCTTATGACGTCATAGAAGAATAAACAGAGTCTCGGAGAGCAAAAGAATATCTTTGAAATTTGGAATAAAATCTTAATTCAACGTTGCCAAAGGATGCTTACTTTTCCATGATTTAGATTAAAAACTTGAACTGCTGGCCTATTTTCAATTTCATAGTTTAACAATAGCTATTTACCTGCCTGATTCGGGGGGTCTCCGAGATACAGTAGGAAACGGTTCTCTTCTCATGCAATTGCGTGTTCTTCCTAGCTGAATTCTTGGTGGATTCTCACAATCCTTCGAATTATTTGCAACTTTATAAACACGTGGTACTTGATTAGGTATTCTCACCGCTGGAAACCCTCGTAAAAAGTTCAAAACAGAACCTGCTGTTTTTATTACGGGCCGTTGATTCATATCCTTTTCGCGGCACTCTGGTGGATAAACCGGAGTAGAAGGAAATGTAACTCGTCGACCTCTACCAACTTTTACTGTTCTGGTTGATTGTTCAGGATCTATATCATAGCACTCATTAACTCGACGTGGCATATCCGGTGTTGTGGAACGAAATACTACTCGGAAGTTGGATTCAGAATCCCCTGTCTGACTGGAGCTGCTTGAAGTACTCGAGGTTTTTTTATTTAAACTCGAGATAATATTTTTATTAAATATTGGTCTTTTCTCTTCTCGCACCTCTCCAATTTGTATTATATCCTTTTCTGTGCGTCTTAAATTACTTTTAGCATTTTGTTCCGTCGGTAAATATTTCACGGGTATAGGCCTAACCTGGCCTAGAAGATTAACGTTCTTGTGACGCTCTCTGAGTTTGCAAGCAAAATTTGTTGAGTTTTTCTTCGTGTTAGACTCATTATCTGTTTGGCATGACTGTTCGTGACTGTCGGCGAGCACGCTAAATTTTTTGTTTTTGTTGTGTCGCGTAGAAAGACGAGGAATTCCTCTTAAGTAATAGGCAGCATTTTCACTCGACGATTCACTAATTTCTGGGATTTTTGCTGGACCGTTACAGTTTGACTGCAAAAGGAACAGTAAACGTGCATACTGTTAGAATCAACTATGAGCTAAGTTTATGTATAACTTCGTTACGACACGACAACTGAGCAAAGACGTGGAATAGATGTCCTATTTGCGGAGAAATATATGATACAATCACTTTATGCGCATTCCATACCTGCATATTTGTGGTTATATCCCGGGGAGAACTCTGAAACCCGACATTTTGTTCTGTCGCAACAACTGCTCTGATCTCTTCTTCTTTCGTTTCTCGTCTTATCTGAGGGAAGTTAGCAAACTTATCATTGGATTCTGCCATGAAACGATCCCAGTAACTCATTCTTCTCTCCCCTTCCTTTCTATCTGCATCCTGCTGCTTTGATTCGTCGATAACCGTTTCTGAGTAACTTCCACTCGATGTATCGTCATCAACCTTTTTTGGTTCAGGCTTCGTGCATCCACGATTGACATACAGAATTGTTTTCCGAAACTGTAATAGGTATCTAAGACATTTAAAAAGACGTTTTGTTATAATTGAGCCAGCGGAACACTACTGTACCGGATAGCATCCGTATCATATAGGCCTATTAATCAGAACCACAAACTACATCAGGCTTCGTGCATCTACGATTGACATACAGAATTGTTTTCCGAAACTGTAATAGGTATCTGAGACATTTAAAAAGACGTTTTGTTATAATTGAGGCAGCGGAACACTACTGTACCGGATAGCATCCGTATCATATGGGCCTATTAATTAGAACCACAAACTAAATCAAATTCTTCTCACCTTCTGCGCCATAATTCGAAAAATACTCCTATGCAGGCGGTGTGGCTTGAGAAATAATAAATCAGTTTGTTTTCTACCAGTAGTAAGTAAGATCGCATTGTTGCGTAATAATACTCTGTTGTGCGCTCTAGGCTTAAAGTTTCGAATGGTAAAGAAACATTCCACGAACAGTATATTTTGAGAAAACTTTGATGAAAAAAAAAACACGCACTCTCCCACTCCTATTGCTTCATCTTAAGTGTTATTTATGAAGACTATGATACGCAAAATATGTATGGAACGTCTTTAAATTTGAACTCACCTGCTGAAGCTCTTCAAGCTATCGGCTCAATGCAAAAGGTGTCAATTATTAGAAAAATGAAACAGATGTTCAAACAACAGGAATAAAATTATATGTCCACCTACATTTTTCGAACTCGTTGCTCAGCCATATTCCCGTGTGAGTCGCGTGGGATTTTATATTAGTCCTGCATGCTCATTGTTTTAAATCCACACTATCATTATCAGCAATAAGACGAAGAGTAGTGATTTAATTAGTGCTAAATTTAACTTTAAATACAAAAAACAATATTAAGTATCAAATTGTAAATTGAAGCAGTAATGCGTTTACAGAATGATTACGAACGAGAATGACCTCATCTTGCTATTCAATTTGATATTGGTAACCATCACGGATAATTCCTTTTGAGTGGAGAACTTTGACAAGAGAAAGACGATTAACACAAGATCGACAGGCGTAAATTTTTGTTTCTCTTGTCCCAGAGCAGCTTTCCTTGCGATTTTTCTGGGTGTTCGAGATTGCGAAAAAACTATTCATAATTTAAAATAGTTATGCGTTAACTTTACTATTGCTTTGTTTTTCTTTTGTGGAAAATCAGTGAAGCGTTATTGTATTTTGACCATTTTTTTAGTTGGTTACACTCAGTTACAGTATGCCTCTTCAACTACAGTATGTCAACTTCAACTACAGAGCGTCAGATAATTAGAACGAAGTATGAACGTGGAATTCCATTAGAATATAATTGATCGAATACCTGGTCAAGATTCAAATTTGGTAAAATTTCGAACAATCTTACAGAACGAATATGGGAACATGCCTAGCAATTTGAGTCACAAGATGTCGTGTTCAAGCTACCAAGACCCCGTTAATTTATCTGCAGTTTGCATGCATCCTTTTTTAGACGTTCAGGGTATGTGTAAGCATACAATCAAACCGGTTCGCGCTCCTTACTGTTGATATCAATGTTCATATCGCGTCTAGCAAGTTTTGACACTTATTTCCAACACTTAAATAGTGCTAAATGCAAACTTTTTACGAGACATAGAAGTGAAAAGTGGCATGTGTAAGAAATTTGCCTGGCATAGCTATGCTGCGCTATTAAAACAATGTTACGTATATTTAAAATTTTAAGAACATAAATGTAATATATAACTTTTAAAATGCCAATTAAAGCGCTAGTCGTATTCAATATGAATATATGGACACGTCATAGTTAGTTCATGATGTATGAAACTATTTTGCATTTCGATTAATTATTGTTGGATGGGTTTCATATAATTATAGATTTGCAAATTCAGTTTGCTATGACTTTGTTGTGCCAGTACATAACAATATCAAATGTTTCACAAGGTTGTTCGTTGCAAACCGACACGGTATCAATACTGTATATTTATTATTATGTTGCAACACGATGCCGCAATGAATGTAGTAAAAAAGAAGCAATACCCGATTTCACGTTTAATACGTGGTTGAAGCTTAGCCATAAATAGATTCGGGAAATTGCAATATGATACGCAATATGTGTGTCAGTAGATTGTACCATGTGGTGTATTGATACCAATAATCACGCTCGTTCATTTGAGAAGCGAGGCTAAACGTGCGGTTAATCACTGCGCCATGGTCGATAAAAGACTATGAGCTAACTATGAAAATTGTTTTTATGTAGATGTATATATTGTTCTATTAGAGTCTTTTCCTATCATTGAATAGAAGCTGCGGAGGCAAATAACGCGTGATTCTATTTTTGCACGCACATCATATTTCCTGTCATACGTTTCTTTTTCCTTTATTATAAAGCTCGTAACCTTTTGCTCTCAAAATTTACCTCTGATTTTGATTACCTCTGTAGGTTTGTTAATTACTCTAAAATGTGGGAAAATAATGAAAAAATAAATCGCAGTCTATCATTCGGAGGCAAAATTTTATTTTTTAGATTTTTGGTCAAAGAATTTTATCCCAGTATTTTAAAAATGAATCTAATAAATATTATTACAAACATTCTGGCGAAGTTCGTTAAAACTGGTATTGAATATGATACATCAATTAAGTAGACCCGAACAAGATATCTGTAAAGCTGATTTAATCAAAGTGTAAAAACTCGTATTAAAATGATGAACTGAACTCATGGCTCATTTCATGACGAACTGAATGGTTTTTTATGTTTCTTATGATTGCATATAAAAAAATGAGCTTTAATGTAGATATGAATCAATTTGTACGTTGTTATTCATTTTTGCAATGTACAAAAATATTTCCTGTTTACGACATTCAACGGCAAAAGTAAAAAACAATCCTCTATAAAAAAATAAATCGTTCTTACAGCGTGAACGACATGCTGTTTTGTCTTCATGTTAGAATCATAAGCACGTGCTGGTATAGATTGAAGTCCTTCGTCTATAATTGCCACTTGAGGTCACTATGGAACAGAAATTGAAATATTCAAGTAGAGTCACATCTCAGCTATGATAATTCGTAAGCAATTTATACATGCACCCATGTTGATTTGTATACGACATAGAAAACAGGGTGCAAATTATGTACTCCATATCAGAATGAGATACGGTACGCCAATTCAGCAACTTAATCACAATATGTAGAAATCATTGTTCGGTAGTCCAAAAAAATCAATCCAATCAATCCTTTTTAGCAAATGCATTTTGGGGCTAAAGTTTAGGCCCAAAATGCATTTGCCAAGTTACAAGGTTGTATACATCGCTATTGTTAATGATATACATATAAATGAGTTTAACTCTCTTTATCTACAATCGCTTTTCCGGAACTTTTTCTTGTATTTTTGCTACATGTCATGAACCGTGGTTACCTTGGTTAAATTAAAACAGAAAGTATCGGTGGAACATGTTTGGTTCATTAAAGTTTTAGTAGCACTACAGTTCCCAAAAACTTTTATTGGTGTTTTCGCGAGAATGCCAACAGCACTCGAAGCTGTCGAATGGAGTATTGACAATTCTGTTGTTTTCGTACAACGCCATAACAACTGATGTATCTCTCGTTTTTGTGCTTCATATAAAGATATTGATTTAATCTGCATTTGTTTTGATATGTATTAGTTGGGCGCGAATTTTTTTTTTGTAAAGGTGGTGGGCGATGGCATATTCAAATTTGTACCATCGTTAAATCCTTTTAGAAAATGTAGTTGGTTGCGATAAAAGTCTTTTAGAAGAACTGAAATAGTCAAATGAAAAATTGTATTGTACCAACGTCATGTATAATTTATTAAAGATTTAACACCCGGGTATAAAGCAGTAAACTTTCATTACCTCATTCTCCCTGTTTTTTAAACTCAGTTGTTCTAAACCTAACGAAAAACTGTTACGGTAAATAGGGCAGAACAACATCGGACATGTTTTCAAATCGTTGGTTGGTTACTTACTTTGTAAGAGTTACGTAATAGATCAAACAAAACAAGCCCTTTTGAAAATTGACTTCGACACCAGTTCAAGCGTCGAGAACAGCTGACCGAGGGAACTTTTTCCTTCATACGAACAAAGAAAGAATACGGACAACAGAATTGTTTTGATGAAATTATAGCTCATTTAGATAAAATCTTTACGCTTTGGTCTGTGAGATAATTACATGGCCACAGATACGTGATTAGTGAGTAAGTAATAATGTTTCACGGTTTACTGAACCACAATATATGATTCTGCGTAATTTGAAAAATGAAACATGATGACGCAACTCTAGGAGTTTGTACTGCTATTTAATAGCTAGTAAATTCAAAAGAGGAACGAAAACTTGATATCCATGTTTTATGTTCTTTCCAAATAAAATATGTCAACAGGGAACTCATGTCGACGATGACATCAGACTTCATATCACGTTTGCAATACAATCCATTTTCTATCAAAATATATTTTTTTCAATAATATGTTGTCCTGACTTCGCGAGCTCGTATTTTCGCGAACTAATCGAGTTTGCACCTAAATCAGGGGGTTGTGATGAATTTTTATTCGTGGTAAACATGTTTAAATATATATATAAGTTTTTGCAGTAAGATCAATAATTTATCAAAAGTAATTCAAGTATAACTTTTAACAGAACGTTCATACGAAACACCCCATATACATGTATTATACCAAATGACTTTTGTTTTTCATATTTTCATGAAATAATGCGACACAAGGTATTCAATCTATGCATGGTATTTGTCTATGAATTCGTGTATTTACGGCACGGATCGGTAGCTTGTAAATATACGAATGAATATATTTAACAAACTTTTATGTTTGCCACCCATTTACCTATTCATCAAAATTGTTCATGTTACGTTCTAAGAAGATCAATTCGTGTTTACCACGGTCCGGTCAACAAAATATTCATGTGAACCACACGGAGCACAATACCGTGTATGTAGAATTCTGGCATTGGTAGGATTATTTATTTGTTTTACAGTATGTTTTACCTAATAGAGGGTAAAGTATACTTATATAACACGTGTTTGAATATCAAGAGGGATTATTATGTGACAAGTTGTTGACGCAACATTTTCAAATATCTGAAATTTAAATTAAACATTGGAATACATATCTATCTCGTTGTGTATGCACCAGTGATTTTTTTATTCATATTGAAAACAGATAAAAGAATTGGTTCAATAACTGCTGTCACCTATTATTTACTTTTGTGGCGATAAACAAAGGATGTCTGTTATCGCAAGTTCGGGTAATGGTTTCCATATCTCGCACGAGCAAACATTCGCTAACGTTATTTTTGAGTGATTTATTAATTTATAAACATTATACAATACCCAAATTATATTGAAAAATATTGTATAACAATTATCCGAAAAAAAAACGATTTAAAGCAATGAGAGGAAAACCTCATTCGTAAATATTTTGTTAGAAATCATTTGCAAATTAGCATGCATCCGGAAAAATATCTTTCCCGGCTTCACTTACCTTTGCGAATAATATCG